GTCGCTTCGGAGAACTGTTCACTATTCCCCGGATCCGGCGTGCCACCCTTGCTTGTTTCACAGTAATGATCGCACAGCAGATGTGTGGTATCAACATCGTCGCCTTCTATTCGTCTACTGTCTTCCAACAGGCAGGGGCCAGTGTTACCGGGGCTCTCTTTGCCTCCTGGGGATTTGGTCTTGTGAACTTCCTGTTCGCCTTTCCCGCTGTGTTCACTATCGACACTTTCGGTCGTAGAACTTTGTTGCTCTTCACCTTCCCGAACATGGCCTGGACCTTGCTGGCTGCCGGCTTCTGCTTCTACATCCCGAAAGAGTCTACTGCTCATCTGGCATGTATTGCGCTTTTTGTCTTCATCTTCGCTGCATTCTATTCTCCCGGTGAGGGTCCTGTTCCGTTCACCTACTCCGCCGAAGTTTTTCCACTGTCCCACAGAGGTAAGTCGTCAGCGATATATACATATCATTATATGCTTACCCCTTCTCAGAAATCGGAATGTCCTGGGGTGTGGCGATCAATATGGGCTGGGCTTCGGTCCTCTCCATCACCTTCCCGCGTATGCTTGCAGTGATGACCCCAACCGGAGCCTTCGGGTTCTACGCGTAAGTCGCTCCGTGCATGGTTTAAGAACCTAGCTTCTAATCTATTATATCTCAGGGCCCTCAACATCACTGCTTTTGTTATGATCTTTTTCTGGGTCCCTGAGACCAAGCAGCGGACCCTCGAAGAGCTTGACTACATCTTCGGAGTGCCCACAGCCATGCACATGCGCTATCAACTGTTCCAGGTGCTCCCTTGGTGGATCAATCGTTACATCTTCCGCCGTCGCAGTGCTCACCTTGAGCCCCTGTACAAGCTCGACCACCTCGCGACCAGCGGCTAGGTTGTTAAAGAACGATTTACAGCGGACCTGTCGACGCTCCTCGCAACCATCCTGCTCGAGCAGATTCCCTTACGCGTGTTTCCTTTGTTAAGATGAAATTCCTCTGTGGTTGTAATATTTACTTCCGGAGTCTACGTGGCATAAATGTGTCAGACCGAATCTGGAGGGAAATATCACTTTTACCATTATGAGAGGTCATGTAATACGTTAGTTAAAAATGAATGACTATCTACGATTAGTCAGTCTGACTTCGTAGAAAGTAAAGATTCAGAGTCAACCGTACGTTTCCAGATAATTTTGCGGATCATCGCATGCTCGAGCTGTCATTTAGACTTCCGAGTATACGGCTAAAGCGTGGTTCGAGAAGCGATCCGGGTCTTCTACTGTAACATCGAGATTGGATCCTTTCTATGCTATATCCTCACGCTGTTCTCTTGAGAAAAGATCATTCGCAACGTACACGTCTGTATGAGAATTAGCGGACTTTTACGAGACAAGATGCAGGGAGTCGAAATCCTCGGAAGAGAATTCCGGCGGGGAGCGGAACCCGCTCCCTCTCGGAGAACACCCCCTCACTTTTGTTGGTTACAAGAGGAACATAACCAAACGGCCTATCTATATGAGCTCTATAAATTTGCTGTCCAATGATCTACTCAATGCAGATGCTAAGTAAATAACCAACGACACTATTATCCAAATCCCGATGCTTGTTCCCCAGAAATCACAACTTCCTAGATCCGGAGCGACCCCAGCCGATACCCCCTCCACACGTCGAACCCCACCGACTCATAGAACCCCTCCAACACCACCCAGTCGACCATCACGCCCTGCACCCCGCGGCTCCGGAGATGCGCCAGCGCATGGGCCAGCATCGCCACCCCGACGCCCTTGCCCCGGTGGTCCTGGTCCACGCCCACGCACCCTATCAGCCCGGTGCGGGAGTCCGCGCCCCCGCAGACGGGCGGCAGGGCCCATTGTGTCTGCAGCAGTGGGGAGGACGGGTCGAGCATCAGCGTCCAGCCGATCTGGTGGCCTTGCGGGCTGAAGACGGCCATGATGCTGTTGGGGTGGGTTTTCGGGTGAAGCGTGATGTAGGTTTGGACCCAGGCCTGTGGTTAAGTTTGGTACATGTTAGTCAACGCTATATGGCTTGTCTTCGAAGGAAAGAAAGGAAGGGGAGGGGTGTTCTCGAACCTGGTTGTGGGAGAAGTTCCTTCGCTGTCCGGCGATGCATTCCTCGTATTGATCTGGCTGGAGCGCGGCGAAGGTGTAGCCCTGGCTTGTGGCTTTGGCGGTGTGTCTCGCCTCGAGGTGGAAGTCGGTGATGGTCCGGTAGAGGTCGACGTGGCGCGGGGGCGGGGTGGTGAAGATGAAGCCCCGGTTCTCGAAGAATTCTGTTGCTGTGGGGGGAAGGTCGTCGGGGAGGCCCGGCCAGAAGCGCGGGAATGAACTGCTCAGGTCGAGGCGGGTGATCTGGTGGGTGGTCGTGTACCAGGCGATAACTTCTTGGAGGAGCGTGCTCCCGATGCCCTGGTTTTGAGCAGCCGGGGAGACGGCGATCGCGGAGAGGTAGGCGGATTTCTCGTCGTCGGTGGTGCGGGAGTACGTCAGGCAGAAGCCGACTATGGTGTTGCCGGTGCGGGCTAGGAAGTGGTGGCCGTGCGGTTGAGGGAGGAGTTTTTGGAGGCTCTCGAGGGGGAGGGGGTAGGTGGGTAGGGAGGCGTTCCAGACGGTGTGCACTTGTTTGAGATCGTCGGGATTGTCGAGGGGAGAAAGTTCGATGGTTAGTCGCGGTTCCTGGGTGCTGACTGGGAGCTTGCCGGTTGCCGTCGCGGCGCCGAATATCGTCGCTGCGGCGGCAGAGAAAGCCTCCAAGGTGGGCTCGTACGTGGTGATGTAGGTGCCAATGGTAGGATCATCGAGGAAGTCGTAGGGGTTGCAGGCCGCAATGCTTACCAGTGCTCGAGTACGGTTGAGCAGTTCCTGTCCCATTTTTCTCTGAAATGGCGATTCACGCGCGTTGATTGTAGTGAGAATAATGGCGTCAGCAGCCTCAACACTGCGCCACTCCTCCGCAGACAAGCCTGCTGCTCCGTAGCGGATCTCGCTGACAGTTGGGTTGTATTTTCTGAGAGCATCGAGGTATACAGATCCGTTGTACGATCCCTTTCGACCAAGCCCTTCTCCATCTACTGCGCCACCAGCCGGAGTTTCATCTCCAGGGAAAAGTAAAACGACCTTGCATGACCTTGAGACTGGTAGAATCTTTGGCGTGTCTCGAACGACTGTTACCGACTTGGCATAGGCAGCGTCGGCCAGCTCGCGATTTTGCAAGTCGATTTCACGGAATCTCGATTCAAAGGCGTCATCGGTATGCAGTGCTTCCTCCCAGCTTAAGGATTTCTGCTTCAGCTGGGTCACACGTCGGTACGCTTCTTCTATCCTAGTCATGGAGACTCGACCTGCTTCGACAGCCTCGCAGACACGGCGAATTGACGCAACTTGGACATCGTAAGTGTGGCAGATCATGAGGCTATCGCTACCAGCCGCAAGGGCCAGGACGGAGCCTTCTTCAGTGCCATAAGTTGCACGGATCCCGTCCATCTCCAGACAATCTGTGAGTATCATACCATCGTACTCCATATCATGTCGAAGGATACTGAGGACATCAGGCGAGAGAGTAGCTGGCAGCTTGTCATCTCTCAGGCCGGGTAAGGAGATATGTGCGGTCATAACAGCCTCGATCCCCTCGGCTGCCGCTCGCCGAAATGGCACGAGCTCGCATTGCTCTAGTTGCTCCCGCGTCTTCGAAATCACAGGAAGCCCATAGTGGGAGTCGGTGGCAGTATCTCCATGCCCGGGAAAGTGCTTAACGCAAGATATAACGCTGTGCTGGCGTTGACCCCGGGCTATCGCGCTTGCGAAACGGCCAACGAACTCTGGGTCGTCGCCTGGACTGCGTACGCCGATCACGGGATTCAATGGCTCGGAGTTAATGTCACAGACGGGACCATAGTTCATATTGATGCCGAGATGTTTCAGCAATTGTCCTGTTGCCAGTCCAACTTTGTATGCAAGATCGGTTGAGTTAGTCGCACCCAGAGCCATGGGCCCCGGGAGCTGAGAGGCCATTGGGGGTGAGATTCTGGTAACCCACCCATTCTCCTGATCGATACCGATGAAGAGGGGATGAGTGTGACCAGCTAGTTGTGCTTCTCGTTGCAGAGCATCCGTCAGATTCTTATAGCGGAGGCTTTGGATTAGCCAGCAGGTTGCGACTAATGTTTCAAGAATTCGAGCCTACCCGTAGTTGAACAACGTCGGTGATGTTTCTCTTGAAGAGAACAATGCCTCCAACTCCGTATTCGTGGATCAAGGTCTTGATCTCGGCACTAGGTTCCAGGCCATGGAAGCCGACCACAAATAGCTGGAGCTTGGTTAGTTATTTTCCGGATACTGTAAGGACAGCCTACCTGGCCAACTTTCTTCTGCAAATCTGCAAACGACATCTCACTAGAAGGTCGGTTGGTGGAGTGAAATCTGAGAAAACCAGTGGCAGATAGCACTCCCAAAACAGGGGAATGAAAGGATAACTTGGATAAGTTACAATGGAATGAGGGGAAGAATCGATGGGGAACGGCAACGTTACGGAAACTGATTATCTTATCGATCTCATTTGCCAGCCAGAGTCAGCCTGAACCCCACCCGTCTATCATAAGGTATGCGAAGCACGTTGCTATACTTGAAGATTTGTTCAAGCACCTTGCTTGGACGTCATCATGCAATTGGGGGGTTGATTGTCACTCTATAAAGCCGGTCAGAGTTCCTGCCCAGGATAGGAATCCAATAAGACATTCGTTACAAAACACCATTTCTATAAACTCTCTAGAAACATCATGACAGAGGGCAGCTCAGCATCACCTCGAGTTAAGAGCTAGAATGGATCAAGGTCTGCGTTTCTCGTCGAGTTGGCTTCAATTAAACTGTGTAGACTTTGATTCACCGTAAACGACATTTACCTACCAAGATAGCTCATCAAGGAGGAGCCTGGTTAGGCCAGCTAGGCCGAGCCAACAATTCACCTAGTGAGCACTTTCTAGGCGCTATGAAATTATCCTCACTCCGACACCCACCTCTCTACTTCCCTCGAGAAACAATCTTACAGGCAAACAGCCCCGTCATCAACCGTCTAGCTCTTGATTATTTCTAGATCAAGCTACAAGAATGGCTTCCTCCAACCAGGCTCAGAAGTCTGTCAGATTCAAGGACACTGTTAACGCCGAAAAGCCAGGTGATCTGTTGGCCAGCATCAAGAAGTAGGTACCTTCTTCGGTCAACCCTTTCACAATTTTATGGAGGGGAAAAATCTAATTAACGCAGGTACTTCGCGTCATCAAAGTTCTCCGACCTAACCATCCACACCCTCGACCAAGATCTCAAGGTTCATCGGCTGGTCGTCTGTGGGCAGTCCGAGTATTTCTCACGTCTCTACGAAGGTGAATGGCTGGTAAGCTTGAAATGAAAAACTGGCGGTCACAGAAAAAGATCCTCTAACTGCTTCCAGGAGTCAGGAATGAACGAAATTGATCTCAAGGTGGACGACCCCCGTGCGATAGAAGCAATGTTCCACTTCATGTACGGATATGAATACGACAGTAGCGACAGTGATCAAGGCCGTGCATCGCCCATGCTGTTTGCTGTCAAGGTGTATCAGGTCGCGGACAAATACCAGGTCCCTCAGCTGAAGGACCGCGCAAGAGAGAAATTCAAGTCTATCGTGGAGACGTGCTGGCAAACGGACGACTTTCCAGTTGCTATTGAAGAGGCATACAAGCGCACCATTAAGGAGGACAGAAGTCTCCGAGACATCCTTGTGAGAACTTCCCAGGAACACATCAAGGAGTTGGAAACTAGCGAGGATTTTCGGCTTGTTCTAGAGAAAACGACAGGGTTTGCCGCAGATCTTGTCCACGCAATGGCCAGAGACGAGGTCAGAAAACCAGCAAAAATGCTTTGGTGCAACAACTGCGGAGTCGAATATCAGTCTAATACTACTTTGAGGAGATGGGGAGCTGGGGAATATTGTCCTTCCTGTGGAGATTACTAGCATCTTACACCATGTTCTTACAGTGATATTTGCTTGAACTGCTTGAGCCCTTATCTTGTTGAGCTTGTTTTAATTTTTTTTTCTAAAAAAAAAAAAAAGAGCCACCTGTCTCAAAGGTAGAACTATTACAATGAAATTCTCATCACTGCAGATGACAGTCGAGTAATACCTTGTGATACAGATAAGAGTTGGCACATCACCAAGACTGAAGATTTTTCGAGCTCCTTGCCTTTTTTTCTGTTGGAAGTATTCTCCGGGGCAGATCTAGATGATGCATCCATCAACAAGTATCAAAGGTGGTATAATTGATTTTCATAAATATTTGCTGTCTCCGCCAGAACCTTTATAATTGTAAAACTGCAACACCAGAGCAGATCAATCAGGAGCAATCACGACACATGCTCTATCGAAATGGTGCTCTAACTATATCGAAAGGAGCACTTGATGAAGCACTAGTACATACCCAAGACCGATAACGGCACAGAGTCCGGGCCAGTCTACTAGACCGTAAATCAGGGCGACTGAGATTATATCATGATCTTCGATAGTTCTTTGTTCTATGCTAGATCAAATTAAGCAAAAGGCAACGGCTAGGGAGTTAAACGGGGCTTAACGGCGATAAGAGGCCTTGTTCTCCGATCCTTCTACTCCTCCACATCCAAGCACCGACCGATCTACTCACCCAAAGGATTCTCCCACATGGGACTAGCCACGGCTGAAGAACTAAGCTTCATAGACCGGACCGTAGTGGCCCATATTTGCCAGTCACAGCGACCGGCATACACCACTCGGACTTACTCGGATCGGACTTTAGCACCATGGTCTAGTATTTGATCACAATGGAACCCACTTCACCTTCAGCAAGCTCAACTCATGGCTGTAAGCACAACTATACTTTCCGCCACCCGAACCAGAACGCCAAATCCCACCACCATGATCCCACTAATCACGCTCGAAGAGCACTACAGCTCGCGCAAAGTGAGCGACGCAAGCCCCGAGGCCCAGGCCCACTACGCAGCGTTTCCCCCGCCCATCCGCAGGAAGCTCGAGGCGCTGGGCGACGAGCGCATCCACGATCTCGACCACGGCAACGTATCCATCCAAGTGATCTCGCACGGGCCCGGCGACATCCGCGCCTCGCTCTGCACCGCCGTGAACGACGACCTGGCCGCCGCCGTCGCGCAGCACCCGACGCGACTCGCAGGGTTCGCGATGCTGCCGATGCGCGAGCCCGCCGCCGCCGCCGCGGAGCTGGAGCGCTGCGTGACGGAGCTGGGGTTCGTGGGGGCGCTGATCGAGAACCACACGGGCGGAAGATACTACGATGACGAGCGCTTCTGGCCGGTCTTCGAGAAGGCGCAGGCGCTCGACGTGCCGCTCTACATCCACCCGACGTTCGCCAGCGATGCGATGGTGGAGTACTACAGGGGGAACTATGACGACTCGGTCGCGCTGGCGTTGAGTGCCTACGGCTGGGCCTGGCACGCGGAGACGGGCCTGCATGTCCTCAGGCTCTACGCCAGTGGGGTCTTTGATCGATTTCCGACGTTGAAGGTCGTCATTGGCCATATGGGCGAGATGCTTCCCTTCCAGCTCGAGCGCGTTTGCACGGTTTCGGAGAGGTGGGGCAGGGAGAGGAGCTTCCGCGAGGTCTGGAGGAATAACATCTGGGTTACGACCAGTGGCATGTTCTCGTTGACGCCGTTGGCGTGTCTCCTGAAGACAACCTCGATTGAGCATGTGCTGTACAGTGTTGACTATCCCTTTTCGACAAATGAGAGGGGTCTGGCGTTTTTTAAGGAGGTTGAGCAAAGTGGTCTTATTGCAGGGGAGGACCTGGAGTTGTTTGCCTATCGGAATGCGGAGAACCTACTGGGCATCAGAGCAAAACAAGTCGTGAATGATGATTGATTGGTTGGTTGGTTGATTAGCATACCTATTCATACATAAAGCCGTTGGGCGGCAGCTCTCATGCCTTTTTCTGGATATACATAATGTTGAACAAGGCTATATAGCATTTTACATGTCAAATTAATCTAGTTTGTCTGCTGCTGTATACTCATAACTAGCCTGGACTTGCAATCTGCCGGAGGGCGTTGTACATTTCCTGGTACTATTCTCCATGCAGAACAGTTTTCTATACTGGTTTCTGCTGTAGCCTGTATAATATGTATGTGTACCAAGACTCTAGACTCTACTCAACGCAGCCCATCAGTATCAGCGCCCCTTTCCCTCGAACTCCCTTCTTCCCCTCCCACGACCTCCGCATTTATACTGGCAGGTCCTTTGACTCCCTTCCCAGTCTTCAGCCCTGGCCCTCCCAGGTCTGAACCCGGAGCAACAGCAGCGTGCTCCTCCACAAACCGTCTCCCATCCTCTCTTCCCTTCTCCACATCCACGAACATAATCGCCACCATCGCCGCCGCACAAATCGCAAACAGAAACGGAAACCCCATCCAGTTGTTCTGGGTGTCGTTGATGATGGCCTGCACGACATTGGGACCGATAATTGAGGACTGGATATCATGCCATGAGGGAGTCAGTCATCAGTAATGATTTTGCGGGTGGCTTTGGGGGGAGGAGCTGGGATGGTGGTTCTTACCGCGCGATTGGTGATCCCGAAGAGAGCGAAAAACATGTTGTCGTAGCCGGGCGGCATGAGTTCGCTGATCATGGTTTGGGCATACTGGAGGATTGAATATGTAAGTGGACCTTTCTTCGTTGTGTGGTTTCACAGACAGAACATTCGGGACTCTCTAGAGATAAGGTTGAAGGGGGAAAGGGCTTACGGCGTAGTATGGGGCTTGAAACAGGCCGAAAATGACATTGTAGAGATAGAACTCCCACTGAGGGTATAGAAGCTTCTTATCAGTGATTCTGTTGCTTGGAAGGAAGCATTTGGAAGTGAGACATACCCGGTGATGATATCCGATTCGCTTAGTCCATAAACCCAGCATTCCCCAAAAGGGAATGAGAACAGTGAAGAAGTTTGTGATGAGAAACATGCGTTTTGTGCGAATCTTGAAGTAGTTTTGGATGTACCAGAAGCCGAATGTGGAGGCTATTGAGCATGTAGCCTGGACTATGCCCAAGTATGTAACTTGGATGAAGGAGAATGCCACGAAGTCATTTTGAATGATCGAGACTAGGGTGCCTATGGCGGAGAACTTAGCAAACAGAAACCAGGCAGATTAAATTCTACTAACCTGTGGTGTTGAGGCCATCTGCGAGGAGAAAATATGCCACGAAGTAGAGAAAGGTCTGCGGCAAGGACCGGACCTTACGCAGCGCGAGCCAGATTTGCTTGAAGCCAATAGTCGCATAGCTTGATCCTTCGGGGATCCTAGGGCCGGGGCGTTTCTGCTGGAAGATGAACCACCAAATTCCTAGAATCACCCAGTCTGGCTTGATCAGTATTCACCTCTGAACGCAATGGGTAAGAAACCGACATGAGTTTGTCAAGCAAAGTGCCAGGTTGTTTGAGAAAGAGTACTTTTGGAGAGGCAAAAGCACGCTCAGGTTCAAAACCAACACTGCCAGGTATCCGACGTTGCTGTGTGCAGTCGAAACGTTGCTAGTTTCTGTGAGCTGCCATCCCAGAAGCACACGAGGACAGCCGTACCTGATGTGATTCCGCTCCAATGACTCAATTGCGTCGTACTCCCTTTGGCTGATCTTCTCTTCCTTCAAGTCCTGGCGGGCGCTGTGGACATGAGGCATATGGCGCGCGAGCCTCGGAAACACGGCTGCATAGAAGACTAGTGTTGCGCCATATGCGACGTACGAGATCACGTAAAGGCCCATTGCTGTGGGCCATTGATCAGGGTGTCGGACGGACATCATAGCATATTGCATAGCCCAGCAAATCACAGTCAAGACTAGGAGCAGCCAGCGACCAAAGGAGCCATAGTCTGCTGCACTTCCGAGCCAGACAAATGTCACTGTCATAAACGTGAAGCTCAGCCCGTTGGCGATCAGGACAACAGAGGAGACAGAACGAGTTCCTCCGGCCCATGGAACGACACAGGGTGAGTTATCTGTGCATGGCTTGCGAGGGTTAGTGCCTGGCTGCCACCCCGCACCATTGAGCGCCCATTGAAAGCTGGTGAAAACATGGCATTAGCTCAGGGCTTGAGGGGTATGATTAGCCTGGCAGGATGAAATAGACAAACAGTGTTTGAGTGTAAGAGCCAGGGCCAACTCCGTTATCGCCTAGAATGCAAGCCATTAGTTGTGGCTTGCTGCGTATGGCGATGGGGGGATTTACCATTATAGTACAGATAGTATGACCAGAGCTCTCTGCGAGTCGTTGTGGGCTGTTCGGACGTGTCTTCTGCTCCGAACACATGCTCAATCTCGGCTGTACTGCGAGATAATTGCTCTGGAGATAAGGGTGTAGTTGCCTCTTGATCAGTATGCTTATTGTTGGAGCTGGGATCGTGTTCGGCGCTGCTCTTGTTTCCAGCGTCCGTCAAGGAGACTCGTAAATCCATGCGGCGCGTCGTGCGTGCCATCTTGAGTCTGTGGTTCTAGTATACTCGTATGCTTAAGCTGTCTATTCAAGTGATAATTGATGAGTCTTGAGATAAGGAGACGGAAGGGATGAGGAATGCCGAACCAGGACGCACGAGCGGCAGGTGTTGTTAATTGATTGTCATTCAACCCCGCAGAGACGCCTCGGGCAATCCTAGCTGGTCGCCTGCAGTTGACTTATCTTAGTTTCTGTGAAGCGATTGAAACTGATGATATCAAAATAGCCAAATGTGGTCTATTGCCAACATATACAATTTCCTGGAGGCAGAATGGAGAAGCAAGAGGTGTGAAATACCTTATACAAGCAAGCTTTCATAGCCGATTCAAACATCACAAAACAATCCTGTTCCTGCTAGCGCCTCTGCTTACCTTTTTAGGTCTACCCTTCCTGGCCTGTGAAACTTATTGAAACAACTTAACACCACTTGGAATATATGGACTTGTTAAGGATGAAGTAAATGAGTAATTAATTACATGAGGCTATCAGATGAACTAGCTAAAAACCGGCTTCACATTAACAATCTTGTTCGATAGATCCATAGAACCGGCTTGTAGATATAATCCTTGTATGTAGAAGGAGCTATTCAAGCCATTTTCTGTAGTTCCTGGCCTTCATTCACCAAATGAAGCTCTTGGCAAATTGTAATTCAGCTGGTCAGGGAGGGAGGGTATAATTGGGATCCATATATGTCACATATACTATCATCCATATTATTCTTTTATCAGGTACCCGGTTGCACATTACCCAGAACCTATTTCATTGACTTCTCCCCGGCCTGCTGCTGCTGCTTCCTCCGATCAACAGCCTCCCTCCACCCCACCCCAAACACAGCCGTCAACCACACAAGTCCACCCGCACAGACCAAGAACAGAGCGGAAATCGTATTGAACCATCCGGCCCCAACCACCTTGATAACCGGCATCGCCACGCCCGTCCCCAGCGCCGCAAACACATACCGAAAGGCATAGTTCGCGCCAACGACCTCCGCGCTCCGCCCTTGTTCCTGCATCACGTCCAAGCAGTACGTGTTCAAGCTGGGGAAACAGAAGATCTGCGCGACGCCTTGCACGAACATGAGGACCACGGGAAGCGAGATGCCGCCGACGCCGGCGTCCACCGTCCACCCATAGATCAACACGCAAGCGGGGCTGGCGAGGCAGATGAAAGGCAGGCAGGAGCGGAGCCGGTCCTCGGGAATACGCTGCCCTTGCCTCCGGCGGATGTAGTAACGGGCGATGCGGTCAGTGTAGTGGCCGCCGAAGAAGGTCCCCGTCAGGTAGCCGAAGCCAGAAGGGAGGTACAACAGCCCTGCTTCGATGGGGCTAGTCAAGTGGAAGCGTGGGTTGAGGGTGTGGCGGATCGGAGTCAGGAGGGCGTATTCATTCCACACCAGGGCACCTGCCGCGAGGCCGGTGCAGAGTATGTTTGGGTAAGCGATTATTAGGTGGAGGATGCGGAAGGGCGAAGTTTGATGCCAGAGCTGTCGGGCTTGGGTGCGGAACGGTTGGCCGCGGAGAGAGAGGCTGGTTCTGTGGGCGATGGTTTCTGGAAGAATAGTTATGATGAGGACGGTTGCGCAGAGGCTGAGGGCGGATAGGAGAGAAAAGATTGTGCGCCAGGGGCGGAAGGTCATGATCATGCCCTGTGCGTGTGATGGATTGAGTTAAAAATTGGTTCTCACTTTAAAAGACGCAAGTCGGTTGTCACTTACGCCGAGGAAAGGACCCAGAGCAGGTCCGGTGAGGCTTCCTGAGAGAACCCAGCCCAGTGCGGAGGCTCGGGCTGTTGGTTCGTATAGATCTCCGACGATGGCATTGCCGATAACGAGGAAAGAGGTGCCTTGTAGTGCGGCACATCCTCGGAATATAAAGTAGGACACTAGGTTCGGGGCGAAGGCAGAGGCAACGGTAAACGCGCAGAAGAGGATTGAGCTTGTGATGAGGAGCTGCGCTCGTTAGCACAGATCAAAATAGTCTCAATTGCACTTACAGGCCGGCGACCCCAAACCTGGCTTGCAGGGCCCCAAATAAGGGCAGAAACTCCCATACATCCGAGATAGAGAGAGTTGCTGGCGTATATGATATCCGGAGTGGTATCAAACGTTCTGGCGAGGTCCGCCACAGCTGTGAAAATGGCTGTAGATGAGATTGGGGCAAGAAATGCACAGTACGAGAGCATAATAACGATCGAAATCCGCCGCGCAGGTGAAAGATGAAGATGACATCCTGCTTGGGGTACTCCACTGTCATCTTCAACGCGAGATAAAGGATGATCTGAAGTATGGCTGGAGGCCTGCACCAGGGCTTGAGATGATCCATGGTGCATTTCCCGGTCTGATCGAGGCCTGTGAGACCGCTGACATTCATATGGATCGACCTCCAAGGAGAATGACTGTAAAGAGTCTTTGTCGAGCATCGTACTATTGTGGAAGGAGAATGAAAGGAGCGGTAGGTGCAGCGATACATGTCATGAGTCGCTAATAAAGAACGGAATCTGCAAACATGCAGCAGTATGCTAAGGAGCGAATGGGTTCTGAGATAGAGATAGCGGGATATCAACTCAGGAGATCATAGTCAAGGAAAGGACGGGACTGCAAAAACTCTCGTTCTTCAAAGATTGAAATTATCAAACACAGATCCTGCAGCGACGAAGGAGCCATGAGCTTTTAATAATAATAAAAAAAGCGTAAAACCTAAGGGTGGCAATTTTGTTTCTTTGCTGAGGGCCATTGCAAAAAGCATTGTTCCAACCTTCAGTGGGGGGGTCTTTTGTCTGGCTATCAGGATGAATGGGCCAGATCATTGAGTTGAATTAACCCAAGGTAGCACACGGGGCCGCATATCTCCCCGTTGAGAAACAGTCAGAGGAACTCTGCTTGAATTAAAACCTCGTTCTGGATCGGATGGAAAGTTGGGCAATTGCGGATCCATGACAACCGTCGGCCTCAGGGACGCTCATGGCACTGAGTCAGGTATAATCCCAGGATCGGAGCCGGGACTTATAGCTTGAGATTAGCAGGAACTGAGGATCATGATCGACAAACAGCCTGCAAATGGAGAGGATCTTAGACATATCTAGTACGTAGCATATGAAGCCGGAGTGGCCGCGTCTCGTAGCTCAGGTAGTGCAACAATCTCATCGTGAGAGCTCTCTTTGAGACATTTCCTCGCATTAGTTGAGTGACCCAATATGCGAACACCCCCATAACGAGCGAGTCATTTCACCAGGGAGGGAAGGTGATCCATCGGATGGTGGGTAGGAGAGTTCTCAGGAGAAGCATTTTCTCACGAAGACTTTGGTCCTGACGATCATATCCACATCATCAGCACCTAGTCTCGAAGTAGTTGATGGTGAAGGTAGCGTAGATTTCCTCGGAGATTAGGGACAGAAGAATCCAGGTTGTCGATCTTACCCGTACAACCGGGATCGATCTTCTCTTCACGGGCCATAGCATCGATGATGCGGAAGGCAAAAAGACCAGGATCATCTGAGAATTCTTTTCTCAAGCTTTCTATAGCTTGTCATACATGTCAAAGCTTCCTCAATTTGTTTTCCCATGGCGCCGTAATGCGATAAGGTACGGAATACTCCGTAGTCCGTAGTCCAAGCGCGTTCCTGAAAAAAGGGAGGATGGAGATCCACCAGGCGTTTTTACTGGCCTCTTTTTAAGGTTTTGCGGCCGGGGAATTGCCCCCCTTCCGTTTTCGGTCAGTTCCAGCCAGCATCCCCGCGGGCCTCAGTCTGTACTGTATGCACAGTACGGTATCCCCGTACAATATGATTCCTGAATAGCCCCGAGAGTGTGAAATAACCGAGCTCGATGCCATGCAACGGATGGTGACAACTGACCCCCCTACCAGAGGAATCCCTTGGGAGAAGCATGTTCGTTTCTACCGGGTCTCCCGCCAACTCTTAACGCATGCAGCGAGATCTGGAAAACACCTCAGATCCGGTCCCCTTCGAAGAGGCGTTACACAACATGGCGGAAGAGGGCCGGATAAAGCCGTCTTCGGTCAGTCGGATGGCCCTATGGTATGAGTATGACATCTTTTTTTTCTTTAGCTTCATCCATCCTCATTCTACTTCTCCACTCATTTTTACGAGGGCTTCGTAGGTGGCTAGCAGGGGTCAGAAGACACGAGCGAATGAGGGGATTTGGTGCACTAGGTTTCTCCGCAACGAAGCTTAAGAAGTGTGCAGGCGGGAAAGAACTGGAGGTGAGAGGAGAACCACCATTGGTGAAGAAGGGAGAATCTAAAAAGTTCAGCCACAGATGATCGCATGGCAGATGATGGATGTGTATTCAGCAGATCCGATGGGAGGCGAGGAAGCCTAGAGATGGAACTCGACAACTGGAAAAGGCCCAAGCCTAAACACCCCAGATGACGTCGAGGCAACCACTGCACCACCGCACCACCGCATTTACCCCCTGCGCGCGGGTGGCTTGAATCGGGTTTAGCGGATGGTCTTGAATCTCCCCTCCCCCCTTCCCCTCCTGCTCTCTCTCAACTTCCCCATGACATCTTAACTTCTCTTCTTTTCCCAACTTTCTCATCCCCCACCCTATTACTACTTACAACTTTCTTGGCTACTTTCCCAAGACTTATATCTCCACTACTTACCTTGGTGGTTTTTTTTTCCTTTTCATCTGCATCTAATTTCCTCCCCTTCTTCTTCGTCTAAAAAATGAGCTCCAAGGATCCACATAGCGGCGTTCCCGCCTCGAGCAAAGGCTCGTGGACAAGTTTCCTTAAGGTATGAAGAAGACACTAGGCAGCTATCTGCTATCTCCGTCGTATGCCGCTTCATTTTTCCGCCCTTACCATCGAGACACTGTCAGAAACCAGTGACATTTCTAACCGATTAATCTCCGACTGTAGTCTATTGCTTCCTTCAATGGAGACCTGTCCTCCCTGACCGCACCCCCTTTCATCCTCTCCTCCACCTCCTTGACTGAATATTCCGCCTACTGGGCCGAACACCCTGCTCTGTTCGTGGCTCCCGCCAAAGAAGCTGACCCCGAGAAGAGAGCACTGGCTGTCCTCAAGTGGTTCCTCAGCACCCTTCACCAACAATACTGCAGCCGCAGTGAGAAGCTCGGCAGCGAGAAGAAGCCTCTCAACCCCTTCCTCGGAGAGCTGTTCCTGGGCAAGTGGGACTCGGATGCAGAGGTTGGTGAGACCAGCCTGATCAGTGAGCAGGTCAGGTATGTAGCCATGTCTCCCAATCTCTTGTAAGCTGTGTTGACCATCCACAGCCATCACCCCCCTGCCACTGCCTACGCCATCCGGAACGAGAAGCACGGTGTCGAAGTAAGCTACCCAACATCTACATCAACTCCACTAGTCACAAGTTCTAACTAGCGTCCTTCAGCTCCAAGGATATAACGCCCAGAAGGCATCCTTCTCCAGCACCATCCAGATCAAGCAGATCGGCCACGCCCTTCTGTCTCTTACTCCCCCCGGCGCCGACAAGAACGATGCCTCCCAGCAGGAGAGATATCTTATCACCCTTCCCGCCCTGCACATCGAGTCCTTGATCTACGGTACGCCGTTCGTCGAGCTTGAGAAGACAACCCGCATTGCCAGCAGCACGGGCTACATTGCCAAGATCGACTACTCTGGCAAGGGTTGGTTGAGCGGCAAGAAGAACACCTTCAGCGCCATCCTCTACAAGGAGAGCGAGGGTGAGAAGAAGCCCCTGTATACCATCGACGGTCAGTGGTCGGACTCGTTCGTCATCAAGGATTCCAGAAAGCACGAGGTGGACAGATTCTCAGTCAAGGAAACCCAGACCACCCCCTTGACCTTGGCACCACTTGACCAGCAAGACCTCTACGAGAGCCGGCGGGCCTGGCGAGACGTGGCGGCGGGCATTGAGCGGGGCGATATGGACGCTGTGTCCGTGTCTAAGTCGAAGATTGAGAATGCCCAGCGTGAGCTGCGCAAGGTCGAGAAGTCGGAGGGTCGTGAATGGGAGCGTCGGTTCTTCAAGCGTGTCAACGAGACCGAAGATGAAGCTTTCCAGCAGCTTGGCCCCAAGCTCGGCCTTACCTCCCTGGAGAGCGACAAGACAGGCGGTGTCTGGCGGTTCGACTCGGCCAAGGCAACGGACGCCAAGCCACCTTACCATGCAACTGGAGGCGAGGGCCTGGGTGTCACTGCATAGATAGGATAGTGATTGCGAAGCTAATGGCTAGTTCTCCCTTGGTCTGCGTGGACGGATAGGGTGGTGGGGCTAGCAGGGATGATCACCATCATAGATTGCGTTCTCTTTCTATTCCTTCTCCTTTTCTCTTTCTTTACTTGCTCTGTTTCGGAGGTTTTGGTATCTGTATATAGAACAACAGCGAGAACTGGATAGTTCCTAGACCAAGCCGGCAGATTACTCTTCTGCTTCTGGCTCGCGGGTCACATCGACCTTTCGAAGGACAGGTCTTCGTCAGAAAATGAATTGAATCCTGACATCCAGTCGGTCACAGTGGTCCGAGCGGTTATTGTTATCTGATTTCTCAGACTATTGATAAACAATGCAGGCGAACATTATGAAACAAGTCGACTTTTATAGTGAGTAAAGCTCTATACTCGCTGACAGTTGTGAGAGAGAGAACATGAGAAACAGGCTCATAACACCGAAACAAAGAAGCAGATCAATACCCATAAGAAGAACACCACCACACCTCAGGAGGCCTATACAATCCTTTCTTCATCCATCTCCACTTCATACCCCGACTTCTCCTCCACAAGGTTCCCAGGGAACCCCACAGCCCAACTGACCATCACGGACCACATCAACACACTGTCGAAGACATACAGCGTCCACTCGTGCGTCAGGATATACCCATGCATTCCCATGGCGTACTCAATGACTCGAAAGATCGACCGGACCAGAATCAGCGCGCTGACCGCATACAGCATATACATCAAGCGATCCAACGGGCGGCCGTACTGGCCCAAGCGGATCTGTTGCTGCTGCTGCTGCTGCTGCTGCTGCTGCTGTTGGGACTTGACCCGCCGGTGGAACACCAGCGCCACGACGATGAAGAACGAGAACATGATCACCTGGATCAGCAAGCCGACCACGGTGATCGCCTTGGCGGTCGTCTGGCCCGTCGACCGCACCATCAGGCCCACGCCGCTCCCCTGCACGATGAAAGAGAGGATGTCGCTGGCGACGAACAGCTTGGTGAGGTACTTGGGCGGGATGAGCGAGGCACTCTTGGCCTTGGTCTCGGGGGCGGCGGCCGTGAGTCGCGGGGGCAGACTGCGGATGATGCGGCCCAGGGTCATGTAGACGGTTGCGGCGAAGAGCACGGGGCCCAGCAGGATGAGCACGCTTTGGATCGCGTAGAGGCCGATCGAGGCCGTGTTGGAGTAATTCAGGATCCGGACGATGTAGCCGACGATCTCGACTGTTGTGGTGGGCGTGTCAGTGACGGTTGTCGGGGGGAGGGGAGGCATGGGATGTGGAAGGCGGAGGGGAACTTACATATGCCGCCGATGCTGAAGGAGATGTTGTACCATGCTCGTGTTTGGAAGAGCTTGAAGAACAGATAACAGGTTACTAGTCCAAACAAGACGGCGAAGATCGCGGCCGCTGGGATGGAAGGCAGGTATGTCCAGAGGTAATAGCCTCCTTCTAAGGGTTTGAGTTGTGCCATATTGACAGAGGGGCCTGATGCACACCCGGCCAACTATAGCAATCGGCTATGTGTGGTAGGTCCGAGGAATTGGGATGATAGAATTGGAGCATACTGCCTCTTTGACCGGCCATTGTGATATATATATATATATGTATAGGGAGCTGAAACCCCCGCAAAGGCATTACTGGTAGTTTGGGGGCAAGTGGAAATTTCTGAGGGCTGAATACGCGTATAGAAAGGATGATAGAGTGCCCAGTGGTTCGTCGGCCATTGGGGAGACGGTTGGCTACCGAGTATATTACCCGATCTGGTCTAGAGTGGCAGAAGTGGTCTGTGCATACGCGTATCCCTCAAATAGGCAGGTCCCTGTTCAGTCGGACGGTCCGTCCGCTGCGGGCTGGAGATGATGCCCGTGCACAATCACATCTTATTCTTTGCTCAGTATCGAATTTCCTCGTCGGCTCGTTCTTCTTAGTCTCTACCTAATCTTTTGATATGATAAAAATAGACCGCCTGCATCCTCATAGGCTCATTTCGGCTGCTGCCTGAGCCTCAATTTTTAAGCTTATCGGCAGACGTCGCCGGGTGCGATAGTTCACCGTCGTTGGCCCAGGACCCTTCCCCCCATGCGCACCCTTCCATACATCCCCAGGAGAAGATACTGCATAGACGACCTGCCTATTCTGGATGATGTAAACTTGCGTCGGAAACATGACAGTCATGCCGCGTAGGACGCACCGAAAATCGCGCAATGGCTGTCTCGAATGTAAAAGACGTCATATCAAAGTGAGTCCGAATCCTCTACCGAAACTTTCCACGGGCGTGCACATCGGCTAAACGCTGCCCATCTAGTGCGACGAGAAACACCCGCTCTGCGGCAACTGCCGCAGCTCGGAACGTGTCTGCGAATACGCGGATCGGTTCAGGAGCGGCACGACCAGATCCGAACGAAGCGATGCCTCGACTCCGACCAATGCCGGGCCAAGTCCCGGTGTTGGTCCCTCGACACCACCACGGCCTCCTCGTGGTGAGCAGCCTGCAGCAGGGCCGGCGACAACAACAACATGCTCCGAGGATCAGCCCGTCAACATGGTCCACGCCGAACTGCTCTTCAACCTCGTCACGGAGACGATTCCCTCCCTCGGCGACATCGCGCTCTTCGGGGGCCTGTCCCCGGACCTCATGCGCGTCGGGATATCGACCCCTTACCTGATCAATGAATTGCTGGCCCTCAGCGCTCTGCACTCGAGCATAGTCCGTCCCGCTGAGCGCGAGCGGTACCGCCGCCACGCCGCGCAGCTCCAGACGCACGCGCTGGAGATCTTGGGTCGGGAGGGCCGGGACGTCACGCAGGAGACCTGCGTCCCGTTGTTCATCTTCTCGTCGACGCTTGGTTTGCATATGCTCTGCGACACTGTGATCTACCGGGAGGAGTCCAGCTTCGATGCTTTCCTCAACCAGTTCGTGCACTATCTCAAACTGCACCGCGGCGTGCGGGCCATCACCTCCGAGGCGTGGGAGGCGTTGCGCGGGTCGATATTGCAGCCCGTGCTCCAGTACGGGCAGGAGAAGTTCGCGTGGAATGCGGACCTGGGGCCCGAGTGCCAGCGGATCATGGATCTGATCGAGGCGGCGCGACTGGGCGAGAAGACGACCGCGGTCTATCGGCAGGCGATTCGTGCATTGCAGGTCTCGATACATGCGACGGGGGTGACGGACGCTGATTCGAGGGTCAAGTTCGTCGGTGGGATCACTGGGTGGCCCGTCATCGTGGAGGTGGAGTACATCGAGACGTTGGAGCTGCGCCGCCCTGAGGCACTGGTGATTCTGGCGTGCTTCGGTGTGATTTTGCATCAGGCGCGGCATGTATGGGCGTTTGGCGATGGGGGTCGATTCTTGATCGAGACTATCCAGACGCATCTAGGTTCCAAGTGGGAAACATGGCTAGAGTGGCCTACTAGGATACTAAGGGAGTCTCAGGGGTGAAAAGTACGATTTTTGCTTTGTATATATGTCTAGCTGTGGTGCCAGTTTTGTTGCATATAGATATACCCTTCAGTTGAAAAAGGACCCAGAAGGGGACATGTCACTCTCTTTGTTCTTGTTCATTCTTGATCGCCGGGACATGTAGTGTAGACCTGATGTGAAAAGAAAGTACGTACATAGGCAAGTCACCAGCATTTGTTTGTGATGGAGTTGTGACAACAAAAAAAAGAACCCCAAAAAAAGAAAGTGGCGCTGCCCGGAATCGAACCGGGGCTGGCACGGCCACAACGTGACGTCATACCACTAGACCACAGCACCTGTTGTTGTGGTAGAGGCATTGTTTTTGTGCAATATATCCCTAAATCATACTTGAGACATGGAACTCTAACCCTTCAGTAATGCAGGTCATCACACGACAACTATTGTAGTTATGTACATCTATTGAGTCCATTTATTGATCGGACGGCTAGAATCAGCCTATTGAATGGTGTTTTTTTTTCAACCTGACCCCAGTTCCACCCAGGTTACTGCCGCATCTCAGGCATCAAGGTCGGCTGTCCGGGTTCCATCGGGCCCTTGGCTATATATGTTACGGACACTGGAAGTCACCCACTACGTTGGCCACGCCAACCACGGCGCCGATGAGTCCCCACACTCGCATAGTCATATGAAGAACAGAAGTAAGTCTCATGACCATACAGCCAGAAATTGACCAAACAGGCCATCAGTGAGTCGTGACGATAGCCTAGCATCGCTCCATCTCCCTGCACCCACTAACGTATAGAACATACCGCCGACCTCGACGCCGAATGTAGCAATGGAGTATAGATAGAAAACATGGCCTATAAGACCCTTCCACCCCGTGCTAAGTATAGACATGAACATCCACAAAAGGTGCAGAGCGAAGTCCACACGAGCGTTCAACCACTATCTCCACCAAAATGACCCAACCCCCCACAAAGAACCAGAACAAGCAAAAACAAGAGAAAAAAAAAAAAAGACAAATGCAAGAAGGTAAGACCAAAGGAAGCGAGAGAAAATGTACAAGTACCACCATCAACCTCCCAGCAACAAGGTACATCGACCCCTCGGGCAATATCTTCTCAAAGGACATAGGCACAAATCACCACGCAGGGGGGCTCTGTCATGATTCTTAACATTTGATGCCGCAAAGAAGGGTCGTTTTATGGTGTGGTTCGCCCGGCCTTTGCCAGCCCCTTTGTTGCAAGGGGATAGAAAAAAACCCCATGCCTCTACCGTTCGTGTCTCGAGGCAAAACCCAGCATGCGAACTGGGAGGCCAGGATCGAATCACGGAAAGAAAAGACAATGCCTGAAGACTTTACTCAAGTGGTGCCTACTGCACGTGGAGCAGCGATGCATACACCACTAGATGGCGACCCAAATTCACTCTGAAGTGCGCGTTCATCTGGGCTGATTGCGCTGTCTCCTGTGTGATGCCATTGTGGCGCAGATTGGCATTCTGCGGCTTCTGGAAGAGAGCAAGGCACAGCAGATGAAACAGGGGACACAGAAAAAGACACCAGAAACCAAAAGGAATGACACAAGAAGATGGCCGATGGCCACGAGGAGAGAAAGAGAGAGGCGAGGGAGAGGAAGAAGGGACAGAGGCTGCGAAGACAAGAAGCTCTTCCTGTAAAGGGAGACCGAGATTAAGCAAACCAGCAAGCCAACGTAAGTCTGAGATTAGGGGAAACATCTTCCATGGAGTTAACCTGCTAAGTGAATAGACCTTGGATGGTGCAGCCTGCAGGATAATCGTGCATCAATAGTAGAAAGCAGACTGTAAGCGTACGACAACTCTCCACCTACAAGACCCTGATGGGCACAACTCATATAATCTCGACCTACAAAACTTGTTTGATCGAAGCAAAGCTCGCTGTTTCCGTAGTACCCTAATGCACATATATGTGTGACCCGTCATTGCCCACATTGCCCATTTACTTCATACATCAGATCAAATCTCCGGTGACAAACGCCGTCCCATCTCAATTCATTGCATTCTCGAAATCCCCATCCTGTGTCCTAATCCAGCCAAATTGCATAAATGATGTCCCAGCCAAACCCCAAGAAAGAAGTAGTACAGGAAGCGAAAAAGTATGCAAAGTCGACAAGAGCAAGAGCTTAAGCGGGAAAGGGTTCTTTTTCGTAGGCCAGACACCGAGTTGAAGGTAGAGGGAGAAAAAAAAAAGGAAATTCGCGAGGGAAACCATCAAGTCAGTTGAAGGACATCGGCAGATGCCGTGAACCATGAGAGGAGAAAAGAGCAAAGCAGCAGAAACACAAAGAGCAAACGTTTTTTTTCCATTCAGTACATCGTGAGTGCAACCCCGCGGGGGAAATCAACCAAAGAAGCAACCAGCCAAGCTCTCGTGGAGAGTACAGATTACACACGTGAGGGGAACATAAAAAGGGAAATATGTGTTAACAGGTGGCATATAAGATGAGATAACTTCCTTACCGGGGTTTGCCGTACCCCAGGATTAATGGCAAAGAAAATAAAAAGCAAAGGGAACAACAAGGGGTAAGAGCCAATGTAGATTTGATCACCAGTCAATATGTAACGCCATAATCCCCTAGTGACCGTAGTTGCCTCCCCAGCCTCCACGTGTGTTGCCATAATAGTTCGCGAAGCCTGCGCCACCGTAATTACCATAGCCAGTGGGTTGGTGGTGGGTCTGAGAACCGGCCGCCTGGTGACCGCCGAGACCACCCAAGCCGCCGCCGTACTGAGGGTTCAGGTGGGGGTAGCCACCAAAGCTCTGCTGACCCTGCTGACCCTGCAGCGGGGGAAGGCCGCTCTGGGCCTGAGGCTGACCCGGGGCGCTGTTCGTGGCAGAACCGGGGCGGTTAGCCTGGGCAAGAGAGGGGCTGGGTCCAGCCGCCTTGGGAGTATCGAAGCTCTTGGTCTCCTCGGACGTCACAGGAGGCTGTTGGGTGATCGGCTGGTTCTGGCCGAAGCTGCCCTGGGATCGACCAAAGACATCCGACATACCGGTTCCGAAAGCGGTTGAACCTGCGGCAGCGGACTGCTGGCTCTCCGATGGCTGAGCAGATCCAGTACGACCGTAGACCGAGTCACGGCCAGGGATGGTTTGGTTGAAAGAAGCCGCCGTGGCAGGGGAGGAGGTGTGATCATAAGAGAAGGCGTGGGGCTGACCGTACATTCCAGCCTTGCCACCATAAGGACCATACTGGCTTCCGTAGCCGTACTGGTTGCTGTGGGGCATGTAGTGGTCGTCGTATCTGCGAGCATCATCGTACATCGGACGGTTTCTGCCGTACTGGTTCATTCCGCTCATGTACGAAGCATAGTGAGGGTTCGAGTAGTAGGGGTATCCGTATCCGTAGTTATGGGCACCCTGGCCTGGCATGTGCTGAGCCGTAGGTGTCTGGGTAGAGCCAGGGAGGGTGGGGTTGGGGGTGGTGTGACCGCTGTTGGGAGCCTCGACATGACTGTAGCGACTGGGGGGTTGGGTGGTGGGGATGTGCGGCTGCACTTCGGCGCCAGAGGCACCGAATCCTGCTCTCTGGGCAGCCACAGTGGCATCCTGAGACTGACCGTAGGAGCCGTAGTAGTTGTAAGGAAGACGCTGGTCAACGGCATAGAATGGCGAGTACTCGCTGCCGGTGGTGGCAGTTGGCTGAATAGGAGCTTGGTTGGCGAACGGCTCCTGGACTTGAGGCTGGGGCTGCGTAACCTGCTGGGTGAAAGGATCATAGGGCTTGTGGGCATCAGTGTAGCGAGAGAAGTCGGCAAACGAGTTGTCGGCAGCAGACACCTGGGGCACGGGAGGAAGCCCCGGAGCCGGGCGGGCAACTGCAGGGGTTTCGGTAGGAGCCTGGGCCTGGGTGGAAGGAGGCAGAGAGGCGCGAGGAGCGACGGGGGAATGTTGAGGAGGTTGAGCACGTGTTTCCGCATCTTCCCTGTTCTCATCAATATCAACGTCAACAGCATCGCCGTTCAATCCCATGCTGCCGAACTGGACCGCCGCGCGGTCCACAGCGTGGTTGCCTGGCATAACCACAGCCTCCTGCTGTTCCATAACACGACGTTGAGTGCCCGGAGTGCGAGTGCTGTGCTTCAGAGCACTAGTGGGGTGGATGCTGGCCGGAACACGGGTGGGAGTTGCAGCAACCGGAGCATTGGCAGCAGACTCGAGAGTGCTGCCCACAGTGCTAGCTGCGGTAGCGGTCGGGGCGGGAGGAGAGACGTCGGGGATCTGGGCGAGGTTGTTCCTGGTCAGATCGTCCTTGGGAGCGGGCACTTCGGGTGCGGGAGGACTGACGGTGGTTGATTCTTCGGTAGGCAGAGTCTGAGGGATGACAGGCTCGGGAGCTTTCTGTGCAGGCACTGGAACAGGGAGGGGAACAGGGACAGGAACAGGGGCCTGAGCGGGAACCGGTGCAGGCACAGGAGCCGGCGCAGGAGCAGAAACAGGAGCAGGAGCCGGCGCAGGAGTAGGCTCAGCTGGTTTCTGCTCCTCCGCTGGTGCGGCAGCAGGCTTCTCGGGGGCCTGAACAGGAGCGGGAGCAACAGCCTTCTTCGGCTGGGGTGGCGGCGTGGGTTTAGCGAACAAACTGGCCCATCCTGTCTTTGCTCCTCCGGTGACCACACTGGGCTTAGGAACGTCCTGGACATTGTCTTTCGAGGCATCGGCAGGTTCGGCGGTTGCTGCAGGTTCAGCATCGACAGTGTTCTCCGTCTTGGTGTTTGCGGCGGTCTCGGGAGCAGCAGTAGCAGGGGTGTCGGTCACGGTGGGAGCGACAGCTGGCTTCTCAGTACGGGCGCCATTGGTGTGAGCACCAGCCCTGCCACCACGACCACCACGGCCCCGATCTCCACGAGCACGGCCCCGGCCTTCAAACCCACCGCGTCCACGGCCCCCGCGGACAGAGGGGATGACTGACTCGGTCGGGGTGCTCTGTACCTCCTTGGGCTTAGGACGGCTGCGGTCTGTGGTCTTCTTCTTTACCTCACCCCACTGAGAGACATTGCCTGGGTAGAGACACGAACCAACGTCAGTGGCTGACCGAAAACGAGTAGCGAGGCACTGAAATAGAGGGAAAAGAGCAGACCTTCACTAATGCGATCAATTGCTGCCTCCAGGTCACCATCAGCATCCTCGAGAGCGAAGATCAAATCCTCATCGGTCCAATCGCTGAACAATTCCTTCAGCATGGGCAGGGTGTCGGAGTACTTCTTCTTCATCTGGCCGATTTCTCCTTCATCTTCGAATGTGGCGGGTGCGCCCTCTGAGTTGTCTGCCTTTGTGGATCTGCTACCACCGCGACCACCTCTGGAGCTATAGCCGCCACGACCGCCACGGGCAGATACTCTGCCACGAGAGGCAGAAGGCCTTGATTGAACTTCAGACATATCTTCTAGTTGTTATTTGTGAATCTCCCGTATCGAGAGATGGTGAAGGGGAGGAAGAAAGAGAATGGAGAGTTGACCCAAAGTAGTTGAAGGGGAGAAAACAAGGTGCGGCTAGTGGGAAGAAAAAGCGGGTAAAAGGTCGTAATTTAGTGTACGGTAGCAATGATGGAGATGCAGCCTCACGAAAGAGGTCAGCAGCACCCAAGAACCACTAAGAAGGCACACAAGGGCCAACAGAGTCGGGGAAAGTCTTTGAAGATTTGGAGGAAGGAGAAGGGAGGATTTTAGAAAAAGGAAAAAGGAAAAAGAATACGAGAAGCTGGAGAACAAAGTTGACACACACCAAAGGAAATAAATTCTTTGGGAGAGAAAGGGAAGAGAGAGAGAGAGAAAGAGAGGGAAAAATAGGGTGCAGTGGGCAAAGTTGAAGGGGGAAAGAGTACAGGTAGGTTGGTAGGTAGGAGGTGCAGAAAGTTTAGCTTAGCAGATCGAGTTCATGGAATTGGATGGGGGTGGGAGTGAGTGAGTGACTGCTGCGGACGTATTGAGGGCGGAAGACAAGACAAAACAGGACGAGAACAGTAAAAGGACAGTACAGGCAGATCTATCGGGCGCGGCCCAGCAAAAGATTGCTTTGTGATTGGCTATCAATTTTACTATACCTTCTCCATACTGTAAGAGGATATTCCTTACCGTGCCTGCTAGCAGCCCTGCTGTAATGATGAATTATGTCGGGGTAAGCTTCTCAGTATGTAAACTACCTACGTAGTAATTAACCACTGTGAATTTCGTCATCCACTACGGAGTATAAGTTGGGTAGTTAAGTCAATTAATTCACTTGGTAACTAAAGGCGGGTATTATTGACAACTACAGTACAATTTATTGATTGACAATTTGTGAGACAACTCAACTCATCTTACATTGATCTGAGGCATGAACATAATCGTTCTTTGAATCGATGGCCTATTGATTCTACATATCAGCCGCGTTAGTACTACATCGGTCCTTGGGGCGAATTGCGTGGTGAGGTGGCAGCAGCCCTCGCTCACCGCCCGTCAATTTGGGTCGAATGATCGTTTGCCATGAGTAACCGCCCATCTGTTGCCTCAGCTCAATTTGACTAGTCCACAATATGTCATGTTGGCCCATCGTCAACGCATCTCCTCGGCCGTTCTAGGTCTTAGCATAGAACACTGCTGCGGACTCTTGTCGATTACCTCGCCTTTCACCAATATTGCTTTCTCGAATCACAAATTCTTCTCAAGCCAGCCCGTTTATTTAATCGTTTTGCCGTCATCACGCCATGAAAGGCACGCCAAGTTTAAATTACGCTCCCTGGCTTAAGAACCTTCATCCCCCATTGCCCCGGACTCCTCGGCAGTCGCAACAACTCCTCAATGCCCTCACATCCTCCTTTCGGCGTCAACTTGATCGCGAATATCCATCCACCCGTACCCCTACTCTCGATAAAGATGAAGTCTCTGAGGATCATCCGCCGAAGAATCCCGAGTCCTCCAGCTATGCGACGGATAAGCATCTCCAATCAATCTTAGACAATCCGCTGTTCCGAGTGAAACCCCGCAAGGAGGTCAAGGCCAAGGATCCGAGTCAAGACGCAAGACTGGCAAAAGAACCCATGGTGGTATTCGAAGAGTTGGCGGCCGCAGGCAATGTCACTTCCGCTGCTTTGAGCAATTGCCTGGTGTCTCAGTTACTCCTCCTGAGTGGCAAGAAGTCGGGTGATGACTTTGTCAAGGCAATGAGGGATTCCAAGACCGCATCAAGAATTGCCAGTTGGTGGTCTGCCTCCGACCCGCAGTCTCGACGATTATTGTTCCTTCCGCAAATAACACCTCTCATTACCAAGTTTCTGGTGGCCGAAAATATGCAGAACGTAGCTTCAACTTGGTTAAAGTTGCTAGCACAGCAGGACGCCCTTGGGGGCGAGGTGTTCCGACTCAAAAAGAAAGACGCGCGGATATGGTTCGGTGGACTTCTGAACGACCTCGTGCTTGCTGAGGCTCGGTACGGGGGGGGAATAGAGTCCGCAATGCGACTTTACGTTTCCGCCAGTAGCATCACAACTCTTGATCAGACTTCGATAATCGACGACGAGTTTTGGAAGGCAACCCTCCTTTCTGCTGGAGGCCATTTGGGTCAACAAATCATACAGAATGAACCGGAACATGCCGGTGGCGTGGAGCCAAACATCTATGAGAGCTATGTACACATCATCAACACCGTGGCTGCCAATTCGTTGCTTCATGCCTGTGTGTGTATGCATCATCCCACGCAGCCGGATGGTAGGCCCTACGTCCTCTATGTTCAAGCGCTCCCACAGGATCGGACCGCGTCATGGTCCAAGGTTAGACGGGAGCATTTCATGCGTGCTGGCTTCACAGCCCTTCGCATCCTGCTTGATCAAAATAGGACTGTGCATGCTACTTGGCTGGCAAAGTACATGCAGAAGACGATATCACAGCATCTCGACCCCGAGGATGTACAATCGGCTCAATTTGAGTTGGCACGCCTCGAGCCCGCTTGATGGCTTTTTACAAAAAAGCTATAGACGTCATACAAGGAGAATTCGCACGTCCCACGCAGAATCAAAAACATAAGTGCAAGGAGAAGCTGGTAATGATGATTCCCGCTTTCGATAGTAGATCATGAGGAGACAATCGGCTACATCTATTTCACTACGTCTTTGCTCCCGATCTCAGGAAATCAGCGCGCCTGCTCCATTCACCAATGGCTCAGCCTTTTGAGAGAGCGAATCAATCCTAGTTTCGCTTTGCCTGTGGAAAGTGCGCTGTATCAGTCTCGTGCATTTAAGTACTAGATGCTAGTTATCAACCACGAGGGCTTATTAATCTTCCGTGACCCAAGCCGCCGAATCATTTTTATTGGATCCCCAACTCTTTCGATCGGACATGTGCTGCTACTGAGCTCCCTCAGCTCAAGTTCCAGGCCCAGTCACCTTCAAAGCCTCGGGATGCGGGCAACCGAGATTGAGTTTCCGTGTGAAACGGGTAAGCGCGCCTGTCTTTCCGGCAAACGTCACCGCGCAACCTCACTCTCTCTGATCTATTGATTATCAATCGCAATCTTCTTCCTCTGCCAACAGTCGATCCTTCCCCATCGTCCAGTTCGAATCACTCTGCATATCTTGGGTACTGTATCCGAGAGGCTCATCACTACCATACCTCAGCTTTTTCCTTGTCGCATGCTTTAGCTATGGCTACCGAAAGGTCCAAAAAAACTCCAACACTCCTACGATTCATTTTGTCTGCATATTCACAGCCGGGCTGTGGGTCTCTGCCTAATATCCCACCGATCCTGTTGACTCGAATTGACCGATGTTTGCTCGTGCATTGACGTCATTACCCCAGAATCGGCCAGAGCTGTGGAAGCTGATGCGAAGAATCCCTCCATCGATGGTGCTCCACCCCTAGCGAACCGCAATGGCACCTTAAAGGAGGCTACAAATGAGGGACAGTCTAATGATGAAAGTAAATCCGGTGCACATAGAAAAGCTGGCGATGGGATGAACTTCTCTGGAGAATCACAACAAAGTGATCAGACTACTACGACTGCAACCGCATCGACTGAAAAGCCGAGTGATGAGAGACAATCCGAGCAGCAGAGTACTGGTGCAAAGCCTCAAAGGCGTGAACATGCGTCAAGCTCGATGCAAGCTGATGCCGAGAATTCAAGCTCCGAGCATGCACTAGAGTCTACGCCCAAGAAACAGAAGACGAAGGAACAGCATGTCGCCGTCAAGGACGAAGTGTCGGCTCCCTCAGTCACAAAATCGAGTCAGCCTGCCAACGGGCCTAAGAGCTCACCAGGCCGGCCTAAAAAGAGAAAGGACGCGCCGAAGAGGGATATTCCCACAGTTGGCATTGGCAGCCGTACGCGGAGTCGTACCAAGATTGCTCTTTGATAAACATGCCACCTTCAGTAACTGATCTTGCGGTCATCAGGGAAAGTCTTCGACAGCTACACAATGATGATCGTGTTGCACGTTGACCAGTCTTGAGTCTGCTACTTTTGTTCCTGCGTGAAATTTGTGCCCAAAGTGTATGCGGACATGGCCAATGTTAAGCAATAACCAACTATCTAAACAGAGTACGCAATCGGCTGGGGTATCATTTCCAAAAGCAACATAATCGCGCTAGATAGCTTCCATAATTAGTGAGAAAGTGGTCATTTCATGGGTAGGTATCATTGCTACACTACTTACACAAACTGTGCATTCAACACTTAAGTCTCGGCATTCCAACCGCATGTCGTCCCGGCTCTGCGCAAGTGGGTTGCAGGATAAATACGGAGTACACTCGTCATCATAGCAGAGCTGATTTGCTAGAGCAAATGCACAAAGCCCCATTATAACACTATTGGGGTCATTGGATCAGGCCCATCGAATCCAGTCCAATGATAGCGTGTCTCACCTGCTAATCGCCGACATCGGCTTGATCGTCGCTGAGTCACATCCCGGAACGGAACAACACTCTTCGACCCCGCCATCACCGTAGGGGGCAAGTGTGTGTCATAGGTCTGGCAGCTATAAACTTATTTTCTCTTGCTGAAAAGTCTAGAAATTATTCTTTAACTCCTTTCTTAAGTCCAATTGCGTGCCTTATCAAGAACAAAATAAAAAATCATCATGCCGTCCAACAAGATCTGGCTGCGCGCTGAAACCAAGCCCGCCGAGGCTCGCTCCGCCTGTAAGTGCAACACTATCTTGTAATCAGACTCGATCGGCGAAAGCTGGACTCAACTTACTTTATCATGCCTCGTCACCGCATCATACTGATCCTGTATAGTGACTCCCACCACTTGCAAGGCTCTTATTGACGCCGGATATGAGGTGACTGTTGAGCGTTCTACTCAGCGCATCTTCGATGGTAAGTGTATCTCACGTATTTGTAATGAATCTTGGGGGATTCAATGTCTAATTGATTGCTTGCTTTTTCAGATGCGGAATTTACCAAGGTATGCAAGTTTGATTACACTGTTCTCATCGCGACGCGAATCTCACACCCGTCTGATAAAGGTCGGAGCGCCTCTTGTCGAAGAGGGTTCATGGGTGAAGGATGCTCCCAAGGACGCCTACGTACTGGGTCTCAAGGAGCTGCCTGAAGATGATTTCCCTCTTGAGCACGTTCACATCTCCTTCGCACATTGCTACAAGCAGCAGGGTGGCTGGGAGAAGGTTCTGAGCCGGTGGCCCCGAGGTGGTGGTGTCCTGCTGGACCTCGAGTTCCTCCAGGATGAATCCGGACGCAGAGTAGCTGGTATGATTCCATGATCAACTTTGCGGGTATTGCAGTTGACTGATAGTGTTGTGTGATAGCTTTTGGATGGTCTGCTGGTTATGCTGGTGAGTGCATCTATGGATGGAATTTGCCTCGTGCTTCTTGGCTAATGTAATTTATACAGGTTCCGCTTTGGCCGTCAAGAACTGGGCATGGCAATTGACTCACCCTGAGGGCGAGCCCTTGCCTGGAGAGGAACCCTATGCCAACCAGGATCTTCTGATCAAGTCTGTCAAGGCGTCTTTGGAAGCCGGAAAGAAGCAGTCCGGCCGCTCCCCCAAGGTGCTTGTGATTGGAGCCGTGAGTACTGACCTCGAGTTTGTCACCAAGGAGACATATCTAACAAAATACAGCTTGGTCGTTGTGGTAACGGCGCTGTGCAGCTGGCTAAGGATGTTGGTATCCCTGAGTCCGACATCATCCAGTGGGATATGGCGGAGACCAAGAAGGGTATGCTGCATTTGAACACAACTGTTGATCATCCACTAACGTCTCAATAGGTGGACCTTTCAAGGAAATCATCGAAGACGCAGACATCTTTGTCAATTGCATTTACCTATCTTCTCCTATCCCTCCGTTAGTTTACCCATGTATCCACGAACTGCCTTTCTTCTGAAGACTAATGACGAATCTAGTTTCGTTACACCCGAATCTCTCTCCACGCCTAACCGCCGCTTGTCGGTCATCTGCGACGTGAGCGCTGATACGTAAGTTTGATTCTCGCCGGTCTCATCAATAGGCTCCAGCTAACATACGAATTGCAAAGCACGAACCCCCACAACCCTATCCCCGTGTACAACATCACAACTACCTTTGACAAGCCTACGGTACCTGTCACCCTGCCGGCTGGCACGCAGGGTCCTCCCTTGAGTGTGATCAGTATCGACCACCTGCCGTCTCTCCTGCCCCGCGAGAGTTCCGAGCAATTCAGCCAGGCTCTGCTTCCCAGCTTGCTCCAGCTCAAGGACCGGGAGAATGCCCGCGTCTGGAAGCAGGCCGAGGATCTCTTCCAGGAGAAGGTCGCTACCTTGCCTGAATCCTTCCGCGCGTAGATATACCTTTGTGTGATTTTTGCCGACTTTTCTTTTCTTAAAGTCATTCTGTACAAATCTTCTTGGATGCCTGTCATGGTGCCTTTGCTGGACTTTATTACGGTTGTTTTGCACGTCATGGGTTGTCGTCTGGTTTACGTCATGCCATAAATTTAGACAGGTCTAAAAGCAATTATAACCACTTGCTCTTTTTCATAGATCCTAGAAGCATCTTACTATACCCTATTTATAGGAGACGCTTGCTCGACCCTAGACGTTACTAGAGGATTTCGTGGCCTGAGGCCGAAGATTCGTTGATTCTACTGATTCAAGGGTCAAACAACACCTCCACTTCTATTCGCGAGCCTCAGCCCATGGACTCAAGCGGGCCGCATGCACCAGTTATTCTCATTTCTACAATCATTGAAGGGGGAAGGTTAAATGATTCGCCTATGAGTCCGATAACCCGTCTAACAGGAGTCGTGACCGTACAGTGGAGGCAGCAAGGGGTCTGCACATTATCAGCAGATGTTCTTCCTTCAAGGCTATCGCCTGATCCAGCCGGCTAGGGGGGGGGCACATAATCCATTAATGTGCCTCGCAAACAATACTGCTCTCACCACTGATGAGCCAGAATTAAAAGGGCGATGAGCTCTGGATACCATTTGTGGGGAAATCAGATTGCGTCGGGCAACATTGGGGGCCCACGAGGAATACGGGGCGCTCGGCGCTGAAGAACCTCCGAGGTAACCCAGCAAGAGGATCAATGCTTTATTGCTTTTGCCGCCTCCTGCCTGCACCGGGAACAACTTGCATTGCAGCATCCGTACTGAGATGAACATACCGAACGACTACTTGTGCTATTATGCAGTGTAGTCAATTGATTACAGTACACTAGACTCGGCCTGGGTGAGACTTCCACTCTGATTGACGCCCCCCTCCCCCCCCCTCTCCTTAAACCTTACCCCATTTTCTCTCCACATCCCTCGGTCTATTGGGGCAAGACAGCTGACGATTAGTATCCCACTAGAGCTGTCAAGAAGCGAACGTACTCCATCCCCCGAACCCCCCGAACAGTGCCAGCCCGCTTGTACATATACGTGCCTAGTTGGCAGGTCGAAGGAAAACTCAATAACAACTCGTCTTGGCGTGACAATCCATCTGCCTGTGTTCACTCGATTGTCCACCCTCCGTGGAACATTTGTCCCATGGAGCGGCTATAGCATCGACCTCGATAGTCTGCACATATATCGCTATCCAGTTCTGACCGAACCTGTGGCTAGTCCACTGCACTCAAAAGAGCGATGCAGGAGAAGTCAACCACAGTCGCCGCATATGCGGCTGGGGCGTCTCTTGCGGCCGTCGCCCTGTTCTACGTTTTTGGACCCAATTACACGATCGATGGAGATGAGTCAAGCGACAGCGGTCGCAAGAAGAGTATTGTTGGGTTGTCGAATCCTGCCAATGATTGCTTCATCAATTCCGTGCTGCAGGCTCTTGCCGGCCTCGGGGAGCTGCGAGTTTACCTGATCAGAGAACTGCATCGACGGGAGTTGGATGGCCCCGAGATTTACAGTCTCCTCCCACCATTAGACGAGATCCCACGCGATGGGAAACCAGACAAAATACGAGAACTGCAGCAAGGGACCATCACTAGGGCGCTCAAGGAGATGCTGGATCGCCTGAATGAGCGCCCGATATACAAGAAAACGATATCCGCGCGACCATTCATTCAGTCACTTGAGTACGCTTACCGGACACGAATTAGTCGGAGTCAACAAGACGCGCAGGAATTCCTCCAAATCGTAGCCGAGAGGCTTTGCGACGAATATCATGCGGGAGTCAAGGCCCGACTGCGAGCGAAAGGCATGGGCGAGCCTAACCAGGTCGCTAACTCGGATAATGAACTTCCAGCAAAGAGCCCAACGGACATCGAAGTGCGCATCGATGACGGATCCCCAAATGGTCTCCCAGCAATCATCGATACTAAGCTCAAGGAGATTGAGAATGAACACAGCTTTCCCTTCGAGGGAAAGCTCGAGTCCCAAATCGAATGCCAATTTTGTCATTACAAATACAAGCCGACCCAGACATCGTTCGTCAATCTGACGCTGCAGGTTCCTCAGAAGAGCTCAACTACACTCAGCGCCTGTTTCGATGGCTTACTCAAGACCGAGTATATCGACGACTTCAAGTGTGACCGGTGCCGACTGCAGCATGCTTTAGATACCAAAACGCATGATTTGACCAGGGCCCGCTCGGGTGAGGAGAGAAAAACACTCGAGGTGGAAATCGAGCGCATACAGACCGCCATCTCTACAGACCCCGAAGGTAGCGTAGAAGGTGTCAGCCTGCCCGCTTCAGAGCTTGCTCCAAAGCGAAAGATCGCACGACATATGCGGATCGTCGCATTTCCCAAGATCATTGCCATTCATCTTTCTCGATCCATCTTTGATCAGAGCAGTTCGTCCAAGAATGCTGCGAAGGTATCTTTCCCTGAACGTCTTCCTTTAGGCGGTATTTTGAGTCAGAAATGGTATCGACTGCTGGCGATTGTCAGCCACAAAGGTAGTCATAACAGTGGACACTATGAGTCTTTCCGCCGTAACCACCTTTATGCACCCTTTTCGACTCCCGATGCATTCAGCTCGTACGCCCAGAGTCGAGCAACCAGTGAAAACCCTTCTGAGGCACCAAGTCCAAGGCTCGGAGCTCGTCAGTCTTCCGGGCGTGAGCCCTCTGCGCTCAGTATCTCGACACCTTCAGAACCACCAAGTCACTCGTCGCAATCGTCTCCAGCCCCTTCCCGCTCTACCTCAAGCAAAGAGTCTAAAACATCGTCTCAATCGAATCCCTTATCTCCGACTACTCGTCCTACTACATCGAGCTCGAGGCTTTCTTTCCAGAGCAACCGTTCTCGATCACTAACATCTAAGCAAAACCTGTCGCCTGTTTCTGATCCACTCAGTCCAGCGAATGATGGGGGCCGCTGGAGCAAGACCTTCTCGAGAACGTCTCTCACCAGTGATCAAGGCACGCAGCCAACAACCCAGACAGCAGAGACCTCTGTAGCTTCCAGCTTCCGGCATCGCCGTCGTCGCAAGCAGAATGATAGGTGGTGGCGCATCTCAGACGAGAAGGTCAAGGAATGTAAAACATCTGACGTTCTGAGCATGCAGAAAGAGGTATATCTCTTGTTCTATGAGTTGGAAAGGCCAAATACCAGTGCATAACTTGGGTGCAACGAAGATACATAGAGAATAAAAGACCTGCAGGTGTACATATTGGACATATCCATAGAAGGATGGATACTAGTTTGAAAAGTACTACTCTAGGGGATTATATTCAAAACTCTTATTGGGGATATTATCAACCAAACCAGAGCGCATAAAGAGAATACATAGAACTTTCTTGATCTCAGTAATAACCAATTGAATTTCCTTGTACGAGCAGTACCTTTATCATGCTCTCAGACACTGATTCACAAACGATAACTTAGTCATCCATACCGCGACCGCATTCCGCTCCATTACAGCATATGATTGGCGGGGATGGCAGCTTGCCCTGCTTTCAGGCGGGTGGATCCGAGAATTCAAGTGCTGGACTGACCGGGTAAAGTGCATGGAAGGTTGTCGGGAAGTCCAGGTCTTTGTTGTTATTTATTATTATCTTTTTTTTTTTAAATAATGATTGTGGTTTGACCTGTTCCAGTCAGGCAACACTAACACCAACACAACACACCCCCATCGCTAACTAACTTGCTTCCCACTTCCTCCCGTCCATCACATAACGTTCGGAGAGCACACATACATTAGCGAAATTCAAACCCTGAAGCAGGTCGCTCTAAAATAAATACGCAACTGCGCTCAAAATTTCATCCCTGACGTTCTGCATCAGCCTCAAAAGAGAAACGAACACTACTTCCCTTCTTTTTCTTTTCCCTCAATTTACCATGCCTCCCAAACGCGCAACCCGCGGAGCCGCCGCCTCCACCACCGACGGTCGCAAAGCGACAACCGCATCCTCCAAAGCTACAGCCCCTACCAAAACCCAGAAGAAGACAGAGTCCAAAGCACCTACTAAGGCTGCTGCTGCTACTACTACCACTGCGCCTGCCAGCCGGAAACGAAAGGCTGCTGAGTCTGACGATGAGTCTGCCGCTCCAGTTGCGCGCATCCAGAAGAAACAGAAGGAAGGTGAGTGAGAACAATTCATCAACATTGTCATCGCGCGGCGCGCACGCCTTCGCGCGGGATGATTGTCGCTGCGCCTGATCATCCTAGCTGACAGGAGGGCCTTTCCTTGGCTTGGTGTCATGATAGAAGCGCCTGCTCCGATCATCAACCACCCTCCCACAAAACGACTAGACGTCTACGTCTTTGGAACGAATTGCTACGGTGAGCTCGGCCTTGGAGACGCGACCAAGAAATCGGAAATCCCGGGCCCCGTCCTCAACCCCAAGCTCGCCGCGGAGACCGTCGGTGTTGTCTACTTGGCTGTGGGAGGTGTCCACTCGGCCGCTCTTACACATGACAACAAGATTCTTACCTGGGGTGTCAACGATGAGGGAACCCTTGGACGTGATACCAAGGAAGAGAAGAAGGAGGTCGAAGAGACCAACGGCGTTAACGGGGAGGACAAGTCTGATTCCGACTCGGACGATGACGAGGTCGACTTGAACATGAAGGAGGCCACTCCCATGGCGGTTGACTCGGCTCATTTCCCCAAGGGCACTGTCTTCACGCAACTGGCAGCCACTGACAGCGCGACGTTTGCTCTCACCCAGGAAGGCAAGGTCTATGGTTGGGGCACTTTCAGAGTAGGTTCTTCTCCGCATGCTCTTGGGAAAACTACAATTTCCATACTTACAATTTCCTAGGGAAGCAACGGTGTTATCGGATTCTCCCCTGAGACCAAGTTCCAACGCACGCCGATCCTGATTCCCGGCCTCGAGAAAGTGACTGAACTTGCTGCTGGTGCGCAACATCTCATGGCGCTCACTTCCAGCGGCCAAGTCTTCACCTGGGGATGCGAGGAACAGAACCAGCTGGGACGGAGAATCTCTGGCCGCTTGCACGGCAAGTTGGAGAGTCTCGTTCCCGGTAAGTGTGCGTTGCCCGCAGGAATTGTCAGCATCGGCACCGGCTCGTACCACTCCTTCGCCGTCCGCAAGAACGGTCATGTGCACGCGTGGGGTTCGAACAACTTTGGCCAAACTGCTGTTCCCATGAGTGCGGGCCAGAGTGACGCTGTGGTGCTCTACCCCACTGAGGTCAAGTCCTTCCGCGAGTTCAACAAGATTGTTAGCATCTGTGGTGGAAAAGACCACAGCATCGCCGTTACGGAAGATGGCAAGTGCCTGACCTGGGGTCGCGTCGACAACAAGGCCCTTGGTCTGGCGCTGGCCGATATGCCTGCGGATGAGCTGGTGCACGATGAGCACGACCGGCCTCGTATCCTGACCAAGGCCACGCCGTTGGTCGACATCAAGGATGAGCACATTGTCTTCGCCACTGCCTCCAGCGATCATTCTTTCGCCATCACCAAGGATGGTCAAGCGTACAGCTGGGGCTTCAACGTTCAACGCCAGGCCGGACACCGTGAGCTTGATGAAGTCGAGCGACCAACTCTTCTCCAGAACAAGCATGTCACCGGCAAGAAGCTGGTCGGTGCCTCGGCCGGCGGACAGTTCAGTATGCTCGTTGGCGAGGCTTCGCCGCAGCAGGTGAACGGCGAGAAGGCATGAAAGTAGTAGCTATGTAAATCTGGCGGGTGTTCATGTTATTGTTTTTTTTTTTCTCTTCTAGATGGACTTGGCTTGAAGGGCTTGTATTACTAACAATGTGATGTCGTGATAATGGGAATCTTTTTTTTTCAAGTTGAATACAATCTGATCTTGATGAGCATCGTTGCTTCTCTATGTTTTGTTTTCTTCGTCCGTCCTGAAGCACACATATCTTCTGTACCTCGAGAGTGTACGGTCTTGTTATGCTGCTCTAGTACCTGATCAACTCCCAAGCCCAGAGGTCCAAAGATAGAGAAGCCCGTTCCGCCTCGGGAGTCGGCAGTCTCCCCGACTTATGGCTAAACCCGGGGGGGCCGTCGAGGTGATTCTCCACTACCGCCTGGCCCTTTTACACTATATTTGCTTATTTCTCCGTATATCGCTGGTTTCGAGCAGATCAGCTGGACTGGGGTAAAGTAGTCTAGGCCCTTGGAGAAGGGGGGGGGGGCAGAAATCGAGCGAATTGATTGGAATTTCTTGTTGCATCTTATGGGCGGAGGAATTCTCCCCGCCAATTTTTCCGATGGATAGATGGGAAGCACGAAAGAATTACGGAGAGCCCGGGGGAAGGAATAGAATGATATACCCGATTTACGGAGGGATTGGGGAAGAGCTAACTTATAGCCGGTGTTGTTGTTGGAGGAGAAGGAGGATGGCAGTACGTTTCAGCTTGTATGCAGTCATAGTACATGTAGCAAGAAGACATGAGCACGAGTAGTCTTCCAGAGGTAAACTAGAACAACGAAAATATCATCATCGCAAACTGCAAGCAAGCAAGCAAGCAGAAACCAACCGGTCGAGGGGAAGAGAAATACTCGTAACCAGCTGCAGGGAAGACAGGGTGGACAGGGTGGACAGGGTGGACAGGCAAGTGGAACAAGCCGGGCCGGGATGATGTCAAGGGAAAGACGCGGGGATTCCCGGGAAGCCGGCTGCGGCCTGAGACATGAGGCAGGAATGGAGCCCTGCAGCCCGCAAGCCGCAGCAGCGCGCGTCATCGGCGGCTTCAGAATGGAAGCATCATCCATCATCCATCGGACCTCAATTGTCCGGTTACGTTTCACTTACCGTGCTTTAGGAGCAGTTTCGATCCCTTTCTTCGACCTCAAGCTCTTCTTTCTGTGACTTTCTTTCGCCTGGTTCTTTGCTCGACTCGACTTTCAACCCAACAAACAGCATCGAGCACTGATTTCATACTGAACACATCATTCCCCACCAGCCGGTGAGTTCTTCGAGCACTGCGAATCTGAGCCCCTCCATCCTCCATCATCCATGACACACTTCGTCACTCAACTGTGCCCCTCTCTTTCTCTTGCCCACCCACCCCACCCCCTCCTCTCACCTCGTCCTCTCAAAGTGGTTTCTCCCTAGCAACCTTGAACTCTCACCCGTTGCCCCTCCTTGCCCGATTTAAATCTCCAGCTCCGTATTCGTCGCTCGGTAAAGGCCTGTTAGTCCAAAGCTATTCCCATAATTTATTTCAACCTTCTTTCCTCTCCTCACTCCTCTTTTCCTCTTCTTCTCTTCTCTTCTCTTCCCTCTCTTCTTCTTCCCATCCAATCTTCATCTCTCCATCAACTCATTACTCATCATCACCTTAACCAGTAAACCATCAGACTTCACAACTATCACAATGGGTGTCCTTGACAAGCTTTCCCGCAAGGCCGGTGTCATCGTCGGTGATGACGTCCTCCGCCTCTTCGAGTACGCTCAGGAGAAGGGCTTTGCTCTCCCCGCCATTGTAAGTATCGCAGGCCAGAACAGGTCTTCCCAAAGCTTCCAAGCAGCTTAGAGCTAACCCACGTCTACCATTGTAGAACGTGACCTCCTCTTCCACCGTTGTCGCTGTCCTCGAGGCTGCCCGTGACCAGAAGTGCCCCGTCGTTCTGCAGGTCTCCCAGGGTGGTGCTGCCTACTTCGCTGGCAAGGTATGTATTTCACGAGTTCTGTGCATGATCGAGACGGGCAATGGCTGACTGTGTACTCCAGGGTGTCAGCAACGACGGCCAGAAGGCCTCCATTGCCGGTGGTATCGCCGCTGCCCACTACATCCGCAGCATCGCTCCCGCCTACGGTGTCCCCGTTGTCCTCCACACCGACCACTGCGCCAAGAAGCTCCTTCCCTGGCTCGACGGTCTCCTCGATGAGGACGAGCGCTACTTCAAGCTCCACGGCGAGCCCCTCTTCTCCAGCCACATGATCGATCTGTCCGAGGAGCCCGTTGAGGAGAACATCGAGACCACCGCCAAGTACCTTAAGCGTGCTGCCCCCATGAAGCAGTGGCTCGAGATGGTAAGTGCAAGGTGAACTCCCGTGTGACGTCTTTCACTCCGCTGACATCCTCTCTTCAGGAAATCGGTATCACCGGTGGTGAGGAGGATGGTGTCAACAACGAGGACGTTGACAACAACTCCCTCTACACCCAGCCCGAGGACATCCTCGCCATCCACAACGCTCTCGCCCCCATCAGCCCCTACTTCTCCATTGCCGCTGGTTTCGGCAATGTCCACGGTGTCTACAAGCCCGGCAACGTCCGTCTCCACCCCGAGCTCCTCGAGAAGCACCAGGCCTACGTCAAGGAGAAGACTGGCTCCAAGAAGGACAAGCCCGTTTTCTTCGTCTTCCACGGTGGCTCCGGTTCCTCCAAGGAGGAGTACAAGCAGGCCATCAGCTACGGTGTTGTCAAGGTTAACCTCGACACCGATATGCAGTACGCCTACCTCACCGGTATCCGTGACTACGTCCTAAACAAGAAGGACTACCTCATGAGCACCATCGGTAACCCCGATGGCGAGGACAAGCCCAACAAGAAGTTCTTCGACCCCCGCGTCTGGGTCCGTGAGGGTGAGAAGACCATGAGCAAGCGTGTCCAGGTCGCTCTGGAGGACTTCAACACTGCTGGTCAGCTGTAAACCAAAAGAAGCTTATTAATGTTTCTCTGATGTGATGTGTTTTCGGATTTGACGAAACCAGATACCAAGTACATAAATTCAAAACAATTTCTTTATTAATTCTTCAGGGGGGAGGGTGTTTGGGGGAGCGTAATGTGGATTTGTGATGCGGTGTTGATGGGTTGATGTCCGCGGGGTTAAAGTTGATGATGTATGTAGTCGAGCTTCTTGACTTGTGAAGTAGGCTAAAGGGACAGTCACTTTCAGTGACTGGTTGCAGAGTTAATATAAATCTGTCATGATTCGTCTCTTGTAGTCATGAAGACCTATTGACTCAACCACATCGGGTATCCTCGTCGCCCCCCTCTCCGGTGCTGCATGGCTTACTTGAGCTACAGTCTACTGTTCTACTACCACGTTCCTGGCTCCCAAGTGGCCGTACGAACAGCCCTTCGGCACACTCAATTGAACACAAGACCGGCAGAAGTGCTGACAAGTAACAGACTTATCGGTCAAGCCAATTGACTTTTTTTCTCCCAAGGTGAACCGTGGATATATCGGCAACGTTGACAATGTTGCCAATATTGGCGTAAACCTTTCCCCAACGATTAATCTTTATCTTGGGAGGATTATCCCCAAAGCCTAGACATGTGACATATCTCGCTCGCATGGCTTAGATGGTAAAGCGCAGCACTAGTAATGCTGAGATCCTCGGTTCGAGTCCGAGTGTGAGCAGTCGCATTTATTTTTTGCTGGTTGTCTTTCGACTTCTAGTCGAGGTTCGATCCGTGCTCGGGATAGTGGTGGTCTTTTGTAGGATAATTGTGTCCTCTCTCTCTCTCTCTCTCTCTCTTACTTGATTATTCTGATGTATGGGTATATGTCTGGTGTAATTGGCCTGTCTACTTTCTCGCTGCTGGGAGGTAGTGTGACCGGCTTGGGGTAGGGGCGTCGGAAGGAGGCTATTGAGACTGATATATGTTTGGCATGTATCGGTGTTTCATGGGCCAATCGGGCTCGAATACATGCCCTGTGATGAACCTGGAACACTGAGATACTCTAATCGTGTGCCATAATGCCATGCCGTCGTAGGCCATTGCCATCCAACGACAATCCGATGTATATCCTCCGTTCTACCACAACTCCAGGCATCGCGGTGACCCAACTCCATACAGTTCAATTCGTCCCATCCTAGCAAGCTCGATGGGAGCTGATCACATGATGAGTCTGGGCAATCTGGCCATCGTAGCTCAACCTGGCTCAGATGTGGTTACATCTCGTGTTTTCGTGAACTGGTACACTGTGGCCGCCCGCGCATTATTACCCCCAGACCCGGAAGCAGAATATACGGAGCTAATGAATGTAGTATCCTGAACGTGGGTCGCCAGAATTGGTATGAATTGTAAAGCTCATCGTTCGGGGGGGGGGGGGGGGGCTGTTGTCGCGTGTTCTTCGGTGCAGTTGGTGACAACCTAGTATAGCTATACTCGGTCTGAAAGGCGCCGTGGCCGTGCTCGTATCGTATATCTATAGGACATATGGATAGCGGGCCGGGTCTTTGTCTGCTCCCGGTTTCTCGTGTACAAGCCCCAGTACTGACTCGTCTCTCGCTGGCCACATCTCTTTCTCCTGATATCTACGAGCACGGCTCTTGTGTCGGCTGCGCTTTGGGGCGCCTTTGGCCAGCCTCCAAGCACAAGATGGCCCTGGCAGACTATGTCGTACCCGTGCCTCTTGTATGAGTTCATCATAAGCTCTGTTAGTATAAGAGACTCCGGGATCTCAAATGACAAGCAACGCTATGCCCAGGAATGAATAAATTATATTTAACAATGGTTTAGCGGCGAGTGGACATTGATCGCTGGCACATTTCCAGTATATGAGGAACTTCTGCTATAGCCTGTACCGGGCTATTAGACCAGAGAATGTTAAAACAATAATGAATTTGGCCTGAGTACTCATGTATTCTGGATGATGCTCCGCCTGCACGATGATCTCATTTGTTCCAATTAGTGATCGTTCTTCTAGAACAAACTTCGAACATGAATGCAAACTCTGAGAGCGAGCTCAACCAATCAGCTCGCATGGCTTAGATGGTAAAGCGCAGCACTAGTAATGCTGAGATCCTCGGTTCGACTCCGAGTGTGAGCAAGTGCTAACTTTTTGCTCTTCGTCACCCTATACCGACTAACTAGGACCTTCCCCTCATAGTGTCAAGTATACAAAGTCGCCTAACCAAGCAGCTCGCATGGCTTAGATGGTAAAGCGCAGCACTAGTAATGCTGAGATCCTCGGTTCGAGTCCGAGTGTGAGCAAAATTTAACCTTTTTGCTCTCCTACAAGCTCATCCAGCTCTGTATCATGACGAATCTGCCCGACGGTTTCACCTGCGCTTTTAGCGTTATGCATGCCTGAGACAATCCCGTCATCACCCACGGATACTTACTCCACACGTCCTTCAAAGATGATGAGATCGGCCCGTTGTCTTTTTCTGCCATAGGCGCCCAGCATCGCGGCAGCCAACCGTTCTTAGCACACAGGCCTGTGTTATATTTAGAAACCAGCAACTCTCTCCATGTCGTGTAGATAGCGGATACTTGTGTTGAACCCTTGGATCTGCATGACCGCCGCCGTGCCGTTCTATGCCAAAGAAAGCGGACGTGCTCGCATTGCGGGATCTGTGCCGTGCTGGGGAAATTGATTGCTTCTCACCCAAGTCCAGTTCAGGCAAGTCCCAAGCCCAGGACATAGAGAGTGCAGTGGCTGCAAGTAACTTAGTCGAGGTGCAGATGCAAACCACACGTGCCTGTCTGCAAGTCGGGTAAGGTCACCGGGATGTGAGGAACTGCGTGACCATCTACCCCCAATGTCCACAAACTCTACTCCGTACGGCTTGGTCAATGGCATCGGGGTAGGTTCTTCTGGTGTGCAGGAAAACCAGGTAATGCATCGGGACCCAGTCTATACATGCGGATTGAGATGTCGTGTTGACCGGAGCAGATGCGGGGTCCCGGCTATCAAGGGATTAATCGAGTCCGGAAATTGTAGGAAGCGTGCTATCGACATCATAGCACAAGTCAATGCCATGACCTGTTGGGATGGAGAGGAGCTGGCCCAAACTCAACTATAGTGTTTTCATCATGGCCATCGTCCGAGTGAAAACAATAAGCAAAGCAGTCATCCGATCAAGCCGTAGAAGGGTCCTGTGGCTTGACTGCCGTGACCAAAAATAGAAGCAGATGACTCCATTTACCGGCAATTGACAGCAAGACCCGAGTCCTCTTCTTCGACATTTATTGCGGTGTGCCACAATCGCTTGCCCACCAGCCACACCGGGCTGGTAACTAGGTATTCCTCGTATGGGTACGGTAAAGAGTGGCTGAAAGAAGCATTGGGCGCGGCTCTGCCAATGGTACCCAGCGTACGGAGTACTGGTGGTCAGGAAGACGAATTTTGCGTACCGGGGGACCCGACGGAGGGTCTGAGACATACTGCCCTAGGCCCGCATTGGTTGGTCCACCACGACAATAGCCCGACCATCTCTTCCATCTTCATCCAACCACAGAACCCCCGGTGGAGTTCTTTCTTGTTGTTTGGTTTTCGTTTTTCTTTTTTGGCTGCTTTCTTGGGTCGCCCTGAGGGTTCACTTGGATCCGTCTGAGACGCTGAACCACGTCGGGCGGGTAAACAAAGCGTGCAGTCCGGGAAGAGAACGAGGAGGAAGAAACAATCTGATAGATAACTTACATAGTGCATGACTCCTTTTTATTTGATTTCCAGGAGGAACAAGTACTCTGTACTCTCCAGACAAGCATCATCTTTCATCTACTACATAGTACATGTGTACATGTACCACTTCTAGTGCTAATTAACACATTACTAGTACCAGTGAGAAACACTCAGCCGGCTCCACTCAGTCAACGTATGCAGGGCGCATCTCGACCTCCGACTGTCAGAAGTGGAATTATTCATACGTACTGGAGGTACGTCAAGGGAGAGTCCAGTCCGGTCCATTCTTGACGCTCGTTCGTTCCCTCCCCATCCCCCCAGGAAGTCAAGATTCAAGATTCAATCCTCTACTGGATCGCAAATCGAATCCCCGAGAATCCCATTTCTCAGCGTTGTTGTTCAGAGTAGCTTGTCAACCGCGAGACTAGAGGGCGACTAGTGGTGGTGGTCGAGACCCGCCTCCAAACGCGAATCCACTTCTCCATCATCGCTGATTATCTTTCTCTCCTCTTGTTCGCCTTCCACACGCCCATCTCTGATTTTCCTGGTTCGGTTTCACATTCTTCGCCTCACTCACTCTCACTCCTCCCGTCGAGTGCTGTCCAAACTTCATTCTCTTCTCTTTATTCTTCCTTCTTGTTGCGCGCTTCCTCTCTCCGCCTCCTCTCCCTCTCCTCTGCCTTGGCTTCGCTCCGTCGATGCCGCCTCGGCTCAACAAACACCATGCAGTCTAGCGCTCTCTGGCGGCGCGACGATTCCACGGATCAATTTCTCAAACTCATCCAGAACCCTTTTAAATCCGCCGTATGTCATGCTTGCCCCGGATGACCGGTTTTCTTCAATGTATAACTAAGGAGCACAACAGTTTCAAATCAACGCCGTCTGGGCCTCGTTGGCCACCTCCGCCGCCTTCAGCATCCTCCTTGCCCTCCTATTCTCGCTCTTCAGACCTCGTCACTCCCTCGTCTACGCGCCCAAAGTCAAGCATGCCGACAAGAAACATACCCCTCCACCGGTGGGAAAGAGCTTCTTTGGCTGGCTCAAGCCTGTGGTGCGCACCAAAGAGCCTGACCTAGTCGACTGTGTCGGGCTCGATGCCACCATGTTCATCCGCTTTGCCAAAATGTGCCGGAACATTTTCATCTTCTTGAGCATCATCGGCTGCGGTGTCATGATCCCTTTGAACCTCACGCAGAGCCAAGGCGACACCGTCTCCCAGTTTGGTGCCTTTGCGACGATGACCCCGCTCTATGTCAGCACCGACGCTATCTGGGGCCAGGTAGTTTGCGCCTGGCTGTTTGATATCATCGTGGTCTTCTTTTTGTGGCGGAACTACAAGGGTGTTTTGTCTTTGCGCAGAAAATACTTCCAGAGTGCCGATTATCAGCGCAGTCTCCATGCGCGTACACTGATGGTGTGTGACGGTCTCGCGAATCAGTTCTCACTCACAAATCCACTAACCAAGTTATACATTAGATCACCGATATTCCACCGTCAGCACGTTCGGACGAAGGCGTTCTGCGTTTGACGGACGAAGTCAACCCGACAGCTGCCCTCCCGCGAGCCGCCATTGGCCGTAACGTGAAGGATTTACCCCGTTTGATCAAGGAACACGACGAAACGGTGCGACAACTCGAATCCGTGCTGGCCAAGTACCTCAAGCGACCCGATCGACTCCCGCCCAATCGTCCGACCATGACCCCGCACCGGAAGGATAGAAACGAGCACCCGAGCGGCAAGGTGGATGCCATTGATTACCTGACAAGTCGCATTCAGCGATTGGAAGAAGAGATTCGGCATGTTCGGTCTTCTATAGATAGACGCAATGCCATGCCGTTTGGCTTCGTCAGCTGGGATATGATCGAGCATGCGCACGCTGTGGCATATAACGCACGCAAGAAGCACCCTCAAGGCACAACCATTGCCCTGGCCACTCGCCCGGATGATCTGATCTGGGAGAACCTCCCCTTGTCCAAGGGCGCACGGAGGTGGAAACGATTTCTCAATGCGATCTGGGTGTCGCTTCTGACGTTCGTGTACATCGTTCCTAACGGATTGATTGCTATCTTTCTGTCCAACTTGTCGAACCTGGGTCTAGTGTGGCCCGCATTCCAGACATCACTCGATGCCAATCCCAAGGTTTGGGCCGCCGTTCAGGGTATCTTGTCTCCCGCCATCACATCCCTTGTCTACCTCGTCCTGCCCGTCATCTTCCGACGGCTGGCAATCCGGGCGGGCGACGTCACTAAGACCTCTCGCGAGCGTCATGTGCTCGGCCGGCTTTACTCGTTCTTTGTGTTCAACAACCTTATCGTTTATTCCCTCTTCGCTGCCGCCTGGACCTTCGTCTCCGCTGTCATCGATGCGCAGAAGACCGACAACAACGCTTGGAAAGCCATTCAGGATGGACAGTTCTATGAGAAGATCGTGAGTGCCCTGTGCAACGTGTCTCCCTTCTGGGTGACCTATTTGTTGCAGCGAAATCTAGGTGCCACCATTGATCTGGTTCAATTGGTTACTGTCTTCTGGGTATGGTTCTCCAAGACGTTCCTCTCACCTACCCCTCGCCAGGCTATTGAGTGGACGGCCCCGCCATCTTTCGAGTACGCCATGTATTACAATTACTTTCTCTTCTACGCTACCGTCGCGCTTTGCTTTGCGACATTACAGCCCATTGTGCTACCCGTCACCGCGCTCTACTTTGGGCTGGATGCAATGATGAAGAAGTACATGCTGATGTATGTGTTTGTGACTAAGACCGAGTCTGGCGGTCAATTCTGGCGCGTGCTGTTCAACCGCATGGTTTTTGCAGTTATTTTGTCCAACATCGTCATTGCCTTTGTGGCTAAAGCCAAGGGTACCTGGACCATGGTTTATTGTGTGGTTCCGCTGCCGTTCATGATGCTCGGCTTCAAGTATTACTGCATGAGGAAGTTCGATGCTGACATCACCTACTACAACCGCGCAAACCTCACGGATGCCGAGGCCCTGGCAGTCAGCAAGCCGAACAAGAAGGCATCTGAGCGGCTAAACGCCAAGTTCGGCCATCCCGCCCTCTACAAGCCCCTCATCACCCCGATGGTGCATGCCCGGGCTGCGGAAGCACTGAAGCGTATCTACAGCGGTCGTCTGGGAACTGCCGACGCCGAGGGTGAATACTCAGACATTGCCATGGATGCCATGTCGACGGCTCACCCGGGAAAATCTATGATGGACGCTACGAGCCCGGCGCCTTTCGAAGTCGTCCCCGAAAATCACCTAGACTTCTCTTATTACAAGGACCGACCGGATTTCCGGGACGAATTTGGCGGCGGTATCTATGGTCGCCCGGACGATGTGTTTACCGAACGCTCGCATACGCCCCGGAGTGCTTTGGGTGAGTGGTCGCCCACCTCTTCGCGCGCCTCGTCCCCGACCCCATCGCTGCCGTCGCTCTCCGGGTTGAAACCGCACGATAGCTACGATCCGACGGCCTACGACCACATCCATCCTGCCTTCCGTGTCCCCGCACCCATAGGAGGCAGCGGACTGTATCAGCAGCGTAACGAGAGCGAGACGGAGCTGCTTGCTCAAGCACAACAGCCGGCAGTTCCGGAGATGGCCACGCCATTGGACCGCTGGCGGACGAGAGGATATGGTCCTGTCGAGCAGGATGATCCCACTTTCACCTCGTATGAGCACTACCGAATGCCACACTAGAAGCTGTGTGCAGATATGATTTTTTTTTTCTTTTTGATTGTTTTGTTTTGCAGCGACAACGACGACTAGATCGTTGATACATTAGATTTTGGGATGGGATTTTTGGCATTCCTCTTGCGAGGAGGCAGGAGTAGCGGAAGCAACGTGCCCACGACTATTTTGTTCTGTTTAGTTCTGTTTAAAACATTTGAGCAAGAGCTGTACATATTTACATGATTAGAAGATTTGTGTGTAAATACGCATCTCCGGATCACATGCAAAAGTGGACGAGATGTGTTTGAATTGATTATCACAGTAAGGCAATAACAAATAACCTAGTGCTTAGAACCAACGAACTGGATTGCTGCGGAAATTAAATGACATTCCCTTTCTGCTTTATAACGCTGCCTCGGAACAACCTTGAATGATATCGTTATGAATCCGAGCCCATCCAGCAAACAAGCCTACTGGAGCACATAGGCGAGGAAGTTTATGAAAACACGGAAAGGCGAGATCCTTGGTTTGCCCCATAGAGCAAGGTTTAGCTTGATTTCCTACAATGTAGGCAGAGAGTCGGTGGGAACCCCTCTATTTTCCCATACCCACATGTCGAATGATCTTGCCACAATCAACAATCTGGCAAGTATCTGTGAAACCACCCAGGTTTTCATATCTAGAAGGTCAAGTCAGGAGCATTTTGGATAATGGCAAATATTCAGATATGGTCTTATCCTGTCAAGGCTGTGACTATCAGGCCAGGTTCATCAGGGCGTAGTCTACCAACAGTCATCTTTTCCCCGGCTGCGTTAAAGAACGAAGTAGATGTGACTCTTTCGGGTCGTCATCGAAGATGACTCTAGGAAATCTCGTTCTAGCTCCCGGCCGGACCACATCTATGATATTTTTGTCCATCTTTGGTTTTCATCGCTAGCCCGCAGCCCTCATTCAACCTGGCAGTGACACCAAACTACACAATCTTATGTCTTGCAGTCAGAAGAACCGGCATATCATGCACCACAAAGGTCAAAATATTATCCGTAACACACGGGCGCAAAGGGTTCGCCAAATCGATATGGAAATGGCGAAAAAGCTGGCGATGGTATTAGCACACTACGTATACCTATAAATCCCCCGTTCCACCTTTTGCTCGAAGGGGTTTCTTCACTCACCTCGAAGAGCACCTTGTGGATCTCACACAGTGCAATGTGTCTGGTTGGAACGTTAGCAGGGTTTTCGAACGGTCAGCTACACAAAAGGTAAACTCACTTTCCCAGGCATGTGGTCAACCCGGCACTGAAGCAAAGGTTCGCCTTGTCGTATGCGTTCACGGTTTCCGCATCTACCAGCCACCGTTCAGGGCGGAAGAGGTCGACATCGTCTCCGAAGACCGACTTGTTTCTTCCGAGTGCCCACATACTGAAGCCTAGGGACGGACCCGCTTTAGTAGCTGATCGTGCTTACGGGCGAAGCATCGCGGGAACAAAGATTGCAAACTCACCCACTTCGGTACCTCCAGGCAGAGGCTGTCCACATATAGTCGCTCCCTGTGGAGGAACAACACGAGGAAAGGGCGTGCTGGAAGAACGTGTCAGTCAGAACATGCCCAGGGTACTGTGTCAAACATACCCAATTGGTGGATGGATGCGAAAGACCTCCTTGACGATGGCCCCAAGAAACGGAAGTGCTTTAGTCTCACGGTAAGAGATGACCGGACCCGGGACAGCGGCATTGGCCAGTCTCTCCGTGCTTTCAATCTCGTTCATCAGTTTTCGATAGACCCGCGGGGTGCTAACGATATAGACAACTGCGACGCGGAGAATTGTGGCGACAGATTCCGGGCCCGCAATCCTGAGAAACGGTCATTCCTTTTTTCCATGTTGATCAAGAAAGGGATGAATATATGGAAGTCATACACTGGGGTGAACGCCTCCACTTCCAACTCGCGCTGTGGAATCCCCTGACCCCCCTCGTCGCGGTACTGAAGGAATCGATGGAGCAGATCCTTGACCCCAGAAGGATTCCCTTCCCGGACTCTTCGCCGCACCTCGTTAATTGCCATCTATAAGCCGCAGTGAATGATTAGTGCTGTTGAGAACAGGGCTGCTTAATGTACTGTAGAGACTTATACGTACTCCTCTGATCATGCCAGGCCCCCAATCATCCGTGGGCTTGGTACCGAGAAGCGAGTTAACCCAAGGGTGATTAATGAATCTTTGGAGCTCCGGAAAAGTCGTCATGATTCGTGTCACATTGAAGAGCTCCGTAAGAGATTCAATGATCGAATTAACATCTTTCCCTTGCTCAACAAATCCGACACGGTTGCTGAAGGCAAGATCCATAATTGCGTCAAAGGCGACTGTAATCCCCAAGAGTCCAGGTTGGAATCATATACAACAAGGTCAAGGACAAGACGGGTTGACTACTTACAGAAGTGAATGTAATCCGAGAGATCGCACACTTTTCCGGTCGAGGCGAAGCGAGTATCCAACGCGGAAATAAACTCTTGAATCGATTTGTCCAGGAATGGTTCAAGCTCATGCATTGCATCTGGGTTATACTGAGATACACAGTTCTTAGTTAGACACTATGTGCGAATGGCAGGCCAGCATGAGGAAACAAACCGCCTGTGCAATTCTTCTGCGTTGGGTGTTATGTTGGTGCATCGTCCGTGCAGTCCCAACACTCTGGAAACCAATCTGAGGATCCAAGGTGATGAACCAGTCGGATCGGTTCCATTTGTGCACTTCATGAATAAAGGCCGGATCATTTACCACGACGTATTTCGGTGCTGCACGGTATATAGGGCCATATCTTTCGTGCGCCTGGATATCCCTCCAGTGAAGCTCTCGGCTGTACACTTGGCGTAGAAGCCAAAGTCTCGATACCGAGGCCCAAAACGGTCCAGGGACCCCTCGCAAAGGATCATTCTGCCGGTAATGGATCAGGAGCAGAAAGGCCGCAAGGACCGGACCAGCCACTACTGAGAAAGAGAGTAATGTCCACATTGTGAGTCGAATTACCAGAAGGTGGTGTGGTCTTGGGCTCGACAAGCTTCTCCTTTTTGTACATGTAGAGTATCTGAAGGCCACATAGGGGGGGTTTGGGGGGGGGGAGGGGTGCAATTTGCCTCCCAGCCAGATCGAGATTCTCCCTGTTTTGCAGCCATGCAAGGGGATCAGGTAGTTGACGCATGCCTCATGTTCTCTGCAGTTAAGCACATGCCTCCCTAGCTACCTCTCCCCCAACCTCGCTTTGCAGAGGCCTGAGCTGTACAGTTGAGAAGCAAGGTCCTGTGACCGGCGAGCTCAGTCAATGCCTGTGAACCACGCCAATTTCATTAATCACCATTGTGAGTGAATCCACTCAATTATTGATCGATATGTACTAATAAGATGCATTCTGTCTTCTGTGAGGCAAATCCTACAACTAATCAATTTTCAATTCTATCGGCAATAACTAATCTCTGGCGGCAGGACGGAGACAGTCCCAGTAGAGTAGAGTACATGGTGCCTGTATACTACTCAGAAAAAGAAATAGAGCCACGACGGCGGTCAAGCTTAGGCCTTGTTTGCGAGCTTGAGCTGGTAGAAGGCTTGACAACCAACGCATCAACAAAGATCAGTTCATGCCAGAATTTGATGAAGTGGGCGAGGAGGTCTTACCCAGATCACAGGTTGAATCAGCCCAAACTTGAGCTGGAAGGACACCGGCCTTGTCGAAGAGATCCTTACGCTCGCTAGAATTATACTTGTGACTGTATGCGAAGCGGATCTTCTCGCCTTTCTTAACAGTGATGTGATCTAACGGGGCGCCTAACTGGATATCGCGATCCCGAGGCGTGTACGAGGCTTCGTGCCGCCCCATAACCGGGTTGTATTCACTGAGATAGTACCAATCATTGGATTGAAAGACCTCCGTGACATGGCCTTTGGCATCACTGCTGGCGTCCTGAATAATAGTACTCGCATACTGTAGACCAGCCAGGGCAAAGGGGACCACACCATCCGAAGTGTACGCTCGCAAAACCTTGGTGGGAAGCTTACAGGAGTCGATACTGACCAGGACAGAGCTCTGATCGTCAGGCGTACAGGTGGCTTCCACCATACTGCGGAGGAAGTTGGCTGCGTTCTCGCGCGAGAAGTTACCGATAGTTGAGCCGAGAAAGAGCGCGCAGTGTGGCCGACCGGTTTTCTTAGCGTCTTCCTTAATCCAGGCCAGTCCATCCTCAAATGTGCCGTGGAGTGCAGCACACTGGACGTGCTGCCATCGCTCGGTTGGCAGCGTGCGCAGCGTCGACTCCAACTCTGCACGGCTCAGATCGAGGGCATAGTAGGTCACATTCTTCTTCATTTCTTCTAGGGCGTCCAAGAGAATATTGATCTTGTCCAAACTTCTGGGAAAAGGAAAAGGGAGAAAGGCATACCCCAGGTTAACAGTGATCTTTCCCTCGTGTGGTGCAAACCGCAGCAAAACAAGGAAAGAAAAGGAGACAGAGAAATAAAGAACGAGAGAGGTTTCTTACCCGCTGCCCAAATCAACGATGGCGCTATTGTCCGCAATTGAGTCGGCCATCTTATGGGCCTGTTCTCGAAGAATATGAAGTTCCTCATGACGGGGGTAATATTCGGGAGCATGAGAGTGACGGTCCCAGTGTTGCAATCCTTCAGTGCCGTAGAGGATGAGGATCGGGAGGGTGCGTGGATCTTTCTGGATTCCATCCATCACCGCCTCATAGATGGAGTCTTCAACCTTGACGGCACGAATATCAATGATGGTAGGTTGATACATGATGGAGGTGGCACACAATCAATCAATGATCCAAGAAGGAAGACTTTGTTGGGGGAGACTTTGGTTATCCTAGGCAGGAGAATGGTCGCCGTCGTGAGGGATATAAAGGCCATCCCAGCCTTCGCAGACCGCAATATTAAGGATCTCGTTGCCCTGGAATGCAAGCATCACCACTCTTACCACCCTTGGCCACCCTTGCCTTTCTCTGAGACACACCTTACTTTATCATTCTCCGACCAGCATGCATCTATTGGAGACGCTGTGCGTGCTGGGCTCCGCTGAGAGTCAGGTCTGAGTTACTTGTTGATAAGAAGCTGTTTTGAGGCTTTTGAGGCAATTGTTCTGTGACGCCTCGAATGCTCGATGATATCGTGACCAATTTTGTCTTCATGGGTCTGGGCCGGCTCTTCCCTAGAGTCCTCGTAGGTTCTTCCCTATACGTGTCTGGCAGCAGACAGACGAAAGGGTCTAGGAAGTTTGCTACTCCAACTAGGAATGAACCAATGTAACGCAGCTTTAACGCAGTTTGTCCGTCTGGCCGGCTAGGCCCTCCTTCGACTCGAGTACAGCCGTCTTAATTCCTCCAAACTAGAATGCTCAAAGCACTACCAACAGGACAATGGCAGCTCTCGAACTGCAGCTCCGGCGCCACCGCCGCCACCAGAGACCGAAACTCCTCCAATGACCGCTCCTTCCCTGCGAGCAGGGCATACATGGCGATGTCGAGCGTCCGAATATACTTGTCCATCAACCAAGGCCGGGTGCCTTTCGCGGGGAGCACCATGTCCATGATAATCAACCGCGATTCCCGGGGTAGGCCCGCCACCGCGGCGGACAAGATACGCTTACAGTCTTCGTCGGACCAGTCGTGGAGGATGAAGCGGTACAAGTAAGCATCGGCGGTGACGGTCTGGGGCTCGAAGAAGTCGTGCGCCATGAACCTTACATTGGCGGTCGGGGAGGCCTCGCTGATGGCTGTAGCGAGGTCCTGGACGGTGCATTGCAGATGGGGGTACCGAGCCGTGAGAGCGAAGCAGGTATGCCCGATCGAGCCGCCAACCTATGTATAATATCGGTTATGATTGACCTTTGCAGAGATCGCCTTGAGGAGCGGGGTAGGCACTTACATCGACAAGCGAATTGATACATTTCCAGTCGAATCCATTAACCACGTGGTCGACCGACTCCATCGGGGAGGCGCAGCTGGCCGCCATGAGTTCATGAAACTGGCGGTCCAGCGTCGGGGACTGCGCGTGAACGTCCCACAATGTCTTGAGGCGACCGTTGTCCTCGACATCTCGATATGCGAGACCGACCGCGCAGGCGGCGGGATCGTCGCCCTTGGTATTCAGTTGGAGGGACTCGTACATGTTCGGGGCGACCCGGGAGTAAATCTCCAGCGTCCAGCTTGCCCCCCCGGCGGCTTGCTGGTCTCGGACAAAGATCGAGGACATGGAATTATGTCTCACCTCACCATTGGCACCGACAGCGAGAAATCCACATGTCGACGCCAGGGCAATCATCCGTGACAGTAACTGCACGGATACGTTCGCCTCGGACGCCAACTCGCGACAAGATTTGGATGTCCCCAACGGGATCATGGAGGGAATTTTGAGCTTGATCAGGGTCTGAATGGTGCCGACTTCCAGGCCCTACGTATCCGGCGGACCTTAGCATGCATGGCACATGAACTGATTCTTCCATTCATGCGCAGAGGGGGGCTTGCTCACTGTGGTTGCATAGGTTTGTAGATGCCCTAATGGTCCGCGGGCCAGGCGGAGAATCTTCTCCGCCGCCTCAATCACCTCGGCTTTTGCATGGTATCCCTGCGCACTTGACAGAGGTAATTCAAGCGGCGCATCCTCGTCTTCGAATGTATACCTGTCAAGGTTGACCTTCGCCAGCTCCTGCACGAGCGCCTCGATTTTGGCCTCAAGAGTCCTCGCCAGAGCTGGTAAGGAGGACATGATGGTCGGAAGTTGGGATTGTATTGATTGCCAACGGGGATCTAAGCTTGTGGTTGCGGTGGGGGCCGAATGATTTAAACCATTCAAATTAGGCTGTGTGCAGACCACAAACCGGCGATCGAGCGCGCACTTCCCTGAGATGAAGCGCAAGGAGTGTGGTGGGGCATGCCAGAATGGAGCAGAGACGGAGGGAGGCATGCATGCATTCATTCCATCGGCTCCACCTTTCTACATCGTACTGTACAGTACCCCTCAGCAGTCTTCACCAGTCTTCACCGGTCCTCACCGGTCCTCACAGGACTCGACCCTTACTTGTAGCTCGTCATGGTGGCAATCCTAGCAATCCTGATATCACCCAGTCGGAGATTCCTTCCAGACAGTAAGACATTATTCCTCTTTCCCTCGTTCATCCTTTCGGTCATCAGTCGTACTACTCAACCGCAGAATCCCCAGGATGGCGCTTCTCGTTGACGGAGGCCTTCTCTTGGTCTTTGTAGGTATCCTGAGCTTGTACCTGGCTGGACTCACGGTGTACCGACTTGTCTTCCATCCGTTGGCCAGATTCCCCGGACCGAAGCTCGCTGCCCTGACCAGTTGGTACGAGTGCTACTATGATCTGGTCCAGGGGGGGAAGTTTCTCTGGGAAATCGAGCGAATGCATGCGGTCTATGGTTCGTCATTCAAATCCCCCCCCAGCCCCAGCCTCCACACGAAGCCTCAATCAATCGATCAATCAATGAATCAAGGATGAGGGGGAAAGATTAACTTCTGTTGATTCCTCAGGTCCCATTGTCCGGATAACTCCGCGCGAGCTCCACATCGACGACCCCTACTACTACGACGAGATTTATGCCCCGTCCTGGAAGCGTCGGGACAAGGACGAAAAGTATGTGAAGCTCGACGCGGCCCCAGGGTCAGTATTCTCCACGACACAGCATGAACTGCACCACCGGCGCGCAGCAGCCCTGCTCCCCTTCCTCTCCAAGAGATCCATCCGCGGAATCGAGCCGCTGATCCGGGAGAAAATCGATCGGCTCTGCGCGTATCTGGAAAGCTGCATCGAGCGCAAGAAGATCGTGAACGTCCCCAGTGCAGCCATGGGCTTGACCATCGAGATCATCTCGTGTTACGCATACGGCGATAGTTACGCCTGTCTCGACGATGATGTCCTGGGAACCGAATGGAAGAACACCATCACGGCTGCCAACGAGGAAGCGGCCTTCCTGCGACATTTTCCCTGGGTGCATGACCTGGTCCAGCTCTTCCCCGCCGGCCTGATCACCTTCATCCGACCCAGCCTGGGGCTTTTGATGCGCTGGCAGAGCCGTATCGACCAGCAGACCAAGTTGGTCTGTCAGCAATACCAGGCAGGGATCCTGCCCCCCCGGACCATTTTCGCCGCCATTCTGGAGAGTGATCTCCCCGCGCACGAGAAAGAGGCCTGGCGACTCAACAGCGAAGCCCAGAACCTTCTCCACGCCGGCAGTGAGACCTCAGCCAAGACGCTGGAACTGTGTCTGTTCCACCTCCTCAATGACAAGGCCAAGTTGCGGAGGCTGCGCGAGGAATTGAAGACCGTGATGCCGGAGCCGACCACCCCCGCCTCGTGGCAAGCACTGGAATCTCTTCCCTACATGGTACGTTCATCATTCCGGGCCTTTGCCAGTGCTTTTTGTCCTCATCAACTGATCGAATGGTGTTGTCTGCAAGTCGGCCTGTGTGCAAGAGGGGATCCGCCTTCAGCTTGGCATCACCAGTCGAAGCCCCAGAATCGCCCCCCACGAAGACCTCCAGTACCAAGACTGGACAATCCCAGCGGGCGTGAGTCTAAACACCCCCCCCCCCCCCGGGTCCAATTTGGCGGGGCCCTTGGAACTGAACCTCCTATCCTTTCCCAGACCCCGGTCAGCATGATCAGCTGGTTCGTGCACACCAACCCCCAGCTGTTCCCCGATGGTCTCGCCTTCCAACCTGACCGCTGGCTCAAAGCGAGCGCGGCCGGCTTCAGGTTGGACAAATACATGACCTCCTTTATGCGAGGCGGGCGGCAATGCTCTGGAATTAAGTATGCTGGCCTATTCCTACTAGTCCCTGTCTCTGGGCTGCGGGGCGGAACATTGGAAACCTTGCTGACCCTGCGATCCCTCTTTCCCAGCCTTGCCTACTGCCAGGTGAACCTCAGCTTGGCGACCTTGATCCGGCGATTTGACTTGGAACTGTTCGAAACTACAGCGCGAGATGTGAGCCCGCATTGGGACTGCTTCGTGGCGTATCCCCCACGGGATAGTCAGGGAACGAGGATTCGGGTGATGGGGATGGTGAGGGAGTAAGAGAAGTGATGGAAGTAAGATTGTGGGGGGGTGGCAGGCACATCTATCTCCCTGGCAATGGATATTGTCTCCTTGGTTCCCGATTAGGCCATTGCCGACTTTCTTTGATGGAATGTGGGAAGATTGTGAAGCAAGAGTAAACTCCACAGCTGAATCGGGAGCACTCCAGGTACCGCGCTTGTTGTCATTTTACAACTTGCAGTATAGGATAAGGGATTTTTTCCAGTATCTACAGTACTAAAATAGTTAGTATTATTCTAAGTATAGGACTACAGCAGTTGCCTATGCCTGCTATATTAGCTCTAAGAACTTCTTTACTGTGGATAATATAAGTTACCCAGACTTTATTTGGAAAGAGCCAGGACTAAAGTATAATTTAATCAACTGACTCCAGTTATCTCTTACTTAGAGACAAAGCGCAAAGTAAATATTAAGTAGGGTTAATTCTACTGGGCTGCTGATTAAAGATATTTTAATATAGTATACAGATATAATTAACCTAGATTATAATTAGATTCAAAAGTAAAATACAGTTAAGACTTAAAAATATTAGTATACTTAATAAGAATTAAGATAGATCTATTTTTTCAAGTAATTAAAAGAATTCTTATCTGGTAAAGAATATAATTCTTTAATGATCAACTTTTACTGCAGTTTAGGAGTATGTATAAAACCCCAACCCAACTTTTGTATATAAATACTACTAGGCAACTACTTGTACTAAACCCGATAGGAACTTGGAAGGCACCTCAGGAACCGAGGATGCTGACCAATTAATGGCCAGACCCGCAGCTCATCGGCCCTCACTCTTCGTCCATCATCCGTCATCATTTCCCCCCCTCTCTTCTCTCACACCAGCCAGCTTCGATTGCTTCACGGGGCTGCAATGCGGTTGTTTATCGACAGTCAAGGTAGCTCCGTGACTGCCCGACCGACTTCTCCTGCAACAGACTGAACATCGGCCCACGTACCTTGCTGCTTGCGCCCACCACACCAGAGTGCCGAGCCGGACTCCGGGTGCCGTCGGATTCCCTGTGATCGAATACAAACAGCTTCGCCATACCCCAGTCGACAGGGTATATATAATTCCCAACCGGAGGACAAGTATTGGCAACTGCTGTCCCCGCTTGCCAACTCGTGCCGTACCCACACCGATGCTCGCCGAACTTCCAGCAGCGACCTCACCACCACCAATCCACTGAAACGAACAATACACCATACCATTACCTTCCGCTTCGCTCCCTTTCTTCTGCAACAACCCATATTCCTACCCACAACAATCATCAAGCCTTGACATCCACCACCATGGCATGGTACTCACTTCTTCCGCCCGACTTTCTCTATATCGAAAACTGGCTTGTGCATGTCTTTGTCCGTCTCACCCCTCCTTTACTCTCCTTGCTTACCGCTTTTCCTCCCAAGCTTCTAACTAACGGTTGATTGGTGACGCTACAGATCTTTCTCGGCTTTGTCACTATACTTCCCTGGGCTACACTGCTGGTCTTTGACATATGTCTGTACATTTGGCGGATGGTGAAATACGAATTCCCCCTCATCGGCGGACGAGCGAGGGGTAAGCAGCGGCCGCGAGCCCCGAGCTTGAACGAGAGGCCGGATGGGCAGCCTAGGGTCCTGGGGCTGGGGACGGGGGCCCTGGTGAATGATATCGGCGATGGGGGCATTGCCAGCGTGGAGAAGTTACGAAGCAGAGGTGGGAGGTATGAGGGAGACGAGAACAACTGAGCGCAGATGGCGTCTCTCCCCCCCTCCCTCGGTGCTGAGAGAGCTCTGCTAGCCTCCCGGTGAGGCTATTTTCCTTCAAATTTATCATTTTTGGATTTATGCTGTCTTGGATGGACCATCTGACTGCCGATTGGCTATCGCGCGAAGTGAAGGTGGATGGATGCCTGTGATCAGGCAGTTGGAGGGAGGTCTGCATGTATGGACAAAGTGACTGGCGACATGTTTGAAATTCGTCTGTGTATATTGATACCCTGTATGTACTCTTATTTATCCGTATATCAATTTGCCCTAATCTAACTGATCAGGTTCCATTGAAGGTACTATCGTGACTATTATCGGCAGGTTGAGCAATCAGCAGACAGCGGGGATTCCCACCAATGGCAGCCCGCGATAGTATGCAATTTATGGGAGGATAAGGTATCTGCCACTGGACTGCCACGCCCCGCGGGCATGATAACGTGGAAGTACTTCTATTGATGCACTGCACTCTACTCGCCTCTCCTACGTCTCTCCTCAATTCCTTCTCCTCTTTCGGCCGGTTGTTCCAGAAATACTAGTATATACCCAGGGGTCCGGACAATGGACCTTCTCACGTCAACCTTGGATGCCAGCATACTATACGTCGAGCGGAATCCCTTCTCAATCGTCTTCCTTGTACTCACCCTCTGGCTCTTTGGACGATTCATCCGAGTATGTCTCTCTGATAATGTACCGTCATATTGAAACTAACTGGAGGATGTCCAGGGCCGGCCACACTCAAATGACGATGTCATTTCGGAAACAGAAAAAGATGGGTACCCGCCCATTGAGCCTCTCCACTCCTTCGACTGGGAGACTACCGAGCCAGTGCAGTTCCGGCCTTTCAAGGCGAAGTATCATCTCACAATGGGTATGGAGCTCCATGTCTCCCTGTGCAAACCTGCCTCTGTCCTCTTTCGTTGCCTATTCCTGTTGCACAGGGCCAGTGTCTTGAGGACGCTCCACGCCTCTCTCCGATGCACCCACTCGAGTTGTATGAACTACATATCCCGATAGCCCGCTGTTGCTGTCTTGAGCCCCAGACCAACCTCATCCCCCGTCATTATACGACAAACTAACCAACCACCGACATAACAGCCCTCTCAAACCTCGACATCTCCACCCTCATCCTAATCGACAAGACCTACAGATCTCGACTCGCCTACCGCCAGTCCCTGCTTTCGAAATACCCTTCCGTCGTGATCGGCGTCACACCCACCGCCGAGTCAGAAGGCAGCCTCGCCCACTCCGCCGTCCGCGAACTCTACGAGTTTGTTCTCGGCGTATACCTCCCCACCAGGTATCCGGGGGTCTTTGATCTGGTCGACACTACTAGCAGCAGCAGCAGCAGCAGCACGAGTGACGAAAACACGGATGAAGGCCTAGCTGGGGAGACGACGGCAACGAAGGAGAGGAAACCGAAATACCTCCTCAACAGAATCACCAATCGGTCCATCCCGACCAGGTGTCCCATCTCGGCCCGCGAAGCCCTTACCACGCTGGGAACGGTCGTGGACGAGGACTTCCTGATCCTACTGCCCACCTCACGGGTAGGTCCACCCCGTGATGAGGATACCGTCGCAGAGAAAAAGGCGGACGAAGAGGACGAATACACCCTTCAAGCGTACACGACCTTCTACCCGGCGGGCTTCGACACGCGCGAGAAACTCGGCCGCACGCTCTCCGCCATCCACGACCCTGTGCCGCGGTACAAGGAGAAGCTGGAGAAGAGCATGGACCGGTTCTTTGCCAAGTTGGAGGTCGGGCGGTTCGTGCAGCGGGTGAACTGGAGCGTGACGACGGGGACGGAGTTATTCGCTGCGTTTGGGGGCATTCATGGCGATGCGGCTGACGGTGGGGAGGGAAAGGGCGGGCAGCATGACGGGGTGATGGGGTTGGGTGCGTTGAATGTGGATGATGTATGTTCTGTTTCGATCACCCCCTTTTACCCACTGTCGGCTGTCGTTGGATGCAGCTGTGCTGTGTTATCCGGGCATGAGATGTGCTGCTAACCTCCGTTGTAGACCTTCCTGCGCTGCGAGCGCCAGACGCTCCATCGTCTACCCAGGACCAAGGCGCTGGTGTTCACCTTCCATACGTACACTTACCCGATTCGGACGGTCAAGGAGGAAGGCCTCGGCGAGGAACTGGCGCAGGCGATCGATGGGTTGAAGGGGGGCAGTGTGCCGGAGATGTGGTGGTATAAGAGGGGGGCGGTTTGGGGGGATGCAGTCAAGGCATATCTGCGGGGGTGACATACAGTCTGAATGCTCGATCTCATGTCAACCTTTTTTGGACTAGAAAACCATAGAGCCATCGTCGCTTCGATAAGCAGATACGTCCCTTTTGACTCTCCCTTCTGCAACGTTAATATACACAAAAAGTGGAGTGTCGAGCCTAAGTAGCATCATACACTTCCCGAGTCCCTATCGACGAGGGTAGGTACTGTACAGTACAGTAGACCGAGGCAACCTGGGACCGTTTTCTGCCACCGCCAAAACCTACCACTCTGCCCCACTTTTTTTCCCGGGCCTGTTCACCACTGAAATCGCTGCTGCGACCTGCGAGGTCGCGAGCGTTCTGCCGCGCCAAGCGGTCAGCAATGCGGTCCTACCTCATCCAATGAAAATCTGTGCAGCTACAGCGCCTCAAGCGGCAGAACGCCCGCGACCTCGCCGCCGCAATCCACTGGGCATGTTTTGGCCCTGAACAGGCCGGGAAGAAAGGTGGGGCAGAGTGGTAGGTTTTGGCGGTGGCAGAAACCCTTCCCCCAATTTGGAATAGCGCATGCTCCGCCGCGGCATCCATCCAAGCACCTCCGCGCGTTACTGTATGTCTTATCGGATCCTAACCTATCCCCATCCACACTTGCGAACCTCCCATTTGATTCCAAAAGTTACCCTTCCCTACCTTTTTTTTTTTTTTGCCAGTATAACAACAACCCCACCACCACGACGATAATCTACAGTTCCCTCACGCCCGACAAAAAGAAGAAGATGTCCAACCCAAACCTCTACGGCCACCCGCCGCGCAAAAAGCAATCTCCCCAGAATGCCCCCTCCTCCTCCTCCGCCGCAACCCTCGCCTTCACGGCCACCTTATCCAACCTCATCGCCGCCCGAGATCCGGGGTCCGCATCGACGACGACGACCACCGGCCGCCCCCGCCCCTCCAAGCACAAAGACGCATCGGACGGCCTCTTCGCCCGCCCGAACCGCGGGGCGCAGAAGCGCGCGGCGCAGGATCTCGTGGACACTGATGCGACGACCTCCTCCGGGGGTGCGGCTGCGGCTGCGCAGGTGCAGGTGCACCGGCAAAGTCGCGACCTGGGCGGTCGGGTGGACGAGGCGGTGCTGTTGCGGTCGAAGCGGCGGATGCAGGAGAAGGCGAGGGTGTATGAGGATTTGAAGCGGGGGCTGTATCTTGGTGGTAGTGAGTCTGAATCGGAGGGAGAAGGGGAAGGGGAAGGGGAGCGGTATTTGAGGAAGTTGAGGCGCAGGGAGAGGGAGGGGTTGGTGGATTTTGATCGGAAGTGGGCGGATGCGCGATCTCATCTTGATGGGGAGGATGACGAGGAGGAGGAGGAGGAAGAGGAGGAGGAGCGTGAGGGGGGGGATGGGGCCAGCAGGGACGATGCGTCGATTGTCTCCTACGAGGATGAATTGGGCCGGACGAGGCGCGGGACTAGGGCCGAGGCGGCGGAGGCGGCGAGAGTCAAGAGGCAGCAGGAGGAGGATGGGGACGGGGAGGGGGAGGGGGCCCGTCATCAGGCCGGCGAGAGGTGGCGGCCGCGTCAGCCGGAGAACCTCATCTATGGGGAGACCGTGCAGAGCGAGGCGTTCAACCCGGACGCCAACGTCGCGGCGCACATGGCGTACCTGGCCAAACGCCGCGATCGCTCGGTGACCCCGCCGGAGGAGACGCATTACGATGCCGAGGCTGAGGTCCGGAACCGTGGGACCGGGTTCTATGCCTTCGCCAGGGATGAGGAGACGCGGCGGCGGCAGATGGAGGAGCTGCGGGTCGCGAGGGAGGAGACGCAGAGGGAGCGGGAGGAAAAGCAGCAGCGGCGCGCGAGGAGGGAAGACGCCCGGAACGAGAGGCGCGTCAAGGTCGAGGAGTTGAGGTCCAAGAGGCGCGCGGAGATGTTCCTCGCCGGGTTGGGCGACGTCGGCGTGGTCTGAACTGTTGCCGTGAGACCCCGCGTTCGTGCTGGCGTTGCGTGTTTGTCACTCTAGAGATACCCATCGGAATTGAAAAATTGTTTTTATTCATGACACTCAAAGAATCAGGTCCACGGAGGAATCAAAGGGTATCATTGCCTGGTCTGGGACCAGCTTTATGTATAGTATATAGCACATGCCACCGTCACGGCCATTCCGACCACAAACAGGAAACCTCCCGATTAACTCTTAGTGGGCATCAGTCATCAGTCATCAATCATATCCATTTTCCTGGCAGCAAGCGCTAGCGCTCTGTCCTGCCCATGATAACATATGTTTCATCCATGCGCGAGCTCAATCATAGTCTCATAAAAGCCTTGCGCATCTAACCACAGTCAGCATTGTTACTCATGAAACAATCCGCCGGTACGTACCCGAACGATGGGTGAATTTCAGGACATGCTCTCCTCGAGTTGTCTGAGGTGGTGTATAATCCGGGAACGTGAAGATGCTCCTGCGTATCTCCTTCAGCACTACAACCTTGGGCTCGGTACGGCGAATCCAGCCGCGAGTCCCAATGTGGTCTGTGATAAAAGCCGTCCAGACGGGGGATCTAGATCATTTAGCCAGAGGACCATATGGCAAGCTCGTGGAGACTCACCGCTTCAATTCCCCCTTGTGGACCGATGCCTGGAGCCGTACAGCGCCGGAAATCTCGTCCCGGTAAACACGCAGTGCATGGAGGAAATCGTCATCCACAATTTGCCTGGCTCGATTAGTGCCTGTCGCCGTCAATGGGAGAGGTTGACCTACCCTCCGAAGAGTTCTTCCTCTTGCGCCAGCTCGTAGTCGCGGATGCTCTCCACAGCCACAGGACGCCCGGAATCTTGCGATCGAAGGGCCAAGAAGGTGCAGAAGAAAATCACCATTTCTGCTTTCGCGTCAGTAAGCTCCGGAAATCACCCACATCAGACGTACGCTCAATGGTGCTGAATTTGAGGTTGGCCCATAGAACCAGTTCGCTGCCTCCACGACGGCGCCGGCACAACTGCAGACAGGATCCGACGCGGACGATCTCCAACATATTCAATGGTAGGATGAAATATTCGTTCGACCGCGCAGAACGACGGGCTTTGCACACAATGCGTGCACGGTGGTCTTCATCTCGTAGATAGAAGCATACCCTGAGATCCGTCTCGCTGTTGAATGCTCTACCGTCCGTCAGTCCATCCATCAACTGAGATGAGGCGCATGTGCAACTCACAACTGTAAAAGCTCCTCGAATCCCTCGCCATCAAGCCATGCTTTCGGATTGGACTTGGGTTCGCCCAGACACTTGGAGCTGCAGCTTGTCAGCGCATGTCTGCACGACCGAAGCCCACTGTCTCACCTTTCGCCAACATAGGGGATAGGCGTTTGCGTGTGATCGTCTAAGAACACCCGTCGTGCCCAATGCTCGCCAAGTACGCTGGAATTGGTCGATTGACTAGTGGCAGTCGTAGTAGACGGCGAGCCCGGTGCATCTGGAGCTGAGGGAGGGATATCCGAGAATGTGCCAGATGAAGCGGAGGTGGGCGACTGGGGCCCCAGGTGAGACGGACGCGCTCGCTCATATGATCGTCGGGTGCGGGGTCTGCGATCACTGACCGGACTGCCAGGTTCGCCACTGGTGTTGCTGCTGCTACTGCTGCTGCTAGACGACGGGGAACTCAGAGACAGGGAGCCCAGATGTGACGCAACCTGGGATTCCTGCTGCACCAACAAACCTTTGAGATTGCGTCGCAGAGCGGACATCAGTCGATCGTCGGGTGCATTACTACATGATTACAGAAGCATGTGTCAATTGACCTGCGTTTCCAGAGAGAGCCACGTGGAGAACGAACCCCTTCATTAGAGCCTCCAAATCGGACAGAAAGGCCTTATACTTGGCTAGACGGGTAGACAGTGAGTCTTGCGACTCTTCCCGGAAGAAAGTACAGAGGTCAACCCATGTCCGTTTGTAGACCTCACGGCTGGAGCCTCTCCGCGCCTCCAGGTCTCCAAAGAAGTCGACAACATCTTCGAGCGTATACTTCAAGCTTGCCCGAACCAGTTCTAGGTCGGGCTGGACGGTGTGCAGGTTGCGCCGGTAGTTCCGATTGCGGGTCAAGTCTTCAAGATTCTTGAGGGAGGTGCTAATTGCATAAAGATCGGCGATCAAGCTGGTAATCTCCGTTGAATGCTCCGGCAGAGGGTCGCGGAAAAGACGGAAGCCAGCAGCCACGTCCTCTGCATTGTCGGCAGATGTACGCAGAGCCATAGTGATGGTCACTTATGGTAGGCCATGCATGTATGCTTATGGGGATCTTTCGTTGTATGGTTGAGGTCGAGAGGCAAGGAAGAGATAGACTCCCCCCAGACAGACACACGCGGCTCACTATAGCTGCTTGACGATTTATATGGAGATCCCGGCAAAGGAGATCAACGGGTCCAGAGAGAATTACGTGATAGGGTAGTAGATACACCAGGAGAGAGGGGCAGGGGGAGACAACTCAGTAGACTGCAATGCTGGAGTCAGAAAGAGAATCTCTTATCGGTGGGATCGTCCCTGGGATGCATGTCGGTTGGAGTCTCACCAAACAGATGGATTGGAACAGGATGAATGGATTGGAGTCTCGCCCAAGGATTGACCAGGCAAAGGTGCAACTCGCACCAGACGCAGAGGGCACCAGCACCAGCACCAGCGCGCAAACACACAGGAAGAAGAGCGAGGGTCGAGTTCGAGTCAGACAGGGTTTTGATCTCGATCACCCGCACAAAGGAAGGAATGCAGAACAAGAAACACCCGCGGGTGGGGCTAAGTTCAGTCTAGTTTGTTGCCGGACGGAATGGCAGCAGCCCATAGTTGCTAGGTAGTTAGTTTGCGGCTCTCTGTCGGACGGACAGACCGGCACTGGAGCCAGAAGCTAGAGGCCAGAAGGTCAGAAGAAGAAGCCTGAGACCGACAGACCGACAGACCGACAGACCGACAAATCGATTGTCTGTCTCGTCTAACGACTGTAACGTGCCTCCGACCTCGAGGGGGGCACCATTGACGTGTTCATGCGGCGGCGACGGGCAAAAGCCAATGACGGGCGGTGGAAATGCATGGCGGGATGGAGCGATGGTGGAGGGGAAAAATGGAGGAGGAAGACGAGGAGAAGACCGTGGTGTGACTTCATCCTGGTGTGGGGGGGGGAGTTGTGGTGATACGAGCACAGGCAGTAGGAGTCCTCAATGCAAAAGATGACAAGGAGTGCCTTCATACCCTTTGCAGCAACTCGTGCAGAGGATACTGCTCTGTAGGTCTGTATGTCATATTGGCCATGACTGACATAGTACAGAGTACTTTGTGAACAAGGGAAACCCGTTGGAGCAACTCAATTAACCATGCTAATCATTAGTGTCTGTCTGTCTGACTTGCAGATGAGGGGAAACAGAAACCTTACTAGAGAAGCTGGCAGTCACGGGACTCTCGAGGAAGGAAGAAGACTCGGAAATCTAATCGTTGTTAAAGTTTGGGGCCGACGGCTTCATTGCACTGCATCATACTAAATATCAATATTGGAGAGCACATCCAAGATAACTGCCCGATGTCACTCGCATCGACAGGCGTGACTGTTTAATGAGACGAAAAATGGTGATTCTGTTGACTTTATTACTTCCCGCGATAAAATCAGTCAAGATAAATCAAGAAAAAGACAATATACTTCAAGCAGAATAAGTGGTTGCCAGTGTTACTGTATTTAGCGAAGTATGTACTGTACAAAACTAGATTGAACTTGAAGTTATCACTAACAAACGCCCGTGACACGCATATATATCCTCAACCTGATTTGCCGTAGCTTTGGGCAGATATACATGACTATACCCCTAGCCAAGCATCCCCCAAGTATATGTAGACTTGACTGAGAAACATAAGTTGACTAGCACTTTATGATCGAAATGACTTGTTCACAACACCCACCTGACACATGCCGTTTTTTACCTTGGCCTGAGGCATGAAACAAATTCAGGTTCCAAGGCTCCTAGGCTCCCAGGCTCCAAAGCTTCCCGGGGATATCGGAGAACTGGACGCGTCGAACACGTAAACAAGCTGTCCGCCCCGCGTCACCGCCGGGAGCTTGGGCCAACTCCTGCAAGGAAAGTCCTTCCAGAAATACCAGATTCCTCCCCCATGGAAGCATTCTGCGTACCGGATCTGACCTTATATTCTTACATACCCACACAGGAGTTCTATCAATCATCAACACTGATCGAAAAAAAAGTTTAATCAAAATAGGCCCGGGATCCAGAGTCGCTTAGGTGAGGATGCGGTTGATTAAGCTATTATACAGCAGTCTTTGCTGGCCTCACACTTTCTGCAGCTTCATTTCGATATTTCATCATAGATGCTCAAATCAGGTTTCCTTACAGCTCTGAGATTCAGCGCCGGGACTCCTCAATTCAAAGCCAAATGTGTCCGAAAGCCGCCAGTCCGTACAGTAAACATTTCCCATTGATATCCTTCATGAACAGAAAAGCAAGGAGAGGAAACAACCACCGTCATCCGTACCAGAAGCCGTTGAATAGATAATAGAATATAGAAAGCCACAAATACACGTCACACGAGAAAAGACACAAACGCCATTGGGTCCAAGCAACAAGACCTAGGGGATTGGGGAGCTTTAAGAGGACTCCTCATCCTCTTCGGCGGCAGCCTACACCAGCACTGTTAACATCATCAAGAGCATACAGAGTTCAAGACAACTTACGTTATAACTGGCCTTCTCGTCTTCGTAACGCTTCTTATCGGTAGCGGCCTTCTCCTCGTAGGGGCGGCGCTCCGTATCGCTCAGGGCCTTCCACCGCTCTCCGAGCATCTTACCAACCTGACCTAAAGGACTGTTAGCGGCAGGGTTCATGCCATCGCTGACATTGCAAGCAGTACGTACCGAAGGAGATACCGGGATTCTCCTCGCGGACCTTCTCGCGGTTGTCGTTGGCGAAGAACATGTAGGCGGAGAGACCACGCTTGGGAGCGTTGGGGTCTAGAGCAATAAGTTAGTCACAGCATTGTCGATGGAGACAAGGATGCTTACCCTTCTTCTTGCGCTCAACACGCTTGGTCTTGCGGGTAACCTTCTCCTTGGGCATTTTGAATTGAGGTCTGCAGGCGTGAGTATTAGTCTAGAAGTTGAGGATTGTTGAATGAGACCGATGAAGGCTCGGAAGGGCGGCAGACAGATTGCTTTATGCGAACAAAATGACAGCAAGAGAGAAGCAGGCAGGTAAGGAAGGGAGTTGCAGCGCGCGTAGCCAGAGGGTGGAGGGAAACGTTGCGTCAACCCGTGGCTTGCGCGCGCCCAAACAAGAACGATCGCGGTCGCAAGCCAAACGACACCAAGAGGGCAAGTCGCGCAGAACAGCGACTTACCTGACAATCAAGTCAGGTAGACGGCGAACGACAAGGAAACAGAATTGGCAAAAAAAGACTGTGGGGGAATCAAAAGAGCTTGGGTTCATATGAGGGCTGCCAGGAACTATAAGAGTGCTGTTGCAGAGGGCGCGACAGCGAGATCGCGCAACTCCGGAGGGAAAATCAAGGGAAATGATGATTTGAAAAAGCGATCAGAATGGAAGAAAACGGGATCGAAGGAGAAAATCAATTTGTGGTGGTGTTGAAGAAACAGTGCTCGAAAAGCGGAATGTTTATATGGGACCTACCGGTGCGGTTATATGCAGTACTTTTTGTATGGGGAGAGAGAATTGTATGGGAGGAGAGCAGTAGAGTGAGTGAGTGAGTGGTGAGTGAGGGAGTGAGTGTGAGAGAGAGGGAGGGAGAGGGGAGAGTAGTAGTAGTAGGAGAAGAGAGAGGGAGAGAGAGAGAGACGGGAAAGCGGGCGGGCCACTACCTACCTACTCTTCCTACCTCACCCTCACACTCTTGGGAAGGGGGGGAGTGGGCAGCACAGCAAGGGAAACAACCGCTCGCTGCCGGCTGCGACTGGCTGGCTCGTTGCTGGAGAATGGTTCGTATGGTTCCATACCCGTCATGTCTTGTCATTTCTCTTCCTTCCCCCTCCTGCGATTCTCCGCTGCGACATTCTGGCCGACCTTCCACGCTTTGGACGGGCAACTTGAGTGGTCTATCCTACAGGGTTGCAGTGCTCCTTTCAGCAAATCTAATTGACTTCCACTCCCATGGCCCAATCCAGGCTTCACTTGCCGACTGAAGGAAAAAAAGGTGGGTGCTGAGCATTGCACCTGATGCAGCTCCACTGTTACCCCCAGTATGGTTTATTACCGTACGCTGCTCATACCCCATTGTGCGCCACTATGGGGTGGGTAATTGACCTTGGGTAAAATACATAGTTGTAACACGGTGGAAAGAGAAGTTGCTCCATGGTGTATCCGATACCACTCCAATAGTAACGGCTAAGTTACTATACCAAATTGAAAACTGAAAGCTACCGGGGCAGTACAGTGAGTATCGACCTCCATACATCCGGGGCAGGCGCTCAGGGAACAATTGCTACTAGTCTGGCAGCGCTCAGTCGTACTTCCACACCGCGCGACTGCCCCCAAATGCCGCGCCATTGAAGTCATCTATTCTTGGGAGGATCTGCGAAGGCGCGTCTCTGAATAGCTGGTATTTTTGAAACATCTTGAGCTTCTATCTCTTTCAAAGGATATGCACATATACATAGGCAGGTGTATTATTGAGCCATTTCGGTCTGTTTGTGACTGACGACTGCACAAAGACATGACTTGGGCTGTCTTTTGTACTGTACTTCGGTGGAAGGAACCACGGCCGAGCTGGCGCGATCTCAATCAAGAGATCACATCCGCGTCGATAATTCTCCGCGTTATCCTGCCCATAAATCCTGTGCCTGCTTACCTCAGGGTAAGTAAGATCTAGCCCTGCAGAGTACTAGACGAGGATGTTCTATGCGCGCAGCTCTCACCCTTCTCCCGCGCTCAATCCAGTCGCGCTATCGATCGTAAAGACTTTGTCAACTCAACTGGTGCCAGCCCTGGTAATTACTAGTATCATTGTTATTGTGCTATTCATCCCGAAAACATACTGCCCCAAAGGCAATTTGATGCTTGATGTATCTACTCTACATGAACTAAGCGCTCTAAGGAAGTCGTATGATGTGGATACCCTACAGCGCTCCTTGCACTATTGACCTTGTATAGGCCGATGGATATGCCTCTGACTGTGTTGAGAAGGATGGCTGGCCCATTGCTGTGCTGGAGGTGGTAACAGAGTCTAGTGGCACTAAGAAGTGTTCCTGTTCGAGGGTAGGCCGCTTCTTCCAATGAACGGTGGAATGGGTACTGCAACTGTGATGTAGTGGTGATAACAGGTGCACTATTGTTAACTAAATTAATCACAATACTCATTCTGCCGATTCCAGGGAGAAGGAGTCACTACGGAATACACATGTAAAATATAATATGTAGGTATTATTGATTGGAACCTCCTATTGCCAGTAATAGTGCCAACTTTTCTTGAGTTGGCTATTGTACCAGTCACAAACCACTCACTCATACTTGGTGATCATCTATTGCTCTGTGCCCGGTTTTCGAGACCAGCGCTGCTGCTCCTACTCAGTCAGGTCAGTGAGTTACACCCTACTCAGATTGGTGAAGTCCTGTATGGATTTCTGTATAGGTAGGGAATCTCCTTTGCAGTCTAGGTTGGTGCTTCAGACACCTTTCTCGCATTAGCAAGCTTGGAATAGGCGGAGTCTGAGTGCACAGTACAAGATACGACTGACTCCTCTTTCTCTTCCTTTGATGGTTCTAGGTCCCCAATTGTGCGACTTTCCCGGTGATATGGTTAAAAATCCCCAAACTTGTTCACTAATAGCCTGTGGTCATATTGGCGGGTGTCGTCGCTGCCCAGAAAAACAAATATCAGCGGGTTGCATAGAGAGAAAGACCTTCCAGCGACGTCCTTTAGTTACAGTACCTGTGTAAATGCCACCGCATTCCGCACTGCAAACGACGTCCATCGAAAACTTACAGTATCGGCAAAATACTGGATCCGCGTACTATGTACAACCCCCCCGACAACGTCTAACAATACCTGAATGTATGTATTGTAAACGGGGTGGCTGCGCCCTGCCCTCTCAGTAATTCTCAATCCATAGTGAGGGGTCATTGACTCCGTTGCTGGGTTCTACCGTTCTAGGTGTGGAAACGCCGGGCTCTCTCTTCTGGTTTGCTCAGATCTTTTTTCTCTCTTTCTCTCCGCCCCCCCTCTAAGCAAATCTCCTCAGCTCACATGCAAAACTTAGGCTGGCCAGTTTTTGGCGGCATTTTTCTTTACCTGCAGAAGTGATTGCTAACTTACCGCCAACCCAGCTGTCAGTTTTCATTTTGTCCTTTGTTTCTTGACTCCTGCAAGGGTTCCCTCACTTTATCGGCTTGGGGTCACCGTTTGCTTACCCATCCATATTCAAGCCTCAAGTGCTGCTGCCACCCACCACAAAGCATTGGCTAGCTAGCCCACCGTATGACGAAGGCTTAGTAGCTTCTTTGCCTTCGGCCGGTGGGCCATGATGTCACGTGGGTCACACCACTCAGTTGATTCTTCACGCCTTTTTCCTTCAGCCCCAATAATTAGGTCGAGCATTACGGAGACAACTTCGTCAGACTTCTCTAGGATCTTCTTGCCATTCCTTACTAATCGATTGCTTTCGTGCGGAGCGGACTGAATTGCTCAGTCATACTCGTGTATCATTTTGATCGATCAAGAAGTCCCATGCGAGCCATGGAACCCCGACTAATCCGTCATCTGGCACTGTTCGAATGCCGATCCACCATCCATCAAGGGTATAATCCTTTCACCCATAACGCCTGGCCCGAGTAACCGCTAGAAAAACCAATCTACTCTTCTTCGTAGTTACAGTACATTAATCGTCAGACTCATCTAGAACCAGGGCGGTGAGCGTTTCGTCTTCAGCCCAGTTCACTTCGCTCCCCACAACTATAGCGCTGGCGATGCTTTTCATGACCGTCCATCTCGCTTTGCTTCTGCGGTGATCTGCCTCCGATTGCTCTAGCTGTGATTTGAGCTCCGGATCATCAAGATCCTCCCTCCAGGAGTCATCATCCTCTGTGAGGGACAGTAACTCGCGGACCAGTTCTTGATTCTTCTGGTGGAGCTGTAGATTCTCTACCTCCAACCCAGTAAGCTTTTGGAGAGACGCCGTATGCATAACATTCAAGTTCTCATGGACTGTGGACAGCACATCGCGACGGTTGATCAGCCGATGAAGGGCCCTATTGTTTATTAGCGGAGACAGGGAACGGCAAGGCATGAAGTGTAAGGTGGGTGAAGCATAGAAGACCATATCGAAGGAAGAAAACTACCTTTCAGCTGGAGTGGTGGCCTTCAGATGAACAGCTTTTAGGGCAGGATCAGTCATAAGGACAGTTCCCACAGCCTTCCTTCTGACTGTGTAGGTGGCTCTCGCCCCCAGCAGCTCCCGTTCTGCTTTGGCTAGTTCCTCTTCAGCATTGTCACCCGAGAGCAATTCCGTGTCTGTTAAAACATCAATAAGAATGAATCGCAATGGGACAAGAATAGCACCTATAATAAGGAAAGAAGAATAGAAGGAAGGAAGGAAGGAAGGAAGGAAGGGACGATTCATGCGTGCATACATACCTTGCTGTAGTAGTGCCTTTTCTAGTTGCTGTTCCTGGATCTGGTGATAGAGCTGCAGGATCAAAGCCTCCTTGTCCGACAACAGTACCGTATCGCGTGGATCATCATCGGTCGCAAGATCTAACAAGGCCAGTTCACCTGGGCCCAGGTGAGGGAGGGAACGAAGGTTCTCAGAAGTCATGGAACGAGACCTCGTGGTAAGTAAGTCGGAGAAAAAAACTCTCGTGGGATTTACAGTATACTTGTTCCAGACTTCCTTCTCTCTTTTCCAGCGTTCTTCTCTCTCTCCGTGTTGAATGGAAAGTCTAGCTGGAGATCGACGAGCGTCCAGATGCTGCTGGGTTAAGGGCGGTGGAGTTCCCGGCCGTGCGGTGGGCGGTTCCGGGGGGACCTGGTCAAATGCGTAGAACTACGGAGTACGGAGACTCATGTGTACAGTAAGTACAGTAAGTACTGTACAGTTAGCTCGACCTGGACCTGAGCTCCTGAGATTATCTACTTAGCTCAGTTGACTATTACCTATACCTTGTTATTATGTATGTCTGGCTCCAGATTTGCTTGACTACCGACAACGGTCCGACGGACTGACAATTTACTGCTCCATCTGTCTCCTTCCTTATCTTCTCCCTTCCCGCATTCCTTCCCTTGAACTTCCCCCTTCGAATTCGTTCTCGACCAACTTCTCTCTCCGCTGCTCACCTGGTGAGGAGGTGATGTCTTTGCACATCTACATAGCTCACACCGGTGAGCATTTCCTCGCTGATCCGGTGTCTTTGGCCTCGTAAGTTATCGCCCGTGCTGCCTTTTACCCCGGCTTCCTTCCCGATGATCTCCAATCATCACCGCCTTTTGGATGCTCGACTGTCACCCTTAAACTTCGACTCCCCTATGGCTTTGTGGCTGGTTCCGATGATATGATAGTGAGCTGACGCTCTCGAACCCATTATCTAGCCCGGATGCACTGCGAACATGGATCACCCGAAACACATCGATCCCCTCTCAAAGGCAGATCTTGATGACTGCTCGGGGAAAGAATGTCAAGGCCCAAACACTTGCCACGGAGGTACGCATACAGTTTCTAACACAATGGAGTATCAATACTACTTGTACTTGGGCTGATTTTCTTGACCGATAGACCGAGATATTTGTGTATGATAGACGCTATGTCAGCGAGCCAAACACTTTTGAGCTTCCGGAACTGCCTCCACCACAGCCACTAACTCCTGAAAACCCTCCCGATACCTTGACGAACCAGAACGATCTACAAGCATGGAAGGCTCTCTTTAGTGCCAGGAAGGACTGGGCCCTGAGTCTCCTGGAGCGCTGCGCATCCGTGGATAAACAGATCCATGAACACAATGAGCGCACAGATATCATCAACCGAGCGGCTGGCGTAGCTCTCGAAAACCTCAAGACTCACGTGGGGACCTTGGAGCATCGCTTTCAGGAAGCGCAGACATGGGCGAACGGGTTGTTGAAAGATCAACATGCCGCGTTGGATGGTTGGAGGAAGGCCCTTGCATCGTTAGACACCATTCCGGCTCGGAAGGATTTCAACTTTCTAGGACGTCCGTCGACGCCCACAAAGCCTGAAGATCGGTTGATGGGAACTCTACGCAACTATGTGGATGTGGAAGAAGTGCAGAGAGCTGGTTCGGAAGCACCGGAGGAGTCGTCGCGTTTTGAGCAGGAAGTCAGCAGTATTGAAAAGATTGTTGGTGCAATCGCCGCAGATACACAACGTCTTGTGGAGGATGCGTTCCCTGCCGGCGTGGATGACGTGGAAGGCCTGCTGCAAGAAGTTGAAACTATCTCTAGGAAGATCCAATCCGACTACGAACATGTCCTGGCTCTGTCCAATAATCAAAAGGCACTGGCGAATATATCTAGGCTCGCACTCAGTCACACGAAAGATCTACTCCCATCGCTGCTGGACATCAGCAGCGAAATCCAGGCTGGCCTGGAAGAAGCTGTTCATCGCAATAACGCCGCTATCAGAGCGGCTTCAAATCATATGCGACTCATCTCGGCGATCGAGTCACGGCTGGCTGATGTGCAGACTCAGATCACCAACCTCAACTTCCGAAGCGACACATTCGACATTATTTACTCCGTGTTCCACATGCCCATGATCTACGGCTCAGTATTGATTGAGGCGGCGCGGCGTCGTGAGTTCAGCGACAAGATGAAAAACGATTCCTTGACGTTAGCGGAAGAGATGTCAGTCTTTCGTGAGGAGGAGCAGCGGCGACGGAAGAAGTGGATGAAGAATATGGGGGAGTTTTTATCGACTTCGGACACCTCGACGCCTGGTATTGAAGTCAATCTTCGAGGTCAGGAGTACGAATGGCCAGTTGTCAGCAGAAAAGAGATTGAGTCATACATTGAGGAACTTAAATCTAAGACTGGCATGGCCCAGTTGGTACAGGAACTTAGCCAGCTTTACAAAGAGTTGGATGCTCCTACCCGATTACAGCGCCGCAGATCCAAGGCCTTCAAACAAGGCAGTCTCTTTGACCTCAGTCGAAGCTCCCTATTGCTGCGTAGCGATGACATGGTTCGAAGCCTGAGAGACGAAAAGGGGAAGCTCGAGGAGAGGCTGAAAGGCTCCGAGAGTCGTATCAGGAAATTGGAAGATCTCCTGCACCGCCAGAGTCACATGAGTCGACCGTCTAGCGGGAATTTCTCCGTAGACTTTCCCAGTTCGCCTGCGTCGCCTCATCCCGATCCACTGTCTAGGCGGTCATCTGTGTCATCGCGACGGATGTCATCCAATCAGTCTCCCGAAGAAAAGGCGCTCGTTCAACGTATTGTGCATCTGGAAGCGGAGTTGGCGGCAGAACGGGACACGGTACAGCGGCTGCAGAAGGAAGCGCATGCTGAGCGTCAATCGACCACTGATAAAATCCAAGAAGAGCAGTCGACGAAGAAAGATCTAATTGGCAATCTAGAAGCCCGACAGCGTGAATTTGACGATGAGCGAAGATACCTCGAAGGTGAACTAAAACGGCTGAAGATTCGTACCGAGGAGGTCGAAGAAGAGCTGGATAGGCACCTGGATAGTCGCGAGCATGAAAAACAGGACACTGATGAGCGTATCCATCAGCTTGAAGTCGAGTTGCAAGAGGCTCACGCTCGCGCCGAAGAGGAATCACACAAAGCCACTGAACTACTAAAGCAGATGGAATCTGATAAGGATGTGGCCAAGGATCTTGATCTCCGTTTCACCGAGTTACAGAACATAATTGCAGACAATGAGAAGCTGGAAAGGGAAAACCTTAGCTCTCTACAAGCTGCTTTCATGAATCTATCTCCCGGCGGCTCTGTTCCAGCCAAATCCATGGACATCATAAAGGCAATCGAGGTGCTCTCTGAAGGGCTCTCTATCCATGCAAAGAATGCAGAAGAGAACGCTCTGCAGGCTGCAGCAGAGTACAAGGAGCTTGAAGAGCGTCTGAACCAGATGGAGGCGGACGCCGAAGAGTCGCGAAAGCGTGCAGACGCACGGGAAGCGGATCTGTCTCGCGTTCGCGAAGAGCTGGCACAAGAAAGATCTAAGCTAGAAATAGCCGATTCTGAGCTGGACGACGAGCGATCAAAACTCATTGCACTTCAAACCCAGTTTGCTGCCGGCGAAAATGGCTCTGATGCTCTCCGAGAGCGGGTCACGCAAGAAGAACGAAAGCTGACCAACCTTTCTCAACGACTGGCCGAGGTCGAGACCCTAGCTCGCCAGTCGGAAGAAGAGGTCACGACCTGGAGAAAGAAGGTGGAGGCGATATCAGAAGCAGAGCAACGGGCTACGATACGGTCAGAAACATGCGGGCTTAGATCCCAGCAGCTTTCTAAGCAGCTTTTCGGGCAGGTTGAGAAGCTGGAACGTATGCTCGAGCAACTTGGGTTTACTATTATCCGGCAAGACGGAAACATTGTGGTGCAAAGGTCTTCGAAAGTCAATATCATGTCTGTCACCGGAGACAGTCTTAGCCAGTCCGGAGTGGTCTCTGTGAAGCCAGACGCGAGTCTCCTAACTTGGATGCACGCCGAAACCAAAGAGGAGGAGACTGATAGGTTTATGGCTTTCATGGAGTGCTTGTATCAATTTGATGTGGACATTTTTGGTGATGCCGTCGTCAAGCGCGTCAAGGACATCGAAACCCTCGCCCGGAAGTGGCAGAAGGAGGCTCGTGGGTATCGCGACAAATACCACCGGGTGCAAAGTGAAGCTCACGAAAAGATTGCGTATCGGTCTTTCAAGGAAGGCGATCTCGCTCTATTCCTGCCGACGAGAAACCAAGCCATCCGGTCCTGGGCGGCGTTCAATGTCGGCGCACCCCACTATTTCCTGCGTGAGCAAGACGCGCACAAACTTCAGACCCGGGACTGGCTGCTCGCTCGCATTACCAAGATTGAAGAACGCGTTGTGGACCTCTCCAAATCTCTGAACGGCGCCAATCCTGACCGAAGATCTATTGGCGAAGTCAGCGACGGCACTTCCTTCGATGATGAGAATCCTTTCGAACTCTCGGATGGTCTTCGTTGGTATCTTCTCGATGCCACAGAGGAGAAGCCTGGGGCTCCCGCGACGCCGGGCCTCGGAAAGAGCACTGTTGCGCCAGCGCACGTCGACGCCAAGGGCAGCATTCGGCTGAAGCGCACCTCCGCCGGCGGGGATGTTGCCAAGACTCTGTCCAAAAGCCTTGATAGCCGGCGGAACAGCTCCAATTCGAAAAAGGCACCCTCTACACCGTCACAGCGCGGCAATGAATCTACCGTAGATCTGGTCCGGCACGCTGAGGAAGCTGCACCTGCTGCTGTGGCTGCTAGCTCACGACCACGGGAGGCACCGTCTAATGCCGACGAGGTTCGCCGCAACCCACTCCAGGATCCGCAGAACAGGAGATAGTAGATTTGTCTGCGGTGGGTTGGTTGGTTGGGAGCTGACGAAATGTCACAGGGTGCGGGCCAAATCCCCGATACTTCATTCCGTCAACAGCCGCCCTTCATTCCCGGCGCTAGAAGTTCCTCTTCGTCGGTGCGGCTGGAAGATGTCGACGTCTCGTCCATTCATACGCCGGCTAGTCGACGGACCTCGCGTTATCGTCCCTGGGAGAAATTGTGGTCTGTCGACTACCGGGTAGAGAGTCATGGTCGCCAATGAGCCGCTGCAGCCTAGAAGCCCCAGCTAAGGAACAGCAAGCTGAATCCCTGAAGGGTGGTGACTTGGGAAACAAGGAACATACGCATAGGATGGAAGATCCAGGCCTGAATATGATACCCTACGGAAAGGAAATGGCTCACATCTTCGATTTCTTGCTTACTTTCAATTTTTCGCTTTATTTGTCATTTTTAGCCGGCGCAAAGTAGACACAGGCACGTTGTTATGGACTCTGATTTGAAAATTTGCTCAAACATGCTTATTTTAGATGAGATAGATTGGGAGCGACAAATGCCCTGTAAGCCCCATTCCCCCGCCTTGCCATGCACCACCGATGCTTCCAATGCCTCAAGCCTTCCCGTAAACCGAGATGTTTCCTCTCCAGCAACATTCGAGAAAACCATTCTATATTACAACATGAACAAACAATTATAGGAAAGCCCCAAGCGCACGAGAAAAAAAAAGAGAGTTAGGGTAGCTAATCTAGCTGTTCCGTGAACTCCTCCATCCCACCAACGTCCTCCCAAAACTTATCGAAGTCCACATCATTCTCCTCGAAAAGCTGCTTGACCTGCTTCATGGCCGACACCTGTCTTTCGGGCGTGAACCCACCGGGTTGAGTGCTCTCGTACTGAATCAGCTCGACCCACCGGTAGAACAAGTCCTCCTTGCCCATGGCGGTCAACTTCTGCTGGAACTCGATAATCTGATCGCGCTGGGCAGATCGGACCGCGTCGTCGCTGATCTCTTGTTTCGCTTTGCCTTTCTGGTCTTTCTTCTTCGACGAGGAGGCTGAGGAAGAGTCTGCATCCGATACGGAGGTCTGATTCTCATCATCGACCCGCCAGATCAACCACCCGTGAGCGTCCGTGTTCACCACCACCGCCGTGCGGAACTCTTCCAGCTTGACGGCCGGTTCTTTGGTGTCTGAGGAGCCGTGGCCGTTGACCATCTCGTGCGCCACGACCATGCTCTCATAGTCGAGATCCCAGTCCTTGTCCACGAGCAGGTAGCCCGTCTTCCTGACCTTCTCCGGCGTTACCGCGGTGACGATGCGGTCGCGCGTCTCCTCGTCCTCGCGGATCCAGCGGTCGCGCTTCAGGTCCTGCGTCAGGCCGGACTGGCTCCGGCGGACGATGATCTCCTGGTCGCGGAACCCGACGCGGCGGCGCCACTGGACGGGGCCGACGACGAACCGGATCGGCCAGGGGAGGAGCACGGTGACGAGGAAGTAGTCGAGCAGGACGGTGAAGAAGCGGCCGAGCAGGAGGCCCCAGAGATCGCCCCAGCTGAGCGTGGAGGTGTCGACGGAGAGCGAGGTGGTCAGGCCGACCAGCGAGGCGAACATCGCCGGGTAGATGTGGCGCACCGAGTAGACCCGGTAGGCGAGCAGGCCGACGACGGCGAGGTTCATGAGCACGGGGACGATGAATGCCTGCTTCTTCTGGCTGATCGGCGTGGTGTCGATGTGGATGAGGTAGATCTCGCGCGGCGAGAGCGGAGAGAGGAGGGGCAGTAGGGTGGTCGGGGCTTTGCTGAACGGAGGGAGAGGCGTTGCCGATTGCGAGGCTGGGGTCGATGTGCCGGACCCCGAGGTAGAGGATGATGTTGTAGAGCCCTTGGCCTTCGGGCCTCGTCGTGCGGATTTGGCCATGTTGTTTTGGGATGCTCGTGCTTCGCTGGGGATGTCGGGGGGAGGGGTTCAGGGTTTCGAGGGGAGATTAGGACTCTGGAGCCCGGCGCATGCGGCTTTCCTGGTCTTCTTTATAGTTGTCCAAATGGCTGACAGCGTGGGGGGAGGAGGCGCAATGGATGAAAGTATGAAGCTAACAACGGAGTATGTCGATTCGCCTGACCGGGTCACATGTTGTTAGTGCAAACGCTCTCGGAGTCACTTGTCTCGAGGGCAAAAGATTATGGAGTGTGATGGGCTCATCCGTACCTGGACAGTGACAGTTGAACGATGTAGCTCAATGGACTGGGTGGTCAGCGTAGTCAGTGATAGATGTGAATGACCAAATAAATGAATCGGGGAGAGGAGGGGACAAACGGAGATGACGCCCACAGCCCACTAAGCCCGATCGGGGGCGCGGCCGCAACGAACTCCTGGGCGCGAGTCTCGTCGAAGTTGCCCATCGATCAATCAATTGCATTTGCTCCCATTCTTCATTCACTGTAGCATTCCGTCCGCTTCACGTCGTGTGTTAGTCGGATCGGAGCGCACTGTCCGGAATTTCACTGGCCCGCCCCCGAGGGCATCTGCTTGCCTGTGTTTTGTCACGATGCCTTCCACCCCCGAACGCAGGAGCGACCGGCCCTCGTTGTCGCGTCGCAACAACCGCTACGATCAACCCACCGACGAGTATCGCTCCCCCTTTCGAATGTCACGTCAGGCTCATCTCACAGATCACTTTGACGCGTCTTTGAACCTCAGCCCTCCGCCCTACGAATCCAACTCGCCCCGCCATCGACGCAACTTCAGCCAAACCAATTCCTTACGAGGTGCATTCGCGTACACTACACGTCTTGACCGTATGGCAGACCGAGGAGCTGCAACCGCCGACGCATCGGCTGGGTACGGCTCGTATGGACGAGATCGCGATCCTTTCCTCCTGTCGTCTCCGGTATCGAACCCTCCGAACGAGCTCGCGGAAACGTACCGCCAAATCGACGATGCGGGTAGCCTCATCGACGAGGATCCATTGGATGCAGATTTCCAGCTCCCCAGCAACCGCGGCAACCGTAGTCGCGGGTCATCGTCGGCGTCGGCGAGGAGGAGGAGTGACTGGTTCACCTCATATAGCCCGGACTTTTTGAACGACGTACCGGACGAATCCTCCCGCCGGAAACAGGTGGACCGTGTCGAGGACGAGCGGCGCTTGAAAAGGGCCACATCCAGTCGGTCACCTGTTCTCAGCAATGCAGGGGCTCGGGACCCCCTGACGTCGGAGAACCTTCAGCGACGCGACGAAGAGGGGGAATTTCAGGGAGGGGCAATGGATGTGGAGGACGACGACAACAACGAGCCCAGGCCTGCGGTCCATCCACCTTCGGAGTGGGGGACCAAGGCAAAGTATCGTCGCGACTGGCTGAAAAGCATGACGCGACGCGACAACCCCCCGTTGGGTTCCACGGTGGATAGGTCAAAAGACCCCTCACCTCCGAGGGTCAGGGCGGACCGGGACACACAAAGTAACTTGGAACGAGGGACCATGGTTGGAGACCGCTCTACGGGACGATACGACAGGGTGCCTCTCTCTGACGCGCAGAACAAGCTGTCTTCGGAACAGAAGGCCGAGAAAGTGACCGAGGGCGAACGCATCCCCAACACCCCGATCACCCTATACCCGAGCTCGACCTTCACCAAACGAAGCCCAACCAAGAGGGACTCCCAGGATCTACTCCGGAAGCTGTCACGGACTGAGAGCCCGGGGCAACGAAGTACCGATGAGTTCAAAACCCCGGAAGCCCAGAAAGTCCAGCAGAGGCCACGGATCTACGACAAGACACCAGTCGTTACTGGTGCTTGGATTGATACTCCGATGACTGAACGAGTTGACAAGTTTCCCGAAGAACTGTCGCGGGATATCGTGCCGTCACCGCCGCAGAATCACCGATACGCGTCATCTTTTCTGCCCCGAGAGTCTAGAATTAGTGAGGTGTCAGAGCCATCTGAGTCAGAGGCTCTGAGTAAGACGGACAAAGAAGACAGAGACCCAAAGCGACAAGAGTCTGCTTTTGTGAAGGAAGAGCCTGTGATAGAGAACAAACCAAAGGAAAACAAGACAGAACAGAACATCGGAAAGCTTAGCAAAGAAGCCCCAAAAGAAGAACCGAAAGAGCGGAAGAAACAAGAAGAGCAGCCGGAAGCAAGTCAGAAGGCCAAGCCGAAGAACAAAAAACCGTTGGTCAAGCCAGACCTGCCTAAAAGCGCACTGGAAACCGTATTACAGGACTTTAAAGCCCACAAGGAGATACTCGATGTGGGTGACGATACAATTGAGTCCCTTCAAGGACTCCTTGAGGGCAAACCGAGTGAAAATGCTACCGCAGAAGAGGAGGATGCTGCGTACGAAAAGGCTATCTTGAAGAAACTTGAGCTTGCAGGCTCCGGAGATAACGAGACCGTGGATCTAGATCGCCTGAACGAGAAGCTGAAGTCGCTTGCGGAGAACATACAGAAGGTAAAATCGGGACTGAAGAGCCTTGAGGAACAAGCCTCGCGCGACGGCAACGTCTTGACCGCACCCTCATCCAAGGGATTACAGTTTTCACGAGCAACCATCTGCGCGAAGTGCCAGGCGGAGACTGAAGGTCGGGTTTACACCATCATCTCTTTTCCTCGGCTCTGGAAACGCAATCCCATCTCCCGACGCGTGCGTCCCACCGGCCTCGGATGGTGTCTCCTCATATTCTTGGCCTGGCTATACTCCGAAACCACCATGTGCGACTACTACTGCCACCCCATCATCGCGAACGTCTGCGAGGGCAACTGTCTCCGGCCCGATGCACCTCAATTTCCCTATGTGATCCCGACAATGCTTTGGCGCTGGCTGAATCTCTCCTCCATACTCGCACCGGTCTGGGCCATTCTCGTCGCCGCAATCAGGTTCGTCGCCCTCTCCCTTGGCTTTTGGGATGGCTATGTCGATGAGCCCCCCCGGCCGCTGAACCTGTCCGGCGAGATCCGCATCCACGGAACCCGCGTCGTGAGTCTCGCACAATCCACAGCAGCGGCCAGCCGCGGTGGCTTCTTCTCACCGTCGAAGCTGTGGTCCGGCAAGGACGACGAGCGACCGGTTGTTCCCGAAGCCGTGCCCGAATTGGACGTGAACGGGGCGCGCAACCCCAGTAGTCATGGAAGCCATGGTGGATCGGGTTCCTGGGACGACGACGGGTCCATGGACGACGACGAGATTATTTAGTTTATTTCACAGATTCAAAGAGGTCACCGCTAGGTCTTATAGGTTTTTTTTGAGAGACATCCATTACTCGACACACTACTACTACCTACCGGTGCACGGTGTTTTGGGCCCGGAATATGATTATGATTTGACCTTGATGAAGAGGAAAAGCTCTACAAGTCGATTTAGTCTTGATTTTTTCTTTGGAGGTCGCTACTACATACGTTACTTAGGCATCGTATCCGCTTGACTTTCTTCTCTGGATGGCTCTGTATCATAGGGAGTTGAGACGGTCAGGGTCTAGTCCGGGCCGGCTGCTTGCCATCATCATACGTAGGAATACTAGGAATGAATCCCGAGGCGCACACGGGCCCTTATCTAAGGTTATCGTGGATCTGCGCGAACCCGTGTTTACTTTCCCCTTTCCGGTAGTAGCCGGCCACTAGACACTGCTTAGTACGTACACACTGAGATCCTTCGAGCACAGAGCGACTACTCTATGTCATTTCAGCGGAGGACATCCGATCATGTTTATTATGCTAAGGGCAAGTAATCTAACAGGGTATTGAACCATGAACAACATTAACAAATCAAGTAACACGCCAGGCAGAATATGTCAATCCTTTATTGCCACATGATCCATAAGATCGATTGGGAAGGACTGAGAACACCTTAGAAAAGGGAAGGGGGATGTGTAGAATAGAGAAAGACTTAAGGGGGGGAAAAGGGTGTTGTGTATGTAGATGTGTCCGGGCGGGAAAGATCACAACCTGGCCTTGTCCGCCCACTCCCTCTGCAACTCCCTCTCGCCGTCCAGCCGCCACTGCGCATTCACGCGCAACCGCTCCTCGACCTCCTCATCCGAGAGCGGGACTGCCTTCTCCACGGGGATCGCCTTCTCAGAGAGCAGCTTATACCCGATGAACGTGACCTCGCCGCTCTTCGCCTTCGTTTCCTTCCCCTCGTGGAACACCGCATCGCGACAGAACCGGGCCATCCCATCGTAGAACCGCCGACCCGAGGGCGCGTCCAGCATCACCAGCCCGAAGCAGTGCGGCATGCCCTCAAACTGCTCGACGAGGATGGGGGCGCCGGCGCGGTGCATCTTGCGGGCAAGCACGAGCGCCTCGTCCGTGAGGCCTTCCTCGCCGATGGAGAGAAGCACAGGCGGGGCGTCGGCCCAGAGCTCCGCGTCGCCGGCAATCGGGGAGACGAGCGGGTGCAGGAGGGAGGGGGCGTGCACGTAAAGGTCCACGCGCGGTGGCTTCACGGGCCAGATGTCGTCGGCAGGGACGACCAGGGGCCGGAAGAACGGGTCCGTGGCCGGCGTGGAGGTCGGCGCATCCAGGTAGTCGTAGATCGCGTTGTGGGCCACCGAGGGCATCGACCGGGTCATGTCACACCAGGGGGAGGAGGTGGCGACGCCCGCGGGGAGGGCGATGGGGATGTCGCGGCCGTGGAAGCGGATGGTGGGTTGGACGCGGCGGAGAGTCAGCAGGAGTTGAGTGAGGACGAGGGAGAGATTACCCCCCGCGGAGTCGCCGGCTAGGATAATCTTGTTGGCAGGGATGGGGTCATGAAGGGAGCCCGGGGGCGGGGAGATGAGGGAGAGATAGGCGACGAGGGCGTCGGTCAGGGCGGCAGGGAAGGGGTGCTGGGGGGCGAGACGGTAGCGCACGGAGAGGACGGGGGCCCCAGTGCGTTTGGAGAGTTGCGCAACGGTGGGACGGTGCGTGCAGGGATCCATGAGACTGAGATTGAGCGGTGAGTTTCGTGCAAGATGATACCACTGATCCTCAAGTGGTCATAGAGAGAAAGTGAGAGAGGGAGAACTAACAAGTAGATTCCCCCATGGAAGTAGAGAATGACCATGTCTTCCTTCGATTCCTTCTTCAGCTCCTCATACTTGGCTTCCTCGGAGATGTCGGGCTGCGGAGCATTCTTATCCACGCCACTGCGATAACCTGTCCATTCTGCCTCGACTGGTGCCACTCCAGGCAAGTCGTAGGTCTCATCGCCCGTTCTGAGGGTCTCAATGGCTTTCACGACTGCGTCCTGAACGTCGATCTCCGGCTGCGGAAACGTCACCTTGGACACCCACATGGGACCCTTGATGCCCGGATCGCGGATGCTGGCATTCTGCTGCTCGGAAATGGAGGCGCTGAAGCTGAGAAGCGAGCGAATGATGGCGACAGTCAACTCGGTGCGTAGATCCTGCTTGCCCTTGACCGGGGAGAGGCGAATGGTATGGAGGAAGATGACCTTGAGTACGAGGGGGATGCGCACGAGGATGGCCTTGAGCACACTGAGGGGGTTATCGAAGTTCCTCATTGTGTCAGTCTAAACTAAGAAAGACGATGTAGGTACTGAATGAATGGAAGGTGAAGAGGACAAGGTATGGAGGGGAAACCGCCACAACAGGGAAACACTGGAAAAGAGAGAGAAAAAGCAGAGGAAAAGAAACGAAAAGATAGGGAGCATGGAAGCAACAGCCGAGTGGGGAAGGGACGATAAGGGGAACGGAGGCAAAAAAAAACCATGCCTCGGTTCATGACCGGAGGGGCAGTTGGATAACAAATCATGCATCAAGATTTATGCAGACCACATCTGGGCCCTGAACCACATACAATGACATTTTTATTGGCGTTGTAACCCACAGGAACAGACAACCTGAGAATATTCTTATTGCCTGACTATTTTAACTGGTATGTTGTGAATATACTCATATAAACTCGCTCACATGGCACAGGAATTAAAGTTCTGCGAGACCCCGGAAACTCCATATTTTTAGTGTTGGATCCGATCCTTTTGGCGATGGAGCCATGCGGCCTTACATCATCGCCGAGCCACTAACCACTAGTCTACTAAAGCAACAGAAACCATGAAGAAAATCTTCCCTTTTATCTCATTAGAATAATAATAATACAATCACAAGGCCCACATGATAGCTAGCGTTATCTTCATCACATCATCCAGTGAAAGTGGTTGGTTGTCACGGAATAAAAAAGAAAGAAATCACACGCATGAAAATCAAATCAAGAAGAGGATGCTCTCATCTAGAACCGACCAGCAGTTTCCTTAGCCTTGCCCTTGGCCTCACCCAGGAGCTCGTCCGTCTTGCCCTTGGCCTGGCCAGCAGCGCCCTTGGCCTGACCCAAAGCCTCCTCGGCCTTACCCTTGCCCTTGCCGGCCAACTCAGCAGCGTCACCCTGCAGTTCTCCGGTCTTGGCCTGAGCCTGGCCGGTGGCAGCGCCCACGGTACCCTTGAGCTTCTCGGCGGCGGTCTCTGTTGCGGGTCAAATCGTGTTAGCATAGTTCCGTGTAGGGAGGAGAAGGGGAAAGGTCTAGAAGAGCGTACCTCCAACCTCGATACCCTTCACCGCAGCATCGGAGACAGTGCGATCGGCGGCCTTGAGAGTGTCCTTGGCGGATTCAACGGGACCCTTGTTCAGGCAGGCGCTGGAGGAGAGAGCGCGAGTGGCTCCGATGGAGATGGAGGGAGCAGTGGGCTTGAGGGCCGCCGAGGCGGTGCGGGCAACAGGGGCGATGCGAGCGATGAAAGACATGGTGGAATGTATGAGGTGTATGTTGAGGTGTATGTATAGTAAGTAGTAGTGGTTGTGGTGGTAGGCAATCGAGGGTAGTTCTTGGAACGGATGATCAGATGGAAGTGTAATTGTCAGTGTACTGGAAACGTGCTGGCAACCAGAGGTTTATAAGCTGAGGCATGGCAGTTGAACGACGTCATCAGGATGGATGGTTGGCAGCATCACCGGGCAGCTTGTCTTATGTCGCTCTTACGTCGATGCCCGCCCCGAACCACTCGTACGTACTCCGTCAGTGGGTCCCCCGCAATTCCCACCGCCCGGTCTGGTTCCCGGCAGAATTCTCTCCAAGTACGGAGTACACTCTCTTGATGTCCGATTATTATGTATTTGGTGAGAGAACTACTTCTAACGAAGAACTACGTTGATTAGCTCTAAGTGCTAGAGCTTGACTCTAATTTTGATGTAGTTCAATCAATCAAGTGCATGCTTAAGATAGTCATAGTCAGTACATGCTGTTTTGCTGGCTACCGAGCTTGTACGGAGTAACTTATGTGCACAAAATCCAGAAGGCGGTGTAACTGGGATGTTCCCGTTTCCCCGCACTTTTCTTCCTTCCGCCTTCTTTCATCCTTCCTTTCCCCCTCACACGAATCATCTCTGAAGCCCGAATAATCTGTGAAACTGTGTGTGTCTGCAGTATGTTATCCGCATCTTATTAGCTGCTCAGTGTGGCATCACTCTATTGATGATACAGTCTCAAACAAAACGGTCATCTGTGCCTGGAAAATGATGCAAATGAAGATGAAAATGGAAATGAATCAACAAGCCAAAAATCCACAGACGCGTTACTCCGCCCACATGCGGGGATGATACATGTCAACACCGAACCCTCCATTCCCCTCCTGCTATGCTGTTTTCACCCACTATAACTCCGACAAATCTGACGCCAAACAACCTGAGAATACTTTTCTTTGTTGCTTATTCGATCTCTGTTCCTTCCATGGTTTATTCTTGTCGTGGAGGAGAGCTCCCACTCCGGGCTCGCCCGCCACGCGGCTCCGCCATCGGGATGGTGATCTCTTGTGAAAGTAGAGGTCCCGAGAGGTTTGGGTGGTAAGTTGCAGGGTACCCAGGCAAGAATTGCCCTGCTGCTGCTGCATATTGCACTGGCCCACCAAACTGTGGTCTGCTGTCAACATTCATACGCGGCCAAACAGGCTCGAATGGGACGGGACCCTCCAGAGGCTCCAGAGGCCGGAGATGTGCCGCTGCCGCTGCGTAGGAAAGCTCTGTCTGAAATTTACTTGGCTTTGGCGGTGGTGCCAGATTCGGTATTGGTGGAATGATGTTAACCGGGGCCCATCTACGGGGATAAGGAATGGGGTCGGTAGCCCAGGACTGTTGTGACTTCGCGGACATATCACGAGACATCGGTTCTGGGGCCGGCTCGGACGTGTATCCAGCCTGCAGGTCTGAAAATGGTGGTGATGTTCCGGGCATGATCGCAGATGGATGAGAAATTGGGCCTGTTGATGTCGATGGTGTGGTGCTCAGTCGACGTGCTGCTGATATATCGATATTACCCTCGTATGGCAGGCCCGGTGCGAGATATGTCATAGACGGTGTGCTTGCTGACATATCTCCCATGGGGGACCCAATACCGCTGAAAGACGTGCCCGGAGGCGCTCTGTATCGACTGGCCGTTACGCCGAGTTCCAGAGCTTTCAGCTGATGGCTCAAATACGCCGGATCAGGCTCACTATATGTCGAAGAGGTCATTGGAGGCTTCGAGGACATGACGTTGCTCGAACGGTTGAAAAGTGATTCTTCAGAGGATTTATCCTGCAGACCATGCAACCTTGGCCGGCTTCTACTAGGAATCGAGGATGACCGTGGCTTTTCAGTCATATGTTGCGCCTGTCTGGCTGCAATTGTGGCGTAGCTGGGCGAATCATTTTCCTTCGACAAGCTCTTTGTGAAATCGCCTGGGGCACTTGCAAACTGCCTGCTGTTCATCGGCGGGCGCGTGATTTGTGTGACCGCCGCCAACGCCTCCGACGCCGAGGTCCGAGAGCTGCTACGGTCTTGGTCTCCAGGCTTGCCCGATATGCCTTCTACGGGGAAGACCTTGAGAACAGGCGCAGCAGGCTGAGAGCCTCGAATGCGATGCGGTAAAGTGGGCCGTTTAGGCTTGTTAGCAGCGGGCTTTGAGGGCTTCGAAGATTTCTTGACAAGGTGCCAGCCTCGGTCATCCGACGCATTCGTACCAGATACCACCTCCGATGAATTGGACTTCCGCCTCTCGCTTGCTTCACCTGTTTGGGAGATTGGAGGAGCGTCGCCCGCCTGATCCTGGCTGGAGTGACGAAATATGTGTGGGAAGAAAGGCTTCAGATTAAATTTCTGCGGGCGTGGAGCGGCCTCCTGCGGAGATTCCACCTGAAGCGCCGTTGGTTCAAGCCAAGCAGGCAAGTCCTCAGCGGCGGACTCGGGCACCGAGGAAGACGAGCTGCTTGACCGATCAAAGACCGAGCGTTGGTTACAAATCGAACCAGAGCTTGGTGAAATCCGATCTATCACCTTGGAAATACTCCCCTTCAATATCCTCATGTCTTCCCGCGCCTGACGGACCGCAGCTGCCTCCCGGGCTGATCGTCTTGGGAAGTGCTCGAGTACCTTTGACACATGAGTCTCGAACTCGCGGTAATCTTTGACAAGTCCGCCGCCGCCGTGACTTTCGTTTCTTGCTTGGACTTTCTCGTACGAGGTGCTGAGTACGTCGCATACCACTACAAGCCATGAATCATACAATCCAGTCTCCAGAGCGTTTGGATTGGTGGCGGCGGCTTTCATCCGCTCTTCTTCATCCATCATCTTCAGCTCGTCACGGCAAAATCCCTGAACGACACTATGGATTTTCAAGACGTCAATCGTTCCTGCGTTCTGTAAGACTGAAGAGAAGAAGGCTTCCTGGCTGCTCTCTGTTTGCGACTCAGAAAGGTCTGGCACCACAAACTTCTGTTCCAGTACATTGTCTCTTTCGGCCTGGGGCGACAGAGCTGTGGGGTGCAACGGGTACGAGTCAGATACTCGTTCAATAAGGCCATATCGGATCAAGATTCCGATCGTCGTGTCAAGGTCCCCCGCTTCTCCGCTTCTGCTTTGGGTCATGACTCCAGCTCTCTGCTGTATACGCGCTGAGAGACCCAAGGTCAAGAGACCGACAGGGATATGGTGACTAAAGAACGAAAGCATGTTAACCAGGTTGAGCGCCGCCCAGTGCCCCAAACACATCAAATCGTGCATGATGCTTAAAAACGGTTCCGCCAGCTTTTCGTCTGTCAAATGTGAATTGATATGATATCGCTCAATTGGCTTTGACGTGGCGCTGAGCCTGTGGCCAATGGCATGAATAGCGAGAGGAAGGCACTCATAATGAGTTACCAGTTCCGTGGCTTTCCTGATCTGGCCTGCGGTCGGTTTTCTAATACCGAGGTCTTCAAAAAGCAGCTTGCATGCGTTCTCCGGCTCGAGTGGCTTCACCTGAAGGCAATATGGCTCGTACAGACGTTGTTTTCTCTTCAGGGTTTTATCCACTGAGGTGTAGATGATACTGCAGTGCTTGTTGAACGGGAGGAACTGCTTGAAGTTGTTGATATCATGCTCGTGCGCAAAGCTGACTCCGTCGAACACAATGAGCCAGCCTTCCCGGTTTTGCAGCCATGTCCTCACCGAATCTACATACTTGCGCGATGGGTTGGTGTCGGGGTACCGGAATTCCTGCCCATCCGTCAGTGCGGCCGCTTGAGCCATATCCCAGAAGCATTTGTAAGTTGATTCGAGGGACTTGGCATCGACCCAGAAAACCCCCGCTGGGTAGATATCTCGATGGGTGCACACGTATTGTCGTGCAAGGTGCGACTTGCCACTGCCGGGTCCTCCACAAATCAAAACAGCCATTAGACGTTCCGCTCTCTTCTTGGCTTTGAACAAACGCGCATGCAACACTTCAAGCTCCTTCTTCATACCTACAAAAGTCGCATTTGGATGAAAGCCGGGCGGGACCACGAAAAGCGGATCAGCCCGTAGGGATCGTGACAAAGGAAGCTCGGTGCTCTCCGCCATCGCTATTTCCGATACAACCGAGCGTCTTCTCTCAGAAGGTAGTACCATTAATTCAGAATTACCTGAGACATAGTCAGCATTATCGACTGACAATGTGTCCATGGTAGAAAGAGGCAACTAGAATACATGGACCAGAGAAACAGATGAAAACATTGCGACAACGACGACGAAGAAGACAGTATCACCGCCCATCCAGGATTTCTTCAGCACGATACACCGCTTAGAAATGCTTACTATAAGGCACTGGAGGTTGCGCGGGCTCTTCGACCTCGTACTGCTTCCAAGTGATCGGAGAATGCGGACCAGGAAGCATCTGTGGCTTACCAATTGAACGAAGGTCCGGTGCGCTTCTTCCAAGTTGTTCCGTGTCCACTATCCATACGTAGTCAGCTCCCGAAGGCCGCAAGAATTACGCAAAGACAATCGAGCGAGGTCACATACCATTGCCAAACATTTCCCGGGCTATTGTCTCTTTCATGAGCCGGCGCGCCTTTCCCTCTTCGATCCAGCGCTCATGTATGGTCGCTGGGGCGTCACGCGAATATCGCAAGAGAGCCTCTGCCACCGCCTCATATCCAGGGGAGCCCTCATCGTCAAACTTGCACATATGACTATGATCAGCTTCGATGCCCATCCGTTCGACACCTTCCATGTAAGGGGCCGCAGAGCTCTCGTCGACGATCAGCTCGCGAGTGCCCTTGACGTCACTGGACAAGGTTTCATGGAAGAAATAGATGTGGAAGCGGCTCGTGATGTCTGCGAAGAGGCTGTTGATGTTCTGGAGCGTTTCGTTGTTTGTCTTGAGGGCTTTGACCAAGTGAGGCGAGGATTCCATGAACTTCTTCGGCATCACAGCACTACAAATGTTCTGCAGAAGCGCGCCCCACTTGGCGACGTCGGACCCATTGTGGGGTGTTCCGAGGAACAGGATGCCGTACGTGGAAACGTATATGGATCTGAGATGCTGGATCTTTTCGTTGTTCACGCTCCGGCAGTAAATGAGGGTGCGCTTGACGACCAGGCCGCCCAGCGAGTGGCAAACGAAGATTATGGGTCTGTCTGAACAACTCCGCAGCTGAAAACGAGGTCAATATATATGCATACCTTGGGACAAGATACGACTTTCACACGAGTCAGGCGAAGCAGAGGGGCTTGGTAGTACTCACATTTCGATTCGCAGCCAAGCCCGAAGCCAACGTCTCTGCGTGATTGTGAAGCCGGTCTTTGGAGGCGCCGTCGGTGAAAGCCGTGACGTTGGCGTTGTATCCGTACGTTAGAATGCGAACGTGATTAGGGCCGAGGACTTCAGGAAGGAGGTCGGCGGGCCAAAAGGTGCCATTGTTCTTGGAAGCCCAGGTGTTGTACGCATGACCGTTGAGGCCGTGCACGAACACGATATCAACAAGAGGCTTTTCTGCACGGTAAACCTCGCTGAGGCCGATCTCCTTCACACGAGTGGGAAGGTTGGCCATGTGTGAGGGTGGTTCGGGTGAGATAGTAGTCGAAACGTCAAGACTGAATCCTTGGACGTTTGACTTTATCTCGTTATCTTGTTGTCTCGATTGCCTGTAAGGGAAAGGAACAAAGAAGTGAAGAAGGTAGGAAGTTTGATACGAAGGGAAGGTCAGTATTGATCGTGCGTGTGTGGGGAATAGTAAGTTATTTAAGCGTTGGAAGGAAGGAGGAGGAGGAGGAGGAGGCGGAGCATGAGAAAGGCGGATGACTTGCTCGGCCCCCGGGGTGGCAGTTGGCAGCGTGCCTACTGCGAAACAGGACCCTACAATTCTCCACAACCATCAAATCAACTAATCCTGCTGAGATTGAGACGCTTGTTTGTAGTCAAACTAAAATACAGATATGATGCTTGACTGGTCTTGAATGGTTGTTGATATGTAAGAAGTACTAGTAGTTAGTTATTGAATGGGTGAAACGGGGGCTGCCCACGGAAAGAGACCACGATTGTCGATAGAGACGTGATGATAGGCCATCCATTGTATTGAAAAAGTAATCCTACTCAGGCACCTCAGGGAATGGTGACTGTTCAGCCTTGTCTCCAGCTGCAAGACTCAGCCCCGAGGCTCGTGTCACGGATCTGCAGTCAGCGAGGCAGGCAGCATGACCTCCCACTGGTCACTCCCCCTGAGGAACCACGGGAACTCCTTTGGCATCCGTCCGATCGGGGAAGGTTAAGTTGTTTGCTGATTGCCGTGGATGATTTGGAGTCTTGGTTACAGGCAGATTTTCTTGGTGGTTGACTCAGTCGTAGTTCATAGCCTTGTCCTGTACAGTAGTAGTAAGTACAGTACAGTAGGCACCAGCTGCCTCCCACCCCCCACTCTAGCCAAGCATCATTCTACGTATGCTTGATTACATCTCGACCACTGCTGAAGACCATTCAACCACAATCTCTGTATTATCTCAATCTCCGCAAAGTAGCATATTCCCCGATCACCCGGAAATCCGTCAAATTCGTATTCAACTCAAGGGGCAGCTGTGCGGGCGCACTTCACTAACTTCCGGAAGGATGTCTGGCGCCCTGTAAGTTAAGCCCCGCTGCCAACTAACTGTAAGCACTAAGTTGAAGCCAGAGACCCTTTTTACGAGTACTTATTTCTCCGGCCACGAAGCCTTTGTTCAGGTAAAGGCCACGTATAATTATAAGTTACAGGACACTGCGAGACAGTCCTTCTTATACATGGCAGCAATAGAGTACGTAGAGGATTCAAAACAGGACAGTTTGTAGGTCTAGTCAATGGAGATAAACTTACTACTTATGACTGATTATCATCTATAGAAGCAGAAATGACTAATATCTGATTTGAACTAAAACAACGCCCAACTCTGGCTTGTCCCAGCTCTGACTTACTGAAAAGGTAGTCAGTTCCTTAATGGATCCACAATCACTTATTCCATACCTAGTACCTTATTAGCGGAATTACTATGCAATTTAATCAGACAGTAAGCTTAAACAAACCCACGCACGGTGTATGTATGTAGGTAAGGTAGTCGTTAGATCTAAAGGGGAAGGTCATACAAAACCCGGCCAAAAAAAAAAAAAAAAAAAAAAAAAAAAAAAGGAAAATGAGGAGCGTGCCTGATGTCAACCGGGAATCCTGAATGATTCACTTCAAGTTCTACTGAGGGTCGATCCCCCCCACACCTCCGCCATCCCCAGGTGTCTGTCCGCGTTGCTCACTCCACCTGCTCATGTTATCGATCGCATCAAAAATTCGACTGAGGGGGAGAATAAACCCCTCCTGCCTTACCGCCGGTTGATGTACTCACTTGCCCTGAGGTACTCCCGTCATCACCCCCCCCCCAGCTGACCGTCGCCAACCTGGGGCGGGCACGCAGCCTCCCTCCGTCCCCGGGGCAAAACGAACGCCCCCGAGGCGCAGCGCCGGAGGGGGAAAGAAGTTCTACTTGGAGGTTCGAGTCCTGTACTACGTTGGAACGGCCATGGGTCAAAGCTGAGACCATCACCAACCCACGCAATCCTGCATTCTTTCTTGGCCTGGGTCTGAGACAAGCCGAATCCAACTTATCCAACGATCACATATACGCAAAATCATGCCGGGACTAATCAGGCTGTAAGGCCAAGCAATCCATGCTGGTGTACTGTATACAGTAGGATTAGGTTGTAGAACAACTCATACCTACCTTGATGGTTGACCGGTAATAGGATACTGTGACTTAATACTGCGTGATGTTTATCCCTACCATCCGTTTGTGCTGGGGGTGGAGATGTTATTAGAATCCGATCAACCATATAGAGACGTTGAAGCGGCGGAAGACGCAGAAACGATCAATGTAGAAGAATACCCGACCCATGCCTTGATATTAGAGAGACTGTAAATAAAGTGCAGTTCAACACACTCAGCATTTCCACCTCAAACATGATGGTAGCAATCTTGATACCTCATCACGCATCCATCACCACCGCCTCCCCTTTCAGCAGTACTCCCTTCGCCCAGCAACACAAAAAGTGTACCACGCTTCCACAAAGCAAGAACTGCCCCCCCCTCCCCCCCTCACCTCCCCCTGAAGACCGGCTTCCTCCGCTCCGCGAAAGCCCGCAGCGCCTCCATCCGATCCTCCGTGCCCATCACGCCCGCATACGCCTCATTCTCCGCCACCTCACCCCGCTCCCACCCGTCCAGCGCCTTCATGGCCTGGCGGATCGCCACGGGCCCGCCCTCGCAGATCCCCAGCGCGAGATTGATCGCCTCGCGCAGCACCTTCCCCCGCGCAACGCCCTCCTGCGTCTCTTCCTCCGGCAGGATCTCCACCAGCCGGTCACACAGCCCCAGGAAGTACGCCTCGGGGCCGGACACCCGCCGGCCCGTGAGGATCAGGTCGCGCGCGCGGTGCACCCCGATCAGCTGCGGGAGGCGGTAGGTGCCGCCCGCGCCGGGGATGATGGCCAGGCGCGTCTCCGGGAGGCCGACCATGCACGCGGAGCCGAAGACCCGGAAATGCGAGCACAGCGCCAGCTCGAGGCCGCCGCCCAGGGCGGTGGAGGCGACGGCGGAGATGGTCGGGATGGGGAGGGCGGCGAGGGCGCTGAAGGTCTGGCGTAGGTGGCTGAGAAATTGGCTCGTTCTGTAGATGAGGTGGAACGAGACGGGGGGGTTAGCAGTTCGATAGATTGAGTTTCTGGGGGAGGAAGGGAGAGTGGGGGGGACAAACTCCTCTTTGGTCATGCTGGCTCGTTCCTTGAGGTCGGCCCCGGCGCAGAACGCGGCATCCACGTTGCTCCCGAGCACCAAGGCTCGAGTCGGCCCTTGGCCCTTCTCGGCAGCGATGGATTTGACGTGTTGTGATAGACCATCCAGCAGGCTACGAGAGATGGCATTCCGGGCCTTGGGCCGGTTGAGGAGGAGAACGCGAATGGTCCCGGACCCTGGGGCCGGGACGTGTTGAGTTTGGATCACATTGTCGCTGCTGCTGGTACTCAAGCGGGCAACTGTGACACGGATTGAAAGTGGAGCGGCGCGTGAGAGCGCTCGAAGAGTAGAGATAGGCTGGGGGAGTCGAGGTGCCATTGTCGCTGAACTGAGATATCAAGGTGGTAAAACTCTGGAGGATTTCATGCGAGGATGAGGGAAGGGTTGAAGATGGACTGACTGAAAGTTGTTGAAGGACGGGAAGCTGTGGGGAAATCGGCGAACGGAAATTGCGGGGAACCGCGAATAAGCGCTTGATTTTTATTTTTATTCTTCTTTCACTGTCAAGTACAGTACATTATTTGTTTGTCCGATGTAGTCTCTAGAAATAGTCACATAGAAGTCTAGCTATATTCAAAAAGGGTAATTTACATTAGAAATGAATAGCGCTGGTTTACTGATCCCCGACCTGCAGCGATAGCGATGCGTCCTCACCATGCGCCCCCCCCCCACGTGCTGTCACACTCACCGCGCTAAGTACTTCTGGAACTCATCATCAGTCGGCCAGGAACCCCAAACCTGCGAAGAAGTAATGATTTGATAGGCCTCCTGCAAATGTGAATCTGAAGATTCCAACCTCGTGGAACTGGTGTGATCACCATCTTCCTGCTGCTCGGAGGTGCGCCGTTCCTTCCTAGGTCCTTCCAAGAACACTCGAAAGGCTACTATGACCCGGCGCATCATCCGATCTCCATTGAGAAGCTGGTCATACATCTCCTTCAAAGTGAGTTCGTGCTGTCTCATCCATCGCAAGAGGCTTAGCAATCCATCCGAGTCTTCAGCAATCCCAAGTGTGCGGACAAAGAGATGGAGATCCGCAGGAGATGGAACATGAAACAACGGCGGCAAAGTCACCTGTGAGTCGGTGGCAAGCTGAAGAGACGAGGAACTGTGTTCGAAAATCTGGGAAAGCTGCGGGTCCCCGAGAACGCACTTGTCAAATTGTTGCTTCAGAAAGTTGAGGCCAGTTGGTACCACATCTTCAAGTCGTGGTAGGACAAGACCATGCAGACTGAGTTGACCTGTTAATGCCATCCTGCTAACAATCTCCAACCCCTGTGCCACAGCAGTACGGTATTTCAGAACCATCAAGACGCGTGAGAATGCCCGACAGAGTAGATTGAATCCATCCAGACCAGTGTCGATCTGACGTTGGTCCATCCATCTCATGAGCAGCTGAGCAGTAAACCAAGCAACCACCGGTTTAGCATAAGCTCTGGATCTATGCGGGCTGCGCTCGATCACGGCAGACAGAATATAGATCCACGCTTGTGGCGGCTGTGAGGCTCGCGCCCGTAAAAGGTCAATAACATGAGGCAGTGCCCTGCGATGACCGCCAGAGGGAAGGGGGCGCTCTTCTCTCATCTGGTGCACTAGTGGCTCCAGCGTCCTTTTTCCTTCCAGCTGCAAGGGGAATAGATCTGGAGGAGGCAAGGTAGGCTGTAGCAGCACGAAATAAGTTTTATTGTCAAATCTGCAGAGGAATTTGACGAATGAAGCGACAAGTAAATCCGACAGCTCGTTCAGTCCCGTCTTAAGCCAATTGGGATGACGGAAGTCGCTTCCCCAATCAGTACACAAAGCCCCCAGCTGCTCATCCGTCAAGTCGCTGCAACAAAGATACTCTAGCCCGGCATGAAAAGTTGGTGCATGTCGTAGAAGCAAGGCGAGAAGCCGACCACGTGGCCGAATACTCTGAGAGAGCATCATATGCAGAAGCTGGTTCAAGGTTGGTGGTTCGGAGGGCACATAGATCAAGTCCCTGGCGGACAAAGGTTCCGGGAAAACCTCGATTCCATCGCCTGGCAGAGCCGTGCTATTGTAGTCGCTGCTACTGTTTCGGTCGCGATTTATCAACTTTTCCGCCATCGCTGCGTATATGGCACCATGGGGACGCAACCCCTTTTCCTGGTATGAAAGAAAACAGGCCCAGGATTCCCGGACAGTTCTTGTAGCACGAATTCGTGCTTCCCAAAGCTTATAATGGTCGGAGTGGGCTGGAAACCGGCCCAAGATTTCCGGTCGAGACAGCCCGAAGGACCGGGTTTGAATCGTTGGACTTCCGTCTGTGTCCCAGCCTGCTAGGATACGAGACATAGTATCCCATGCAGAGGAAGAATATCCCGCCTCTAGCTTTTGGACCAGCACTCGCATCGCGCGACTTTTCCTGCCTTGGAGTCCCCGGTCGACGTCGTACCCTATTTTATCTTCCTTCCAAGGCGGCCACGACGGGGCCTTGAGTTCCGCTGATTGTCGCTCGGCGTCTGTCTTCCTATGCGCAAGCTGTACGGCGATCAGACTTTGATAGCCCCGTTTCGTGACCGGTATGGCCGGCTGAAATGCAGCCATAGCTCGGAGAAGCTCGAGCTGTGCACGCTGCTGGAACGAAACAGATAAAAATGGCTCGCGTCGAGAAGGAAGAGAAAGTAAGCGAAGTACTGTATTACACCTGTCGACCAATAGCGCATGTAGCTTATCCTTGGAACGCTGATATTTTGGGCGACTCTTCCCCAGCGTATTCAAATAGAACGCAAAAGCCTGGATAATGGCAAGTTGGGCCTCCGGCCACAGTTGACGAGCATGGTGTAGCAAGCGAATAACGAAGGTTAAGCACATTTCAAAATTGATCAGCGGCTTTGATGTACCGAATGCGATTTTCTCATTGGAGATTCGTTTGGTCGTTGTGTCCTGCGCAAGGTTATTTGGGAGTCGAACATATTGACCGGTTAGAAGGTCTAGAGAGTAATGAAGGAGTAATTTGAACGTTCTGACGTCGAGACCCTGGCGTAGAATGAGTAGCGGAATGAATGGCGGGACTCTCCCGGACGGAGAGCTTTGCGCCGAATATTGATCGGTATCCGCTAGTAAAATTCGAAGACAAGCTTCATATGGCGTTTCGCTATTAAGCACCCAGGCCCACGTCACCACATCGGCGGCAGAATATCCTCGTGAGGCCAGTTTGTCAATATTGGTTTCGGAAAAAACAAGCTCCAAGTCCTCATGCAGCCACCTAAGCTTTTTTGAGTACCGGGTGAAGTGCTGCGGACTAGGATCCAAGAGTTCCTTGCATTGTACGCCAAATCGGTCCAGTCGGGGGTTCACTGCCCGTATGTAGTCTGCGACAATCTCCTGTAATGTTATACGGTGGAAATCTTTATAGTGGTTCATAGCCGCCTGACTGTATTTAAGCTGGAAATCATCAATTTCTTCACAAGCCCAATGACGATTTTTTCGGCCGTATGTCATATGGATCGAGAGTATTAAGTACTCTGTAGAAGTGAGATCAGGCGCATAACCCCACGGATTGGTACGTTTCAGGCGTTTGGCCTGTCTTCGCGGGTTTGCTCTAGTATTTGCAGTCGAGTCTTGGACCGGGTCTGGCCGGTCGATGTCCAATCCATCACGATTCGCAGAAGAGAGAGGCGTCGACCGCAATGTGGATTCGGTCCCAGTCTGACCCGGTGCGTCGTACCCATAATCATCACAAGAATCATCTAATTGTATACCCGATACTCCTCTTTGCGAGCGCTGAGCTCCATCTGTGGTTTCCCCGTTTTTTGCAGCGCTTGCGAAGGTCGACTTGGAGGAGCCGGTGTTGGCCCGCTCCTCATCCGCACGCCGATCAACAAAAGCTTTATTCAAGGATGACTGAAGACGTAGTTCCCTCCAATACTCAGGGGTCAGCCATGGCAAAGGAGTGCCCGGTTCTTGAGGCACTAATTGGGGGCTTCGACCGGATGCATCGGGTGCAGATTCGAGCTTGCGGTGTGTGTGTATGTACCGAAACGATAAACCAAATCTTGTGATGGGGTCGGCCAATGTTGGGTTGGTAGGGGATAAGGTATAGCAGTAGCCATTAAAGTATGGCGCCTATAGAATAGAGGGAAAAGCTTCAGCACAGGTCACGGAATTTTCCTCTTCAATTGTTTGGTACCTTCGGTGATGTACAGCTGTTGGACAATTGCGCCGCTCTCAGAGAGAAAGCCCTCGAGCAGCTCGACACATAATTGACGGCCGATGACATCCATGAAGAAAGGTCATCTAGTGGAGCTATAGCGGTAGTAGTTGGAGAACGAGTGTTGGCTTGTTTGTGTTTGGTTTTGGGTGAAGGCGAAGGTGAAGGTGATGGCTGAGCGTAAGGCGCATGGATGGAGATCCCATTGGGGAAAAATACCAATATCACGTGATGAATACTGTCTCTGTCACGCGCAAGTCCCGAGGGCGGCGGGCGGAGACAGACTGAGTGTCGCTTTCGCTCTCCCTCTCAGCTCTTCTCTTCCCTCCCTCCCTCCCTCCCTCCCTCACTCACTCACTTTCTGTCGGTCCGTCCGTCCGTTTGTCTATTGCTCCTCTGTTACTCTCTCTCTCTCTCAATGGAACCAGAGTTAATCCTTTGATTCCCGCAGCCGTGCTCCTCTTCTTTTGTTTTTTTTGGCCAAGCTAAACCACCATCCACTCTTCCCGTCTGCAGTTTGTACCGTACGGAGTACTGGCGCCGAAAATCCCCTACACCCACTTTGGTTCAATTTACCTTACGCGGTAGCGCGGGCATATGCGTCGAGTACTGTCCCGAATCTCGATCCTCCCCTGCTTGCGCATTATTCCTTGAATCGGTCGAGTCCATCAATCTCCATTGGCGCATCCACCTCCCGGACTCTGAATCGCTCGATCACCGACTCATTAACTCCCCATTTTCTCCCATTTTTCTCTTCACTCAACGCTCGTCTTCGACTCAATTCAGTCAAGGGATCAGAAGTTCGCTCTTGCGCTTGATTTATCCCGTGTCCTCTAACATTTAACATTTTTCATTTTTTTTTCCAAGTGAGCAAGAACCAAGAGAAGATAAAGACAAACAAACAAACCAACACCTTGAAGGGAAACTGTCCCGATCCTCTATATCCCCGTCCCAAGAAAATACTTGATCGGCGGCGCGACTGAACCATCATGAGTGCCGATGAAGGCGGAGGGACGGCCGCAGTGCCTGTCACAAATGGCGAACAACCTCGCAACAGTCCTGAGCCATCCACGATGGCCACACCGGGCAAGCGAAAGCGTGTCTCGAGTCACGACGACAAGGTCGCCCAGGATGCCACTGCCGCTGCGGCGCACTCGCAGGAACGAACCAAACTACAGGAGACTTTGCGAAACCTGGTGGATATTTTGAGCAA